TAGCGCTTTCGATTACAATAAAATAGCGTTATAAGATTTTAAGTCTTATTAAACTACGAACTTTTATAAAATTAAATTAATATACGCTTTAGTATCGAGTAGAGTAACGAGTTACCTCTATTTACTCTAAAGCTTTATTTACCCCTTTATAAGAATAGAAGAAATTATCTCTATTAATTATTATTCTTATCTCGCTTCTAAGACGATTATAAGGCCGAATCTTTTTTTATTAATACTACGTCGATATAAATTATAAACGATTTATCGAGATCTAAATACTTAGATATTTAATAACTCTATTTATTATAATAAAAATAACTATTCTTCTTATAATTAGAGTTAAAGAATTTAACTTTACACTTTATACTATTATCTTAAATACGCGCTATATAAGCGCCGCCGTTTAAAGTTAATTTAGACTTCGAAATTCGATTCTTTAAAGACTTATTCTTAGCGAACCCCTTTAAAGACTTCGAATAAAAACCGCCGTCGAAGCGTATACGTTTTAAAATCTTTTTCTATATAATAGTCTAGATAAGAATTTCTTCTTATTATTTCGATATACTATTAATATTTAGAATCTTATTCTTAAGCTCTAATCTAAGCTTAGCTAAGAAGAAATTAGTTTAATATTTCTTAGAAAATAGAGTTATATAGGCCTCTAGCTTCTTTAAATAAATCTTAAAAATAGATATCTTCTAATCGAAGCGTTATTTAATCTTCTCTTACTTTTTATATACGAGAAGATAACGATTTATTAGATCCGCTACTAAATTAAATAGAAACTACTTAAAGAATTTAAAAGTTATACTCTTTAGACTATAGGCTTAATAGTATTTATATTATTAAATATTAAGATTATCTTCTAAGAATTATATATAATAAATAATTCTTAATTAATTAATAATAAAATACTTAGAACTTATAAGAAACTTAATTTCGACTTCGCGGAATTAGCGTAGATACTCTCTCTTACTAATACTCTTATAAGAATATATTCTTTTAAAGCGAAGTATTTTTATCTTAATTAATATATTCGTTAAAAGCGCGATAATAATCAATATAAATAGGTTTTCGCTAATTATAGACGATAAGCTAGCGTTATAAAGCTCGCGATTATAAATCTTTAACGTAGTTAATTCTTATTCTTATTTTAGATAACGATTTTCGACTTTAGTAATTATAAGACGTTATTCTATAGTAAGATCTTTTACTAATAAGAAATTCTTAAACTTATTATCGACGCTATAGCGGCTCTCGATATTACCTTTATTTTCTATTATACGATTTAGAGATAAACCCGATATTATAATAATAATAGATCTTTTTCTTTAAAAGATAGAGAGATTAGAATTATAAGAGCGTAGTTTATTAGTAATTAGCTAGCGAATATAGACTATAAAAGATATAATATCGTTATAGAATTTAATAGTATATTTAATAGTACTAGTTATAATAGAGTTAGTATTAATAATATATTAAAACTTTAATAAATTAAATATTAAGGTTTTAAGAGAGATACTCGTTAGAGTTATAATATCGAAAGAGTATCTAATTAATCTCTTAAGAAAATAATAAAAATCTTATTAATAACGATATCGATTATTAAGTAATAGCTATTATTAACTCTATTTAAGCGACTATAAAGAAGTTTACTTCGATTATTAGATTATCACTATAATTTAAATTAAGATTTATATTAGAATATAAGAAAGTATAAAAATATTATAAATCGCTAAAAAGAAGTTGAAGAATAACGCTCTTAAAGAAAGTATAAGATAAGTATAAAGTCGCTAAGAACTTTAAAAATAATCTAATTAAGAGAACTATTAGAAAGGCGTTTAGAGAGTTTATAATAGAGATATATAAGTCGTTATAAATAATATAAAAAAGATTAAATAAGATTAGAAAATAACTTATAATATAGATATATCTCTCTTTATTATTTAATAAAGATAAATAAGAATATAACGAATTAGATTTAAAGATAGATCTTCTTATAAGAATATTCTTTTTATTATTAATATAGATAAAGTTAGATAATATTAGCGTTAATATAATATATTTATAAGTTTATCTAATAGATATAATTATTATAAATAAAATAAGAAAGACTATAACGTAAATATCGTTAAAGAGAGTCTTAAGAGAGAGATACAATCTTTAATCTAATTCTTAAGAAGATTCTAAAGTCGTTACTTTCTTATCTATATAGAATATTTAATATATATATAACGAATAACTACTATTTAGAGTACTTTAGAATATTAATAATAATTATTCTTTTAAAGTTAAATAAGAATTACTCGATTTTTAAAGGATATTAATTAATAGCTCTACTTAATACTATAGAAAAGATAATAAAGTTTATTCTTACTAAGAAGAATAGCGTATCTTACAAAGATATATAAACTTCTATTAACTATATATATAAGAGGCCGTAGATTATAATTATATAAATACGATATTTACTATCTTCTAGAAAGAATATATTAGATCTAAAACTCTAATAAAATAACTACGATATTACTATTAGACGTTTTAGATATATATAATAAAGTCTCTTATTCTTAACTACTTTATAATCTTCGAAAGTGAAAAATTAATATAAGAGTAGTTAATTAAGATAGAATCGTTCTTATTTAATAGAATAATAATAATACTAAAAATAAGCAAATACTTTATATTAAAGACTTCTATAGTAATCGAAATTTCTTAAGAATTATCGCTATCGTCTATACTTTATCTCTTTTATAATTTAAATCTTATTAATAAATATAATAATCACATTAATTTAGAAATAATAGTTATCGACTTTATAAACGATATAGATCTTTTAATAATAGAAGACTCTATCGAGGAAAACTATAACGCTCTTTATAAAATCTACGACGAAGTTTATATAAAGTAGAGCGTTATAATATAAATTAAAGTTTAATTTTAATAAATATTAACTACTATATCTTAATAGAAAATAGAGATTTAGTTTAAATTATTCTCTATAACTTAATAAGAGATAATATATTAAGATAAGACGCTTTATTCGCTATTTAGAAGTCGAAATTAATTTTAAACTTCTATAGAGTTATTATAATAAGAAGATTCGATTTAAGACTATTAAAAGTATCGATATATTAATAAGAATTATTAGAATTAATATAAGAATAATAATTATAAGAGTATAAGATAGCTCTATTAGATAGTAATTATTTTATAAATAATATATTACTACTTAATATAATATTAGCTTAAAAATACTATTAACTATAATAAAACTTATCTCTTATTATTATAAAGAATTTAATCTTAGATAAAGAGAAAGATAATTAAAGTATTTAAGACTATATTTATTTTAGTATTTAATATAAAAGTATATCTTCTATTAGTTAAATAATAGCTAGATAAGATTATCTTAAAAGCTATCTTATAAATCGTTATTAGTTTAATATATAGCGAGATTATTAAGTTATAATTTAAGCGATAAAAATTTAAAAGAAAACTTAAGAAGAATAGAAAACTAAGTTTATTAAAGCGATATATTAATAGATTCAAAGAATAATATAACGATATTAATAAGATTAAGAAACTACGCTTTTTTAGCGTCGCCTTCGACTAAGAGTCTTTTAAAATAATAATTTATAAGATTAAGAAAGCCGCTAAAGAACTAGTTAAAAGATTAATTAATAAGAGTTATATAATAATATATATAGACAATAGCGAAATTAATAAAAAAGTAAAAGCTTTAACTATATCGTTAAATATTAATTTTATTTTTAATATCTATTTAAGCTTAAGCGATTAATATATAATATACTTAGCGAAGTTATATAATATTCTTTAAGCTCTAACTATAGTAATTATATATTAAATAAAATTATAACTTAGTAGAGTTATAGTAAATATAAATAATTAAATATTAATTTAAACTATTAAAGACTTAAATAAGTATTTAAAATAGATCTATATAATATAAATAGTATAGATTATTAATTTACTAAGATATCTCTAAGATAGTAATAGAATTATATTAAATTTCGATATATATTAATATTAATAATAATAAATAGATAAATAGAAAGGCGAAGAAGATTATTAGCTAACGAGAGCGAGTAATTTATAATAAAAGAGTAAAGATAAATACTAATAAAATAGTCTAATTATTAATTATATAGATAAGAATAATATCGATAATTAAGATAGCTATTAGAGACTACGCGATAAAATAATAAACTATCAAATAAGCTAATAAGAAGCGAGATAATATTCTTAAAAGAATTTAATTAATATCGTTAAAATAAATATAACTTCTATATTTAAGAGTTAAGCGCGCTAAGACATCGCTAATAATATAAATAAAAATTAAGAAAATAAATCTTAAGGCCTTTCTTTATAATCGATGAATATTAAATATAAAGAATAAAGAATATAAGTATAAAGCGAAGTAGACGACTCGATATATTCTTTATAAATATAAGCTATTTAATAAGAAGCGAGGAATATAATAAGTTAAAGAAAGAAGAAAGATAAAAGAGAGAATTATTATTTATAAGAATATACTAATAAAACCACGCTACGCCTTTATAGCGACGAACTTTATAAGAAATATAAGGTTTATTAGATAATATTAAGCTCTTAATAAAGAATTAATAATAAGAATTTACTAGAGTAGACGATTAAAAAGAAGAATACGATTAAGAAGAGAGAGTTTAGATATAGGTTTTTTCTTTTTTAAAATATAAAATTAAGTATAGTAAGAACGCAAAACTATGACGGTAACTTATATAGCCTTATTTATTTGAGTACTATATGATTAGCCAAAAGGATTAGATAGATTACGTATGTAACTCGCATAGTCGGCTACTAGGGCAAGACTTCAGGGTAGTATGATGTAATCAATCAAATCAATCAAAAACTCCGCCTACGGCCTAATTCTGATATTCCCACTAGCCATGTAACTCCCCATGTAGTTGAAAACAAGCCTCACTGATCAGCCTTGTCTCATGAAAATATGGTTCCTTGGAGAATCCTTGGAGAAGAATAGCGAAAAATGGCTGAGGGCGATGAGGGTTTTATTTCTCGAAAACAATGCTGTCGAAATTGGCCGCTCTAGTGCCGACGACGACGCCAATGCCACAATTCTCCGAAAAAAGAGCATGGCCAAACCACTTAACAAATGGACTACTTCGGAGAAAGCAGGCTTCGTCTGCGTAGGAACCCACAAGCTCTACGTCTCAACCTCCGGGCCCATTCGCATACCAGGCGACCCGTTACTGATCGTCTTCCCGGGCGCGAACGCCGCCTGCGAATCTTGGGAACCGGTATCATCTCTCCTCCAAGACACCGTACGTGTCCTTCTATACGACCGCTCTGGGCTAGGCCGCAGCGAACACGGTCCGAATCGGGATACTGGACCCGTAGCAGCGGACGAGCTCTCCAAGCTGCTCCAAGCCGTGAACCTGCCCGGTCCGTATGTCCTTGTGGCGCACTCTTACGGCGGCTGTGTGGCTCGAGAGTTTCTGCACCTGCACGCCAGGGACGTGGTCGGCATGGTGCTTTCGGAGACGGGCACGGAGACCATGAGTCGGTATGCTGAGGAGCAGTATCGGAGACAGGTGCTTGGCCATCGTCCGCTGAGCGTTATCCGGGGCGAGTCCGCTTTCAGCGCGCGGCGGGGTGAGGATGTCAGCGTGTCAGATGAGCAGCGCAGAGCGCGTGACGGCATGCTTGAGGCTATGGGTAGAGCTGACGAGCAGTTGAAGAGAGAGCAGTTGAGGTTGTCAAGGAATAATAGGTTCAGGAATGTCCCCGACTGTGGACACAACGTCCATCTCAGTCGTCCTGATGTCGTCGCTGAGGAGGTTAAATGGGTTTTGTCAAATCTAATGACAGTGAGAGCAAAGAGGAGTTGGGTCGGTTTCACAGATCCACGATTATTTTTCGGGTTTGTCAGATCTTGGGGCTTTCTTGACCGCAGGTGACTGCACTTTAGGGAGGTGCTTGAATAATTTTAGTGGGATATTGGGTCTTCTTACCCGAGCTAGGCTCGTCCACTCACGTGTCATCTTGCCAGCTGGATGAAGATCGAATGTGTGTAGCCATGCACCGCTGCGACCGATGACCCTGCGTTACATGGGGAAAAGGGTAGTTTACCGGAAAAAGAAGACAACCCGGACGGCTAAGGCCTCGAGTTTGCTCTAGAATAAATGATAGTTCCCCTAAAAGTCAAGCTTACACTGCCCAATATATACGATGAAGACAACAGACTAATGGCTGTACCAAACAAATAAATCAACACATTCCAAATCTAAAGATCTGGTCCCGCAAGTCCATTTTCTGTCATCTGCACAATGCCATGGCCCAACGGTGCTTTCACAGCCTCATATTCCCCATCGACGTTGCCTATTCCAAATTTGTTAGTCTCGCTTCACAGTCTCTTTATTGAGCTTCGGGCAAGGTTCTTACCTGCGGGATAGTAATTGCAGACGGTGAAGACAGCGGGAGTACCACCATCAGGGCCACAATTCGTATTCGCTAGATATGGTTGGCCATTCGCATTGCAGTCTTGCGTGGTAGGTTGACCGGCAGGGGAGCAATCATAAGTATAGCAGCCAACGGAGGTTGTATCGCTCCACACCATTTGACTGAAGTGGCCCCACTGCTCAAACTGTGAGCCGTCTGGGACATCTTGGCCGTACGGCAGGGGGTAGTTCTCAATCTCATCGTTGTACAGCATGTTGGTGAGCAGAGCGGAGATGTTGCCAGCATCGATCCCAGCTCCGATGTTCTGTCCGTAATTACCGTCGCCTGCGGCCCTGCCATATTGTGAGCGCTAGAGCTTGCGGCAGGATGGGTATACTTACTTGCTGTGATTATAGAAGCATGTCTTGGCGATCTGCTCAGCGTATGAAGCTAATGTGCTGTTATACACCAGATCTGGGACAGAATGGTTGGCACGATGGATGTTGTGGTTTAGCAGGACCAGTCCCTGGTATGTGGCGCTCTCGGTGTCAAGATTAGCTTGGTAGGTCAGCGGAAGACCGGTCGTGGATGGCGGAGAAGTCTCCGCAGCTACTGGCGCGACAGAAGATGCGGTGTTTGCCGGCGATTGAGCTTGCACCGCATCGACTTTAACAACTACTGAGGTTGCGGCGGTGGGTGCTGGTTGATTTGCCCCTTCATGTACTGTCACGACATCGTGGACCACAGCAGTCCTGACGATCTCGTCAAGCACAGTGTCCATGATTGGACTGGCCATAATGCTGGCTGCAAATAGGAGAGGAGTCAGACTGGAAGACCGCATGATGGTTCCGTTTCGCTTTTAATAAAGACAGGATTTGGGATCACGGATCGCCAGAGAAACTGTAAGGATAGGTAGATGCTGAGGGGCGTCAAAAAGATTGAAGATTATGCGAAGGACAGGTAGACAAATAATTGACCCAATCCAAGGGGTTGGACTCGGTCAACGAGAAAAGTCAGAGGCGGTCGACTGGCGAAACGACGTTCAAGGAATGGGATGGGAAAGCAAAGACAGTGTGAAGAAGGGGGTTCTGGAATGAAAGAGCGGAAGATGTGTTCTTCGAAGGAAGGTGCTGGGTAAAGACAGTGAAAAGACCAGGAAGAACTCGGACTTTTGGGGAAATGTAGAAAAGGGTGAAAAGTGGAATGAATGGGAGCAAAGTATGCTCTCTCATGCTATGCAGTCTAGACTCGACGGCGTAAATGCAGCAAGTCCACCTTTGTCCCTTGGATACGCGTGGACCGAACATACCTCAAAGCATTTTCCGAAGTTCTTTGTCAACTCAAAATTAGAAGGTGGAGGTACAAAGCATAGTGGTAACGCCGCAGCCGCAACGTTCATTCTCCTGCTCTCTTTTTTTCTTCTCAATGAAAGCCTTCAATTTCTAGCATCAAAGATTCTGAGCCACGAGATCCATAGTGGGTTCTACCATTGAGTCCAGCCTCAAATCTGCTTGAGGCCTGAGCCCTCGTCTTGACTCTTTGAGTCATACCCACAGAGCTGCAAAAGGCCCGAAGCACCATCGTGATGATGTTGCGTAATGCAGCATCCCCCACACTTGAACTATAGGTACGATTTAGTAGATACATATGAACCGTGGGCTCGTAGTTGCAGTCGTCGTTAGCAGTCCAAGCGCGGCAAGCGTCGCGGTTTGATGCCAAGGCGCTAAAGCTATTCATTCATTCACCCCCTATCGCCTGTCATGCTTTTTTGAACAGACCTTGTCATGGGACTGATGCTGAACTCTTTTGCTGAAACGCTCTCAAATTCAAAATTGACGTTGCCGAGACGTCTCATGTGGCATGTGGCTTGATCGTAACCATAACGGCTTTACATCCCCGCTGTTGAAGATCAATTGTCGGCGATGACCGGATGTAAAACCCTGACGCTCGTTGGAGCAGTGGAAGTGCACCAGCATGAACAGGCATCCCTACATCCGTCGTATTCAAAACTGTATATGAAGAGTAAGCGACCGTAAGCTTAGGGGTTTTCATGGACATTTTCGGGCGAATCGACTATATACAGGTGGCGCAAGTTTATCCCTTGCCCCTCAATCCCGAAGCTAAATGTGTTTTATTGTATTCGTTGAATCTTCTTCACTGTCTGCTCTTACTCAGCGTAAGCTCTGTACACCTCTAAGTCTTTCTCTGCAGAGAATTCGATTTCAACCCCCTGACCGGCAAAGAAAATGTAGCCCTCATTGAAATCAAAATCTTCTCCACCCGCCTTCATCTTCCCGGCTCCGCTCGTTGCAAAGATCACACTTGGCCCGGCGATCTTCTCCTGGATCTCTTTTTCTCCGGCTTGCAAACTCGTCCTCAACATGTTGAACTCGCTCATCGGCGGCGCATAGTCCACCGTCTTCCCCATCTTCCCTTTGCTGCTCTTGGTAGCACCTAGCATCGCATCCTTCGCATTGTGGGGCGAAAAGGTCAAGGCCTCGGTGAATAGCTCGATGCTATCTCTCTTTGCACGTGGGCAAAATCCAGTGTTGAGGACGTTGTTGGAGCGGGCCATGCACTCGACGATGTCGCCAGAAAGATAAGCGTCTTCATGTTTTCTGAGTCAGCCTTAACTTTTTAAATTGGGGTTTAGGTGAGGAGGCTTTTTTTGGAAATTAAGATAATCTCGATTCTCGATACGTGTCTTTCAGCCCAGGTTTCTGGAAGGGCAAATTACTTACGTGGGCAATCGGCAGGGACGTATAGTGCTTCGCCGGCTTCGAGGGTGAGGAAGTTCATACAGCTTGACAGTTGCATTAGCATCAAGGTATGCATGCAGTCAGGCAGGTAGTCTTACAGCAAAGTGACCAGGTTTCCCGGATCCTCAATCGAGTACTGCTCTTGCAGCCTTGGTAACAAGTCGAGGATATAAGCCTGCTTGCCGAATCTCTCTCGGGGAATTTTGCCCAACTGTTGCTGGCATTCCTTGATGCTGTCATCACTAGATGTCAGAATGTTCTGGCAAACTCGCTTCAGTGTCTCATTGTTGAAGTGCGTCTGTCCGTTCGGGAGGAATTTTTGGATCGGCTGCAAAACATCGAAGAGAGCCTGAATGTCGGGCGTCGCCTTCCAACCGACAAACACCTCGAATTTGCCTAATGCTATCGCGATCTCTGGCTTGTGATTATCGTCGGTAAACTGATCGGGATTTTTGGCATGTAGCCTAGCCGCGAGATCTTTCTACGCAGATTTCGGAGTCAGCACAGTTTACTCGAGCTAGGAAATGGAGTTGCAAGACAGGTCTCTGGAGTAGAAAGGTCTTCTTGCTCCAGAAGCGAGTCTTGGGACTCAACCTCATTACCAAATAGGAAGAATCAGCTCCGAAATGTACGTACGTCCGGGTGGATCTGCAGCTCCAACGCTTTTTCGATTGACAATATCTTTGGCAGAAACGGCAGTACACCTCCGAACTTCTCCATAACGTTCTTTCCTAGCAGTCCTTCTTTGTCCTCGTCCACGATCTTATGCAGCTCTTCTCCAGTCTTCAGGCTCTTAGCAGGCTGTACAGGATAATCGCCCATCCACATCTCCGCATAGGGTTTATCTTCGATCTCGAAGCCGGTGTTGGGAGTTTTGGAGCAGAGGCGGGCGGACATGGATGATGTACCGACGCGGCCCCATGGATAGTTCTGCTCGTTGTTAGACGAAGGGCATTGGAAGGTGATGGGAAACAGACGTTGCAGGTGCATTGCAGCTGGAACACTGAAGGACCCATGATTGCAAAAGGACAGGGATGAGAATTGATCTTGTCTCAATCAATCTTGAAAACAGAATGTATGTGGATTGAAAACAGCTGCATCATATTTACTGTGTCGTCAGAGTTCGGGTAAATCGTCATAATTGGCCCGCTGTCAACCGAGAAGCATGACATCAGAGTAATTGGCCAATCAAGTCATTTTCTATTTGCCCAGGCCTTTCAGGAAATTTCAGGAATAATGAAGGAGTGAAGAGTGAAGCAAAATAATCCATTCGAGAACCGCGTTCTTGCTATGACCGTTCGTTGCAGCCAGTACAATTTACCGACGCTTATGGTGACCATGACAAAGGGAAAGTATCCCACATTTATGCAAAGCTTGGAACCCCATTTCAATCTTGCAGGCCTCCCACACAACATTGTTCCCCAAAGTTAGAATCACATGCTTGCCGCTGTTCCGCCTGTGAAAATGCCACCTCAACCGTGATTCCGCAGCCTCGATGACCGGCCACCTGCTCTTTAAGATGCATTCATGCAACAACCCTTCCCATCCGCAGCACTCTATGCCCGCCATCTGCTCTCGCGATATCCCTTAGGCCCCGTCCCATTCACAGCATTTTTTTGTGAGGTAGACGAACGGTGCTTGTGGACCAAACATATGAAGGCAATCAGAAATTTAGCTAGACATCGGTACTTCTGCGAGATACTTCGAAGGGTGGATCGGCTTCCAGCTACCAGGAATTGTCTGCAAATCACGACATTCTGTATCAAGTTGACGTTTGGTGCAACAGACATGGCGGAAGCAGTTAGAACTTACCTACTTAAGGTAGACCCCGTAGTGGGTGTCGCTCGAGGGGGTAAAGCGTGGGATTAGGCGCCGGATCCCCCGAGCTTGTTGGCTTCCCGGCGAAGCTCGATTGCCTCATTCAGAACTTTCGAGGCTTCCTTGAGTGCAACGTCCGCCACACTGTGCGTCCGCTTTGTCCTCAAGACACTCTGTCTTCTATGCAAGTCATGTCATCTTGCTTCCCATCATGTTCACTACTTAGCAAGCGTTGTTCTGCATACAAAGCGCGTACTCTATAATATCCCCAAGAATCTATTACTACCATTAGCTACCTACCATGTCTGCCACCCCAGTATCTCCTGCCAAACGAAAGCAGATCTTACGGGTCATCTTTATCTCCTTGTTGCTCGACCTGGTGTGCCCGTATTCGCCGTGCAAAGCGAGCTTGCTAATTAGTCCCAGATATCCTTCACATTCATCCTTCCCCTCTTTCCAAAGCTCCTCGAATTTTACCGCAACCTCGAAACACAAGATGACTCCTCTTCCATTCTCAATCGCATCTTTTTCGGTTTGAATGCCTATAAGCAATCCTTCTCGCGCCCCATCAGCGATCGATATGACATAGTCCTCCTCGGAGGCGCTCTCGGCTCTCTGTTCTCCCTTCTTCAGGCAATTGCTTCTCCTATCATCGGAACCCTCTCCGACAAATATGGGCGACGAACTGCACTTCTCTGGTCAATGGCTGGAAACATTGCCTCGGTGGCCTTATGGGTAGCCGCGACGGACTTCCGAACATTTTTGGCAAGCAGAGTAGTAGGAGGCTTGAGCGAAGGGAATGTCCAACTAGCAACCGCAATGGCAGCGGATGTTAGCAATGACAAGCAAAGAGGTGCCACAATGGCTCTGGTTGGAGTATGTTTCTCCATTGCCTTTACATTCGGACCGGCGCTGGGAGCGGCTCTCGCAAACATCGAAACAGTAGTCGCAAATCCGTTCGCTACAGCTGCTGGGTTTTCGCTCTTCTTGATTGTCGTGGAGACAATGTATCTCTACTTCTATCTACCGGAGACTCTACCTTCATCACGTGTAACGCCGGTAACCAGTGGCTCGATACTGAAGACCGGGTCAGAGCAGCAAAAGCATATTCGTACGAATTCCCATACCCTTTTGAATTTTACCCATTTCATTTTCATCCTCTTCTTTAGCGGCATGGAGTTCTCTCTCCCGTTTATGACCTATGACTTATTTGCCTACACGCCCTCCCAATCTGGCAGGCTCCTCGGATTCATGGGTTTGGTCGCTTCGATACTGCAAGGATCCGTCACCAGGAAACTGCACCCGCTTCGAGTCGTCCAGCTCGGTGTAGTGGCATGCGCAGCGAGCTTCTTTATGCTAGGCAGGCTGACGACCGAAGCGGGACTGTGGGGAGCTGCCACGTTATTGGCAGTAACGACTGCTACCGTTGTGACCGGATTGAATAGCATGAGTAGCTTCGAGGCTGCCGAAGGAGAAAGGGGTGGGAAACTGGGTAATCATCGAAGTTGGGGTAAGTCACGAGATCTTGCTATCATAGCCCTAAATTACTGACCCATGGCCTCTAGGGCAGATCGGAAGATCTTGTGGTCCTCTATTATTCTGTAGCCTATATTGGTGGGCAGGCCGAGATATTGCATACGCCATCGGAGGGGCCGGCATGTTAGGTGTTTGTGCAATTGTTTTTGGAGCCTTGAAGGCTCCTCCGAAATCCCTACCCCAGAAATGAAACACAGTACTAGAGACAATTCAGAAAGTGCCTTTCCCAGAGGGTGGCCTTGTTGTAGTGTTGCTATTACTTGGCAATAATTCTGTGGATATACCTGAAGGTCCTGTAACATGAGAATAACACCTTGTATTTGAGACCCCAATAGCAGTTAAGAGTCAACGCTCCATATCAAGAGAGATGTAGAAGAAGACATTGTTGTCCTCCAAAATTTCCTACTTTAAGTCTCTGAAAGTCTGAAGTCTACCTTAATTGGCAGCTTGCTTTCTCATTACTCAAGACTTGAAATCACAAAATGTTCGCAACTAATTTAAGTTGACCAATCAGTCTTAGTTTCGTGATTTTAAGTCTAAAACTCACCTTATTTCTTCATTTCTGAGCTAAAGGAGCACGGGTACGTCCAAAAGAGGAAGCTGGAAAAGAACTTCAAAATCCTCAAGTCTACCTTTTTTGATTCCTTTTCTTTATCAAAAATATGATAATAAACTTAAATACGTAGAGTTATAGAGTTAATATTTTAAAACTAGCGGAGATGAAATTTAATAAAGTATTCGTAAAGATATACTAAGAACAATTTTTTAAATTATCTTCGATTCTCAGTGAAATACTTTTGTCAGGGTGACCCTTAAATCCCTTAAGCCCTTCGGAGCTCTTTAAGTCCACCGCGATCATCGAAGCGCCAAAGTAAAGTACTCGAAATATATATTAAATAAATTTTAAAAAGGGTCCGAGGGATTTTAGGGGTCTCCTGAGAATTAAATAGTCAAAACCAGTACTCGGCAAGCTTTTCCTACTGGGAAGCCCGCGCCCCAGCACATATTTGGCTATACGGGTGGACTTCGGATCTCTCAGACTTTTGTCGCGGTCCACCGCGATCACGAAACACCAAAGTATGCCTGCCTACAATCACCTCTCTACTCATATGTCTTGTCAGCGCTCACCTCTCAGGTCAACACCTTAGCCCGCGAGGTCGACATCATGAAATGACTGAGCTCAGTCTCTCTTCATTTGCCCTTACGAGGCAGTCTCAGATCCTGTCTTTGAAGCCTTCACTATGGCACAAGCCGTACAAAGTAATATCATCGATCTAACTGGTGAAGATGACAATGACGACAGCATCGCAAGGGCGCATGCTGCTTGTCAGAAGGCCTTTGCAGCCGCATCACGATTGACTAACCACTTTGAATCCCTGAAAACGAATCCTCTCCCAGCCGTTGCTCCCAAACCGCTGGTGCCGCCTCGGCTTGGAACATTTTCCAATCCCGCTAGGAATGAAACGAATGGGCTCAAGAAGGATGGGATTAATAATACTATACAACGACAAGATTCCATGATCCCCAGCCTCGGTGTCTCATTCCCTCAGTCAGCTCTAGGGATAGCGGCTTCAAGGCCAGCGAAATCTCCCTCAATATTAGAGAGACCGAAAGGAGACGAGCGACAGCCAAGGGAGAACACATCTGTCACTCCTAGGGCCGATACCTCCACTATCCGCACGCCACGCTCAGCTGCTGTCTCCGCCAAGCAGAATATAGCTGACACATGCAATGAAATGGAAGATTGGGTCAACAAAGATCCAAACCTAGTACCACAGCAGGCTGGCGTCAGTACACCAAGGAAACCGGGGAGACCGAAGAAAGATCCCGATGAATGGTCACCCAGTTCGACTACGAAGAACAACGTAGAAGAGCGAAAGGGACTGGGCAGAGTTGTCACCAACGCACCGACACCATCCGCTGACGGACACGAAGACTTGAGAGCCAACGAAGACAATGGCTTGTTCCCCATCAAAGGAGTATTGACCTCATTAGGTACAAAGAAGCGGAAGCTCTCAGGATCGTTCCAATCCCATCCTTCTCCTGTCAAATTGGCTCGATGGAATGCAGAGCCGAGCGCTCCTCATCCGTCTACCCCTCCGAATGTGGCTGAGCCCGCCCGCAGTGAGCATGTGCACGATGGAACAGGTAACATTTCTCCCGCTGGTTGCTTCCCAAGGTGTGTGTATCCTGCTCTCAAAGCAGCGAAAGCAGTATACAAGCAAAGCCTTACAGAGGACGAATTGACTGGCATCGGAAACAGCGTAAGTCTTCTCTTGGAGCCCTAGGGTGAAAATCCTATGTCCAAAGGGAAAAAAATAACGGACGGACTAGATTACCAACCAAATTTTGGAGCAAGGAGTAGAGGCATTTTGTCCAGCAAGTGCTAATTGTCCTAAGAATCAACGAACGGAATTGATATTGAAATCCGTATCGGAGAATTTTCATGAAAAAGCACTGAAGGTTAGAAGTGGGCTCCCTGTCAACTTGATTGCCTTCGCAGAGGATTCCTCGAAAGGTGTCACTGATCCTCCCTTCAACCGCGATCCTAAAGCATCTCCACTCGAGCGCGATTCGTCTATCAAGAATATCGTCAAGACGAACAATGAGTCGCGATCGAAGCCATCGACTACAAAGTCTAGGGAGAATAGCGCATCGACAGACCAGGCAGACGCTGGTCTCTTCGGACGATCCAAGCCATCAATGCTGCACACGCAAGAGAAGATAGATCCTAGGCTCCACCCCAGATTCCACGAAGCTGCTAGTCCTACTACATCTGAGCCTATACTGTCATCGGCATCCACCGGGCTCGTCGCATATGCTGCCCTGTTCGAATCAGTAGTGTATCCTGCCATGAAGAAGTCAAAAAAGCGTCACAAAGACAGTCTTCCTCGAGAAGAGTTAGATGCTATCGGCAAAACTGTAAGTCTTACTTCGATGTTAGGATTGAAGAAAATGAGCCTTAATAGACATGCACTAATCCTTTAGATTGTCAACGATGTTCTGGACAAATTAGCATCTCACTCAGAGAATTCATACCAGCTGGACGAGAATACAAAGAAGAAAATCAAGCACTTCGTGAAGAAGTCTTTTCGTCAAAAGGTTCGGAGGACTAATGCGCAATCTTCACATAACCCAACTACTCCTGTAAATGGTTCAAGACTTGATATAGCTACGCTTTCATCCGGTTCTCCAGATCTAGAAGGCACGACTGGAGGTCCTCGTGCTCGTGTACCCGGTTTAAATGACTCTGAGAATGCCTCCGTGAGTCAGGCCATTGCAGTAAACGAAAAAGAAGAGGCACAGGCACCGCCTCCCATACCCCTAGATCAACAACAGTCTTTGTCGTTACAAACCTCACCAACTGAGTCTTCAACATCCCCTTTCGGACCCAATTTTGATCGTGGTCGGTACCCTGCTCTGCGCCGTAAACGCGGCAATAAATATTATACTCCAGCCAGGACTTCAAAAACCACCCCCAAACTCAAACAAAATCATTTTATACCTTCTGATGATTACTTGCGTTCGCGGCCTGTCACAAGACTCCCGACTGATCCAAGCTTGACTGCTCCAGCTTCAAACCAGCATAGCAATAATTTGGGAGTATCGAATGGCAAAGACCAGGTGCGGCTTTTAAAAGCTTTAGCAAGTCAACCTACGACCTTCCGGGTGAGTGAGACGCAGCTGATAACCTTGGCGACTGCTGCCGAAAAGAAAAGGACTCCTACAACTCAAAAATCGGCTTTGGAGCTTCTTGCCAGCATAGAAGAATCAACAAACGTGGGGCCTGTCGCACCTCAGTCCGCAAGCTACGACGACGCCTCGAACGCACTGCGAGAAGCTCCGGCCGAGGGTCAAGGAAGGATGACAGACGTGGGAGAGACGCCCGCCGGTGGCCGCGGACCGGTTTTCTCCCATCTTGCAAATCACCGAAACAACACTACAACCCATCAATCAGTCCAGCAAATTCCAAGAAACTGGCCATTGGAAGACACTGGTCCCCCAAAAGAACCTCGACCAAGATGCCGTCCTAACCCCGCCACAGCGCTCGATCCAAGTCTCGAGCACGTCATGGCAGTCTTGGTCACTGATACGTCCAGCCGGCCATATAAGGATGGACAGAGATACTATATTACACCCACAGATCGAATGCAGCTCGTTGCTGATCAAAGCATCGTGAAACATGCTGATCTCACCTCCAAAGTTGGGAAACCAAAGGTTGTTAGAGTTGAGACAAAGGTTATCGATACTGTCCGCTACCCAGGACGTTGCATTTCGTCATTGCTTCGGAACCGCGAGCTCGGCCTAAACTCTCGTGGACGACATGTCGGAACGATGGGTGAGCTCCGTCAATTGAAGAGTGAGATGATTGAGCCATGGAAAAATTGGAAAGGAGCATCTGGTGATGTGGTCGCTGTTGCATGGAGCCCAGATTCCAATGTGTATGCGTTTGGGGCAGCCGCACATACAAATGTTGAGGATATACAGTACAACCGTCCTTGCAACCTATTACTCGGTAATCTCACTTCGAACCAAATTCGAGAGCTACCCGATCACAGGGTCGATCGGCCGAAACCTGAAACCATTCCCAATGGACCCAATGCTACTCGAGCTGTCTACGACGCTTGCGATCCTAAAGTATACGAGACCGTTACCTCAATTGCGTTCTCACCCACCGGAGATCGAATGTTCACTGCGAGTCATGACTGTACCGTAAAGATCTGGGATATCTCTGCCGGGAAACACCAATGTCTGAGCACTCTCCGCCACGAAGCCTGGGTGACTAGCGTCGAGATCTCAGGGAACCGACCAAGTCTTTTTGCAACTGCCTCGAAGTGTGTCAACGGCGCCGTTCGAATCTATTACAATCCTGCAGAACCTTCGCGTTACGAGAAATTCTCGGCCTCGCGTGCAGAAACAAGGCCCAATTGGAAAATATATCCAGAATGTTTAAGGTGGGGCCCAAACTCTTACAACAATCATCTACTACTGGCAGGCTTCCAACAATGGGAGCAGCAGGGGGATTTGCTTTCCGGTGGGGGACAGCTCTGCCTCTGGGACGCCAATGTTTTCGAGAGCATCAAAGTCACGCCATCGTCACAAAGCGTTTATGCTGCAGCTTGGCATCCCACGGAGCCTTTCTTTGCTACGGGTGGCGCTCCCGGTAATCACATCATTGACAAAACCAACACCAAAACTGTTGTTCGCACTTGGGATGTCCGAACGCCGAAACGTTGTCAAGTCGAGTATGAGTGTCCTGCTATAGACATGCAAGACATCACTTTCTCTCCATTAAATTCAAATATTGTAACTGCTGGCTGTACAGACGGCATTTCTTACGTTTGGGATTGGCGTTGGCCAGATCAGCCACTCCATTGCTTGAAGCACGGCAGGCCCCTGGTGGATTTGGATCACACCAGAGAACGGGAAGAAGCTGATACCGGAGTGATGCTGAGCCTTTGGGGTCCTGGTGGCTCTCTGTTCTACACTGGTTCTTCCGACGGCATGATCAAGGCATGGGATGTTCGACGCCATCCCAAAGATGTGCTGATCAGCAATGTTGCCAATTTTGATGTTAGTATACAAAGCGGAGCCTTCTCGCCAGACGGTAACAATCTACTTGTCGGTGATGCTGAAGGAGGCATTCACGTTCTCTCATCTGCTCCTTGTGGGCCACGTTCAAATGTCCAAAGCACAGACGCGTATATTGATCTCGTGAGAGCCTCTGATGGAAGCGGCTTAAAACTTGATCAAAACGATGACAATCCTGGCACAGAGGGTATTGAAGCTGCTAAATCGCTTATCGAATCAGGTCAACTGGAGCATCATAAAGAACTTGGAGTTGGACAGGGGCTTAATTACCAAGGTCCCTACGCTACATACGCTCGAAAAGCAGTCGTCGAGTGTGGTATTGGCCGCCTGCGCAGAAGGTTCGAGAAGAAGCAACCAATTTCGAAGAGGGGTGAGAAGCGATGGGATATAGCAATTCCAATGACTTCTTTGCTCTACGAGAGGAAGGAAACATTGGATCGTGAGAAGGATGGCGACAAGATGGCGAACCTTAATGAGCATGAACCGAAGGCAATGCAGCAACCGAAGGATGGAGACAGCCTCCAGACAAGTCCCTTTTTCTCGACACCGCAAGGAGCATCTGCCGTCGTTCATCCGTCTTCCACAAGCCTCGTCGATTCCGTAGATAGCGAAAGTGTTGGCGCGACTGTTGTCGATGTTAACGAGGATCATAGCGTTGAGTACAATGCTATTCCCGAAAGTGAGATGGTTGAGGAAAATTACTGGTGGGTGAGGATGGGTGAGGAGGAGATCGCTCAGGCGAGGGCTGGACGAGTGAAATACTAGGTGGTCTTACTGGAGCTTCGAGGCTTTCAGTAACAGCTGCGATGCGCTCAGTCATTATCGATAGATCGTGACAATCCGAACAGGCTGAGCCATACGTACCCAGCATTGCCTATCCCTAGATCATTTATAATATAGCTCAATAAACGCCACTACCTTGGCTAGGTTTGCATAAGAGATTCTGCGTGTATTCGTTATTCTAAAGTGATCGTAGAACCGCCTGTGCTCCTGATATCAAGCTCGAAACTTCTCCCGTTGGAAGAAGCCATTGTGTACTTTCAAAAAATTCCTTTCCAACACTTTCACTAGAGAACAGGACATTTTAGAACGAAGAGCCTGAGTAGAAGCGTACACCGATTCCACAGTTAACAATTGCCGATATTTTTAACACGAATGGTCCACGGGCTGGGCGATCCATGCACCATTCGGAAGTTCTACACACTCTCTGGCCTCCGTGCAACTGTAACGTACTGCACCGTCTCTTAAATCTGCACAGATTCCTGTGTGCCAACCCAACCCGCGTGGGTCTGCTCGCCGGAGCCGCGGCGCGTGCGCATGATGTGTAGCGACGCTAGGAGCGTGGTCGCGAGGAAAGTCGCCCTGGAACCCAATTAGCCTCTCCTTCCCCTTCTCTCTCCCCCCAACACCGAGTCTCGGGGAGTTTTACCACGCAAGGGCACCGACGATCACGGCCCCGACCATCACATCACACGGTCCGCACAGGATCAATCCCCGGTGGAACACCGCCAGTGCCACGAACCCGGCGAACCAGAGCAGGCAGGTCGCGGAGTCCAGGGCGAGGATGAGCCATTTGTTGAAGAAGCGGCCGTTGGGCTTGTTGCCGCCCGCGAGGACGGGGTTGAGGAAGAGGTAGGGGAGGGTGAGGAGGGTGGAGGTTCCGACGGAGACGAGGTAGGGGGGCGCGGAGGGGGTGGTGGAGGGATGGGTGTGGTGGAGATACCAGGATGTTACTGAGGAGGGGGGGGGGGAGATGTCAGCTTTTATTTCCTGGGGCCGGGGTAAGGCAGCTTTGGTAGGGAGGGGAGGTGAATACCGTGGCCGTTCAAGCCGAGCGCGATGATGGCGAGGATGAGCTGGAAGATGCGAAGGGGAAGGTTGAAGTTAAACATCGTCGCGTGTCGTGTATCGTGATTCTAAGATCGTGGCTTGCGGTATGTGGAGTTGGAATGTGGGGTAGGTGTTCGTTTGGATAAGGGAGTGTGCGTATGTTGATTGTGGAATAGATGAAAGAGTGAAAAGAGATCCTGTCAAAGGATGTGCGGGTTTATTTGTTAAGCGATAATGAGCGTCAAGCTATATGAAAGAAAAGAAGAGTGAGTGAGTGAATGAATGAATGAAAGAAAGATTGAAAGTGTTGTTGCGAAAACTGGGCGACGAGAGGATACTTTGTTTTCGGAGGAGATCGCTTGGCGAAATTGCAGGGATGTGATTTGTTGGCGCTATGTTTCAGGACTGAGGACTCTGACCGTTATTTTTGGTCTTGATCTGGTATATCTCCTTGTCTTTTAACGCCTTTGGTCAGAAGAGCTTCTTCTTCAAGGCGCTTCGATCATGGACCGTCTGCAAAAGAACCCTACCGCCTCTGTATTGCCTCAAATCCACTGCCAAGCCAAAAATTGAAGGCCAGAGACTGAGGCTATTACTGGCCACATTGCCTTGACCTGAACTCTTCATCTAGATACAGCATGATTAATGCATTGTCATCATTGAAGGTAAGGTCCATTTTACTATCCATGCATTCCTACTCGTGCAGGCCACGTAGTGTTTCTCAGGTATTGTGCAGCGCTGCTTTCGGTGCTCTTGTGGGACTTTTGTTGACACTGGCACCTATACTCTATAACCTAGAGGAATTGTGCTCCAGAATAGGTATGTGAATATGCGCCTGCTTTGCTGTTGAATCGTTGTCTCGTGTGAACAGCAAAAAGTTCATCTCCAAAAAGATTCTCGCGTGCTAAGTATGTTCAACATGGATGAGCACTTTACCATGCTTCAAATTGCAAAGACCGATGTTTCACGATGCGGAAGAGTGATGAGAAAGTGCTCCGACCTTCCGGATGTTTTCTCCGTCACGAAGTTCAACACAAGCAGTGGTCAAAACCCCAAAGGAGTGTAGCCTGAGGGCTTGCGAGGAGTTGTCATGAGTGGTCAAGTACAATGCTACATCTTGATACGAGTAAGGGGGGCTCGAGAGGCGGAAAGGTTGGTGTCAATCGTGTATGAGTCCATGACAGGCTTAGGCTCCGCTGCGCCTCAGGCCTGAGGCGCTTACTCGTAAGCCACACTATGGACCCTGAGACTTCTAGCTGGTACTTTAGCGATGCCTTTATCTTTATCATAAGCGAGCAGATAAGATGTTTTGAAGAGTTAGGTACTGTACCTAGGTATTCATTATTCTCCGAACCATGCTATTCCGGCGGCATCAGAATCTTCTTCCACAGCTTCATGAATCATGATACTGAAGTCCAGGTTGAGAGAAGCAGTCATCACTAGGTACATGATGCCACCATTCCGAGGCTCTTCTGCCCCGTTGGAAGTCTGACACGATGACACCATCCCCGCTAAGCCCGAGTGCGGGGGGATATGGGCGGCAGCCAAAGACGCAATAATGCGGCTTCACGTCGTCAATAGTGCGACTTTTAAAAGCGACGCGGTCTTTTTCTTGCTTCAATTGAACTGATACTCATCGTGCCTTCAACATATCTGCTCAATCATCGATTTCACACCTCAACGTAATCTTACGTTGAATTTCTACTTGCCAGTATGGGCTCGGAAGCTCCACAGCAGAAATTTGAGACACTGCAGTTGCACGCTGGGTAGGAGGTCTCGAGTCTATTGATACACGGAAGCAATTGACTGACTGCGGAGACAGACAAGAGCCAGATCCTACAACCAATGCCCGCGCCGTCCCCATCTATGCCACGACCAGCTACGTCTTCAATGACAGCGCGCATGGCGCCCGCCTTTTTGGCCTCAAGGAATTTGGGAATATCTACAGCCGCATCATGAACCCCACGGTTGACGTCTTCGAAAAACGAATTGCGGCTCTGGAAGGCGGTGTTGCAGCCGTGGCAGCATCCTCAGGACAGGCGGCTCAATTCATGACGATTGCGGCATTGGCTCACGCAGGCGATAATATTATATCAACGTCGAACCTCTACGGAGGGACATACAACCAATTCAAGGTGGCCCTGCCGAGACTGGGCATAAGGACAAAGTTCGTGAAGGGTGACGAGCCGGCGGAATTCGAGAGACTTATCGATGACAAGACGAGGTGTGTGTACCTGGAGAGCATAGGGAACCCGAGATACAATGTGCCCGATTTCGAGAAGATTGTGCAAATTGCGCATAAGAACGGTGTACCGGTGGTGGTGGATAATACATTCGGCGCCGGAGGGTACTTCTGTCGGCCCATTGATCACGGTGCGGACATCGTCGTTCACTCGGCTACTAAGTGGATTGGTGGCCACGGCACCACAATTGGAGGCATTGTGGTCGACAGCGGCAAGTTCGATTGGGGCAAGAATGCCAAGCGCTTCCCACAGTTCAACGATCCTTCGGAAGGCTATCATGGTCTCAAGTTCTGGGATACGTTCGGCCCCATCACATTCGCCATTCGCGTCAGAGTTGAGATCCTGCGAGACCTTGGCACGGCGCTGAATCCATTCGCGGCGCAACAATTATTGCTGGGCATTGAGACTCTGAGTCTGCGGTGCGAAAGACATGCGTACAACGCTTTGAAATTAGCTCAATGGCTTCAAGAGAACGACAGAGTCTCTTGGGTGTCATACCCGGGCCTGGAGAGTCACCAGTCACACAAGCTCGCGAAGAAGTATCTGCCCAGAGGATTCGGCGGTGTACTATCATTTGGGGTGAAGGGAGGGCAGGAGGCTGGAAGTCAAGTCGTCGATGGCTTCAAGTTGATCTCAAATCTGGCTAAGTATGCTCTTCGCTCCTTCGTAACCGCCCCTAGCTTATTAGGTCACAGTATCGGCGACTCGAAGACCCTGGCAATCCACCCTTGGAGCACAACGCACGAACAGCTCAGCGACCAAGAGAAAACAGATAGCGGTGTCACGGAAGATCTCATCCGGATATCGGTGGGAACAGAGCATATTGACGATATAATTGCAGACTTTGAGCAATCCTTTTCGGCAAGCAAAGCTGCAAAGCCAAATGCAGAAGGGAAGGAAGAGAATGGGGAGGTAAAGGGCAATACGAATGGGGACGCTAAATTGAGTGGAGCAACATGAAACGAATACGGATTCTAATATAGCCGTTGTGGACTCGATGATGGTGCCTTTGTTTCACAAAAGAGAATGCTTTAATCACAGTCGCATCATGACGAAGGCTATAATCCTGATGAATCCCGTTCTTTGCCCGGGACACAGCAATTCACAGCAAACCACAGCAACCTTTAATTGGTAAGACTAACGCTTGCACTAATACCGACCACCAAAGACTTCGAAGATTGCCAAACACAGCAGCTTTTATAACATTGTTCATGACAAAGCATTCTCCTTTTGTTGGTTATTCCGAACACATGTAGTCTATGAAAGGATGCTTCATGGGCTTCCATCGGCCATCACACGAGGCCATCATGATCTCGTCTCATCCGGCACCAGATACAATGAGCGTCATTCACCTATGCCCGAATTGATAAAGTCTCTTTAAGAGTTGAGGCTCAGAGCACGAATAAGCATTAACCTATTACTGCAGTCGACTATCTAGACACTGCTCCTATATATTGAGACACCAAACCCTCGAAATAGAACAGGTTTATCCATCACACCAAGAACAATTGACTAATCTTACCATACATGATTTAATCGACTACTTGAATATTCACCATCACCACACCTTTACAAGAGCAGAGCCATATATACCCTATTGCTCGCCTTCCTCTCATCTTGACTGCCCTATCCGTGCCTGCCGCCGCATCCAATTCCACCAACGCCAGTTCCACTCTCACGTTTACAGCATTTGGGTCTTATGCGTGTGATCAGGGCGTGCTCACATTCAACTCAATGGCCTACGATCAAGCGTATACCATGCCGTCCAATGAGACTTTCCACTCCTTCACGCTCAGCCGCTCCCTGCTACCCAACGAAACGCTCACTTTTGCGCGAATGCCCGCTGTTTCTTGATATAACGAGCCCGCCCCTCCCCGATAATCCCCAGTGCGCGTACGCTCTTGGCTCGCTAACGCAGGAGAATGGCGGTGCCTGGATTCGAACCGGGACCAACAACTGCCGGCAGATGATGGGGGTGATGTCGTGTGTCTCAGCTATCGATGGACAATTCCACGGTCGGTGTCCCGCCCAGTCCAATCTCCAGCAGCTCGTCGATTTCCAGCTCGCCTACCTCCACCGTGTCTTCCACTTCGCTGTCCGCGGTTTCCGTCCCTGCTGCTACAACTACACATTAAGGTAGGCTTTGCGAGGCCAAGGTGGGTCATTGCGTTGGCACTTTGCGATGAATCAGAGATCAAAGGCTGGTAAAGCGTATTGGGAGTTGTTCGTCAAGCGGAATCTTGACTAGGTTTTCAATGGGTTGGAGCTGTTGATAGACAGCGCGAGAGCGGATTTGATCTATACCACTTCCAGTTAACAATCTCCCCAATAATGATAGAATCCCTTCACCCCCGATGTCTAGAGCCCCATCTTCGTACTCAATGCATGAGCAGCACGAAGCTGTGTCGCCTGAAATGCCTCTTTCAAGGAGTGTAAATCTGGACATCTCAACGAGCGTTTCCTTCTCTCCGCATATCCATCCAGTTGCCGCGCTAGCGAATACCGACCATTGCGAGCCAAGAGCCATGAAGCATCACTGTCGCGGAAGCCACCATCATCCAACAGGCGCATAGAATCTGGACCTGCCGGACGGATCGGATGCCTTGTTGGGCTCGAAGCCGTAACACTCCTGTAGACCATACTACCTCTCTCCCCTGTGCTTCCACACATATCTCCCACTACGAACAGTCAACGCTGACCCTGCCCCCTGGGCGCCACATAAGATGCTCAGCTCAATCACGACAGTGAGTATGTCCGTGTGTACGTCGATGTTGCGGGCTCTGCGGGTCAAGGGTTTAATACATTGTACGACAAGGATCTTAGCGGAGGTATTGGTTCAGTGCGTGGAGCTTGGGGTAAAGACATATTCTAAGTCTGTGTGAAACAGGTAGATGGAGAATTTACGAAGAGAAACGACGATTATTCGCGGAGAGACTCTGATGCCCATCACGAAGCAGTCGGAGCGAGGTCCATGTCGACCCGCAACGTCATCATCGGCAACACGAAACTGGTACTTCAGCTGAGAACAAGCTCCGAGACTGTTGGCGAAATGCTTCCACTCTTCCCAGGACAGCGTCCATGTGGCACGCACCATGAGCTAGAGACAGCTTCTGTTCAGCCACTCGGTCTCCAGGAGTGGCTCTGTCCGGTCTCCATCTGATCGCCATCAACCTTGAGACACAAGAACGGTTCCTAGGGCGCGGTCAGCAACGATGGAGCTGGGTAGAAAGCGGATCACAGGGGGTATAGTACAGACCGTCCAGAGCTATCTTCATACTTTCCGCGATGAAACGCGCGGCCGTGCTGTAGATCGCCAGCGAATCTTTTGCACGACGGGACGACTCAGCTTGCTCTTGTGCATCATCGAAAGCCCGAGACGCGTTTGGTATGATTGCAGATCTCACTCACCAGGATTCGCCGGGTCCTTCGCCGTTACGCAATCATCCCATCTGTATGCTTCACCGGTTTCATCACTGTTCATCGTACCGAGGAGGGGGCTATGAGCCATTTCGTGTAACAAGTAATGGTCCAGCCAGCGCCAGCTGTCCATCGATGAATGCCGGCCGCCTCGAAGCCATTTTTCCAGGTCCTCAATTTGGGCTGAGATGGTCATCAAACTAGGGTCGTGCACCATTACATCGAGCGTGGCCTTGCAGATGTGGATCACATTAAGAGATTGGACGTTTTGTGTGTTTGAGCTGACGCTCGTGGCGTAGAGTGCTGGTGCACGTAACACTATATTTGGGTTCAGGCACCCGGTGTAAGCCTCGTTGGTGATGTCCTCGAACGTATTGGAAAAGGTGTCGTAGACGTAGCTCGGGTCATCTCCGAGTATCAAGTACTCGACACCGCAAGTGATCATGGTGGGGTCGATTCCGACTGCCGCATCATAACGAATGGCGTGAGGAAAGTCGTTGAGTATTCCTATTCGTTCTAGATGACAGATTGAAGAGTCAGCACTCCGGACCGTATCATGGCATGTTGCGGAGAGGAGATGAGAATTATGCATGCAAAATATGAGTCGCCTCAGAGTTGGAACAAGGGAAGCGCACACTCACGCCTAGCTAACTGCTGGTTTGCTTCGCTACCGAACAACCATCCAGAAACTTCAATGAGATCCTCATCAACTTCCGTTGGCATATCTGCACCATACTCTGCCGTCTCAAAAGCGGAACCTAGCGCTTGGCTTATCAGGTCGGTATATCCTGGGTCATGTTCAGTGAATGCACTGGTAAGACATGAGCAAAGCTGGAGGACTCACGAGGCACGCATGAGTCATGCAAGATAACGCAGTCGCATAGAAACGCGAGAGAAAGTGAAAGCAGAATAGGGAGACCGGAAGGACGAAAAGGAGTCAACAGCATCGCGATACACTCGGCGGGATTTCAATACATATACTGGTTGGTAAGTGACTGCCTCTTGTGCACTCCGTGGCTTTGGCAGGAAGGCAGGAATCGAGCTTATCTGCGGGTCCTCGAGAACAGTACAGAACTAGAGCGAGCTTTCCGAGCAAGAGAAAGCGGAAGGGGTGAGTGTGGTCTCATATAAACACAAAAAAGGGCCTGTCGTTTCTCGTTGTTGCCATCTCTTGACCTACGTCGTTGCTCTTTCATAGGCGGACAGGGGAGTAAGAGCGACAGGAGACTCAGCCGCTGCCGATACCATAGTATGGATGTTTCAAATAGAGATATCACATGCGAATCAAATACACAGACAGGCATTTACACAGTCGGCATACGAAAACCTCATGAGCTAACCCTAAGTGGTCAAATTTGCGAAAAGCTCCAGCTCCGCAATACTGCAAACGCTTCGTTGAGTTGAGGTTTCATACCTGAGTCTCCACTCTTTCCGTCTCGCATGTCTTAGCTTCGCGAACAGCTGGACTGTCTGGGGAGAGCGAAATTAAGGGCCACTCGCAGCATCGATGATGGCATGATCAAGGGAGCCGGAAGGGTGGAGCAAATTCTGCGCAAAAGCTGATTACCCGTCGTCTGAAATGTTCAAGTCATCAATTAGGCAAGGATGGAGGAGCGACCAATAAGGTCCCCCACTTGTTTGCGGCACAGCATGGGCTGTGCGTCAAGACAAGCTTAGACGAACTGCAAGACAACAACAACATCTTGGGCGCCCAGTGGAGAACACGTCTGTTGGTAATACGTTTCATTCAAGGTATACCATCTCGTCTGAGCTTCACGGATAATCGTGCGGCTGCAGCATCAACATATACCTGAACCTGATCCCTGTGCTTCCATTCAGAAGCTCAGAGTGGGAAGGAATTGCCAGTTGAAGGTTGAAAGGCATTATTCTCAACTTCTGTGCACTACTGCCGCCATGAATGAAATTCGTACTCTATCCCAAACATCGACTTGATGACTTCAGTTGCGATTGGCTCTCGAGATGACCCATAGAAGACTCCCTTCATTCGAAGACAACATGTTGCTCGGCTGCTCTTACCCCTAGGAGTATCAACCTGTAAATCGTCAAGGTATTGGTACGATGCATCAATTAAAAGGCTCGATCTTGCCACATAGCTCACCATATGTCGAATTGCGCATTTTCAGCCAAATCTGCCCAATCCCATAGAATCTTTCGCTCAATAGCAATCATGATGGCGCTTCGTACCTTGGCCTCTCGAACGTCTGTATTATGTTTGTCTTGGTTAGCTATTTTTATGTCTCAAGTACTGGGACAGACCATCTCCATTGGGACAGACTTCATCACTTCTACAGCGGTGAGCCGACTCCAAGGACGTGCTCGGGCTTTTCGTGTGGCTCATCGCTGATATCTTGTAGTCTGCGAGCTCTGCACAGTTGACGGGTGTATCGTGCGCCATTCATATTTATCCCAATGGCGACTTTGGCCTTGACATGAGCGATGGCTTGAGAGACCAGATCCAAACAATCAAGTCAAGTGCCACAAATGGCACTAGCGTTGAGACGAAGATCCAGAATGCCATCATCGCTGCCAACTACAACATACAAAAGAAACAACTTGGCAGTGCCGCACTTGCGGAAGGGGCTTTCATTCTCGGAACTATCTCGTACTTGTTCAATTCTCACCCAGCGGTTCCGATCCACGTACAGATCCTTTCCGAAGATGTCGCACAGATGTCTTCAGCTCAGGCTGCGTTTGCGAATCCGACCGTGATGTACATCGAGACCGCGAGTGCGGGCCCGGTAGCGACTGTGCTATTGGCTGATTCGTCACCGACGGTGGCACCTTCCGTCGCAGTATCCAGTGCGGCATCCTGTCCCTCACAGATAGTAAGCGGTGACTTGGTAAGGAAACGGGATTTTGTGTCACTGATGTAAGTTGTCCAGATAAGGTGTGAAACCGATGGTTGTGGGGGTCAGTATCCAAAAGATGTTTGCGAAAAGGTCAGATAATGTTGCCATGGGCAGAACCGTTGTTATGGACTAACAACTATCACGAGTAGCCAGAGAAAAAGGGTTGTAAATGCGGACCTACACTGATAGATCCCATTGGTGAATAAAAGGTCATTGATCGCTGCTATTCTACGCATTGTTAACAGGACTATAGCCGAACCACCATTCGATGCCAACGCATGGACAGCCGGCTTGGCCTCGTGGGCCTTAATTCTTTCTAGTCTCTCAACGATGACAACTGCGCCGAGCGCTCTACCTTCTTGCACGTCAGTTGCTCCCAAACGTCAAGCGCGCAGATGCTTGAAGAGCGCGACTGATAGACCACTTCAGGCTTGTTGCTCCCGGTTCGAACGATGGGTGCGCCAACCAGCACTGCTACTGCCCGTCCGGAGGCGGAGTCGTTGTCCCTCCTTTGACAAGTGTTATCTCCGGCACTACAACTACCGACTGCTCCTACACCACCCAGCCCTCAATCGACAGTTGTCCGCCAGCACCATTGACCAGCACGACGTCGTCAACCACCCTCACAACTAGCACTACAGCAGCTGCCTCACCTACTGTTGGACCGATAACCTGCAACACATACGAGACCAGCTACAGCCACTGCTGGACCGACATCGACGCCAAAACAGTCAACACAACGGCCGATGCGATGATTGGAACCCAACTTCCGAACGGGCCAATGACGTCGGGGACTCCGAATAGCACTGAGGTCGTGACGGTGAAAGGGTTGAATTACTTTATAAATATTGGCTGGATTCCCGGATGTGTTGCGGTGGACTCACAAAATCCAGCCAATCCTATTGCGAGTGATCAGTCCATTGCAACAAGGGACATCCTATGGCAAACTTATAATGACTGTAAGCCATTTATTGTCGCTTGAATCTATCTCTCGACATCGTTGGCTGACATCCGATAAGGTCCTGACAATCATGGAATTGGCGGCTATTCAGACACCGTTTGCTTGAGGATCGGGTTCTTCCCAACCAAGGTTGAAAAGGTGGGCGGTAATCCTCCTGCTGTAACGAACTATTGGAACGACCCAGTATACTGCTAGTTGAATCCGCTGTCCTGCCTTTCCCCTGAAACTTTGATGGGAGAAGAGAGAGATCTTAGTCTTCGCAAACAAAGGCGCGTGGTAAGTTGAGCTATGTGACAGTAGCAAAAAGATTCGTAGTCGCACATCCTTTTAAAGGGTCATGTCGGACAACGCCTTGAATGTGCTTTTCCAAGTCATAGCGCCAACCGTTGAAGCTATTACTCGCAGTTACCTAGGCTCGTACGCTTGGACTTCAGTGGCGGCAACGCCCTCATACTGACAGGTGGGGCTGATCCATCCAACGATCTTTGGGCAGACTAGCGATCAACTTTGGCCTCTCAGTTTTGTACGTAAGCATATTAATCTCAGATACCGCTTCTCCTGATACAAAGACACTCTTCCTGCCAAAAACCTCCAGCCCGCCATGGCGCGTGGCAGCCCTGGGTCTTGGTCGGGGTTCTTGGAGGAATGCCATAAACGCTCGACCATCGAACGACTTAGGCCAGCATTACTGCATCACCAGTGGCGGCAAGAGCCTGGAAATCTAAAGCAAGCGACAGTAAAGTCATACTCGATGAGTTCCTAGACGCTGTAAAGGGGTGCATAGAAGGAAAGCTCGATATGTGGTGAAGTGGTTGTGGCAGCATGATGCCTGTCTGCGTGTATTGCCCCAGCGATCCGGATGGAAGGATGGTGTGCAATGGATGTTGACATTTGACATTTTTGTTGCTTTGGTTAATGTCGAAGGGGAAGCTTCCTTTTGATGGCTAATCAAGGCTCTTCAACACTTCAATACCCTAAGGTAGGTATGCTGCTTGCGCGGGAATGCTGACGTTTACTCTAGCACTTTGCTCCGAGAGGCGGGGTTTACAGTTGGGCAGGGGTGAAAAGAAAATTCGGCTGGGGTGAAGCTAGCATATCCCGAATTTTCACGGATGACAAAGCGAATGCGGACAACCTACCGCAGGTTCCAAAGCCGACAGGACACAAAACCTCAATTAGGTTAGTCTCCAATTTAGTGTTATCTTTAGTTCACCATGAGTCTGAATTCTGAGACTAAGGTATGAATCTGACTGCTAAACCACCGTATTGACTCACGATCCAGCTTCATCAAAGATTAAGTGAAAATTCCCAACAGATTGTGTCCGTCATGGACCCAGTCTCATTGAGTGCCTCAGCTGCGGCGCTTATCACAATCTTTGTTCAAGCTGTGAAGGTCTTAAAGCAGACAATCGAGACTATTCGGAATGCTAAGAGCTTCCTTCTAAGGCTCTTGAGCCAAACGGAACGCATCCGCATTTTCCTGGAGCAACTTCGCGCCCTCACAGCACAGCTTGGCCCTCGAGCTGGCATTCTTCTGAACTTCAATGATAGCGGCCCCAAAGAAACGATCAACGAGCTTCATGCTTTCGTTCAAAGTATTGCTCAAACACCTGCGTTGATCAGGATCAAAGTACTGCTGAACCGAAGTGCCGCTGATCATTTGGTTGAGAGGCTTCATCGTCACGAAGAAGAAATTATGCAGACGTTGTTATCAGTTGCAGCGTAAGTCCCAAGCTGGAAATGATTGTTCTTGTGACTGAAATCGCCATCGCAGGTCCGCAGCCGTTAGGACGGAGGACGAGATCCGCCGAATACGCGAAGATGCGATTCTTCATTCTAGAATCACGGCCCCTTTCAGCTCCGAAGCACCTGTTGCCGTTGACGCGCCTGACCTTCAAGCCGATAACCTCAGGCCGAGAGTTTCAGGAATGGGAAATTCTGTGGTAGGCTCTGTGGATAGTCAGAAAAAGTCTAGCATACCAAGTCACTGGGAGCCGTCCATGAATGGCTTCTCTTCATTGCAGATCTCAGACACGCAGACACTGGCTGAAGAAGAATATGACGATACAATACCTCAGACCAACGATGATCAGAGCCATGTATCACGAATTCCGAAGGAATCTCAAGATTTTATGCAAGACCACGACCCCGAGTCAGCCATCTTTGAAGCAGATTTATTCAACAACGACGAGAGCATAGAAGTAGAGCAGCTTAGTAAGCTCCCGGTCTGGTTTGGCGATCTCTCACCTGTAGGTTTTGACAGAAGGTATCTTGCGTTGAGAGATAAACTTTCAGATGCGGCTTACTCCGGCCAATTCGAGTCACTGTTCCAAGTATTAGCTGATGTGGAACACGCCTATGCGCAGTCATGGGCAAACGCACCACGACTCAGTAAGCAGTGCCTTGTCTTTGGTGTCCTACAAACGATATTCCCGAGCGTCCGATCGCCATGTCGATTGATGTGACGTAAAATTTATTCCTCTCACAGCTCATCGACTATGTTTCTGAAGGACTTCCTTCTACTCATTAGTGAAGCAAACGAAGGGACTTCCTTGCTGAATGTTACAAGCTTGATTCCACCGCTGATACACAGGTATCAATAGGCAGGACACCTCAGCAAGCGTCCGGATGGATCCCTCTTCATCAAGCTGTCTACATGGGAGCATCCAAAGACCACATCACCCGCCTAGTTCGGGATTTTGGCTCTCTGCGTGAGGCTTTTTTCTTCAGCCTCAAATGTACCTCCTATCTCTCTACCATACTGCCACTAATCTCTTGCCTCCAGGTCTCCTCCGCACTGCCTGGACCAGCTCATCCGAACTTCCGAATCGTAACATGACCGCGCTCGAGATAGCTATGGCAATTGGACGCTGGGAACTCGTTGACGTGCTCAATTCGGAAATTCTTTACCCCATTTCGCACCCCATTCTCACGACTCTACAAATACACTTCCATAACCTCATTCGCAGCAATTTGTCTGCGCGTCCGAACGAGCTTGCCGCCCTGAGGCTCCCCGATCTTTTAGTACTGACAGAGTTGGAACTTCCAATGATGTGGTTCCCCCTAAAATCGGAGGGACCAACAAAAAGCCCGCGAATGGAAATGAGGGATTCGGGTCCCGATATTCGAAAAGAGAAAGCTCGAGAAAGGGTCAGGGTGAGACCCGATATCTTAAGATTGACTTTCCCTGATGTTGGACCGTACTAACATGGCGATGCCGCGTAGGGATATCTCTATCGACTAGATGGAAAAGAGATTCTTGTGAAGACTTTCAACATCGAGCGGGAAATGGTGAAGTTATATCGGATTTCGGAATTCGGCCACTGTGAAATTGATAACGCGATTGCTTTCCACATCTAGATCTGTGACCTTGTAGGAGATACCAATCAATGGTCGCTCCTCTCCAAGCACGTTCCTCCGCATTTCCATTACCTGCACCTCCATCTTCTCGAGATATGTATTGAAAAAATACAACAGAGGGACTACTCAGTTCTAATACTATTATTTTAAGAGTTAAGAGTTAAGAGTTAAAAGTTAAAAAGTAAAGAATAACTTAGAAAAAGTATTTATATATAAGTATTATTAATATCTAGTAATAATATAATCTTTATATATATAACGAATTTATAATATATAATTTAAACGTATTATTATAATAATAATATAACGCTTTTATATTAATAAACTTTACGCGTATATTATCTCTATTATACTTATAGTAATTATAGAATAAATAACTGACTGTCATGCCACGCTAGGAAGTTCTTGCATCAGAATCTGCAACTCAATCTCCTAGGACCAGCTCGATTCATAACATACGATGTATTGCGCCTTCCACGGGTGGGGCTCATCCAGCGCTACACTCTCATTTTCTTCGTTTTTCTCGTCTCCGGGTACGTACATTTCGGAGCCGATACTTCTTGAAGCTGAGTCGCAAGACATGTTTCGAAGCAAGCGGACCTTTTTACTCCCGAGACCTGTCTCGCAACTTCATTACCTACCTCGTATAAGCAATGCTGACTCCGAAATCCGCGCAGCTTCTTCTATATAGTATCGGACCTCGGTGCCAATATCCCCCCAAGTCAGTCAGATGCACTACGGTTTTTCATCACGCAAGCTCTCGGTATCGTGCTTGAGGACGGAGTACAGGAGACCTATCGGCACATCCGTGGAGGTGAAAGAGCTGCTTTATGGTCCAGAGTCGTGGGCTATGTTTGGGTTTTGGCGTTCTTGTCCTAGTCTACAGGCGTCTGGCAGTATCCGGCGGTGTTAATTGCAAAAAAAGGGATGCCGGTGTCAAATTGAGTGCTTTTCGTTCGCTGAATTCGCCGAGGAATTCATGAACTTTGCAGAAAGGACTTGATCGATGGCTTTCCGCGGCTTTTCGTATGCATAAGCTCTTCGGATTATGGCTCAAACGCAACAAGAAAGCCAATTTCCCAACCAGAGTCTTGTTTTGGCGCAGTACAATTAGACTTAGCGCCATTCGCTCCACACATGACATGCACGCCGACTGTAGTAGTAGTAGTACTACTACATAGTAATAGTAAATGTATATATAGCTGTATTCTGATCATACTGCAGCACAAATTTCATAGCGCATCCATTGAGCCCCTGGCATAGAGAAACTTGATAGACTTGAGATGTAGAGTAGGAAAGCAGACATGGAAAAGCACGGACAAAAACTTGTGGCTTGGCTTTGTAAGCGCGCCGAAGCGAAGCACCCCTGCAGCAAATACATTCATCGAGCACATGAACGCTACCAACGACATTGAGTGCAAAAACTTTCAATTCATAAAAATTATCTCGAGAGGGAACATGGTGAAGAAGGTCCGACTCCGATTGGGACTGAGATTGAGACTCACAATCCATCGCTTATTCTTCAATCCAAAGTCTTTTTATACTTCGATGAAACGCCCCCGGAGTTGCCGAGGTCCAGATGGAAGAGGCGTCGAGGAGCTCCTACTGCGCTGGATGCGATAGTGTCATCTCCACCCCTCTTTTGCCTCAATTGTTCCTGTCTTCCAAACCTCCATGTGCGGGCTCAACACTACTTTTCTAATTCCAGTAACACGCATGCACCGGTAAGATGCGAAGGACCCATGGTCCAAGCCCCTCAACACTCGAAGCTAATCTTGTAATGCAGATAGACAGCCTTCCATTCTTCTTGCATCAGCTCTAAGAAAAGACAACAATTATTGTCACCCAACATCATGGCCGCCTACCTCGAGCTTGCCAAAGACTACCATACCCCTCCTCCAGCAGGCGGCCCCTACTCAGTGACCGTTCCAGGCACGGAGCAACCGGGACGGAGTGCGACATACAGACATTGGAGGTTCAGGGATGGACTACTCAAGAGTCTGGATCCAAATGTTGGTAGAGTCTTTTCGGAATGTTTTGGGATGCCTCAATTGACTCTTCAGCTAGGTCACCAACGCCCACCAAATGTTTGAGAACACAGGTATGTCAACACCACCTAGGTGGACTTGGATATACGCTAAATCCGAGTCCTAGCGAATCGTCAACCGTCAGCCAAATGTCTTGGCTCCCGACCCTACAATCCAGCCACCAAGACGTTCGGCAAATATGAGTTCATGGACTACGCTACCGTTCAGAAGCGAAGAGCGAACTTTGGTGTTGGCATCAAATACGTGGTCAAAGAAGCTGGAGTACTGGATCAGAAATATGGGGTTGGGCTCTGGTGCCAGAATAGGCCAGAATGGCAGATAACAGGTATTGGGCCCCAACAGCTTGCGGATGGATCTGCCATCTTACATTGCTTTCAGACTTGGCTTGTATGTCACAAGCACTGTACACCGTTTCGCTATACGACACTCTCGGGCCCTCGGCAACCGAGTATATTGCCAACCATGCCTCCCTTCCCTGTATTGCAACCTCGTTACCTCATATCCCAACCCTTTTGAAGCTCAAGCCAAGATTACCCTCCCTAAAGGTCATCATATCTCTAGATCCCCTTGACGATGGGGAGAGGGAAGGGCATTCAAAGCATGCTCTGCTGAGTGCAATGGCGTTGGAAATAGGTCTCAAGATTTACTCTATAGAACAGGTGGAAGCTATTGGAGCATCTTTCGGCCCGCCTCAGTACAATTCCGCATTGCCAACAGACATAATAACAATCAACTATACCTCGGGTACCACAGGGCCCCCCAAGGGTGTGGTACTGACGCACGCGGCGGCAGTGGTTGCAGCTTCCTGTGCACTTGTCTCGTGCCAACAAGGCCCTACTGATAGGTTCATTTCTTATCTTCCTTTGGCACATATCTACGCTCGAATGACCGAGCATGGCGCGCTTTGGTCTGGCGGCTCAATCGGATACTTTCATGGCGACATTCTTGCCTTGGTCGATGACATGCAGAATCTCCGTCCTACTGCTTTCACTTCTGTCCCCCGGCTCTACAACCGCTTCGGCGGTGCGATCCGCGCTGCTACAGTCCAGCAACCAGGCGTGAAAGGGGCAGTGGCCCGTCACGTAATTTCCACCAAGCTGGCAAATATGGAGCCCGCCGACTCCCCATCCGCAACAAACACGCACGCAATCTACGACCGCATTTGGGGCCGCAAGGTCGCCGCAGCTCTCGGTCTTGATCATGTGCACGACATGGTATCGGGTTCAGCACCCCTGGACCCGACTCTCCATAAATTCTTCCGCGCAGCATTTGGAAACAGGTTTGTCCAAGGCTACGGGCTCACCGAGACATATGCTCAAGGTCTTTGCCAACAGAAGGGAGATCTTTCAGTCGGAAATTGTGGCGCCTGTGCTCCTACTCTTGAGCTGATGCTACTAGACGTACCAGACATGGAGTACTTTTCGACCGACAAACCTCAACCCCGCGGCGAGCTCTGCATTCGAGGTGGCTCGCTCTTTTCCGGCTACTACAAAAACGAAGAAGAGACGAAGAAAGCTATGCTACCTGATGGATGGTTCTGTACCGGCGATATCTGTACCATTGACTCGCGCGGTCGTTTCCAGATTATCGATCGTCGGAAAAATGTTCTCAAGCTCGCTCAAGGCGAGTACATCTCGCCTGAACGTATTGAGAACATCTACCTGTCGCATCTCAGCTTCCTGGCCATGGCGTATGTGCATGGTGATTCGATGCAGACCTTCTTGGTCGCCATTTTTGCGGTGCAGCCGGACATGTTTGCGCCTTTTGCTAGCAAGGTGCTTGGTCGAACGATTGAAGCTACGGATTCGCAGGCCGTGGCTGCAGCTTGTAGAGATGTCAAGATCAGAAAAGCGGTCATGAAAGAGCTGGATAAGGTGGGAAGGAAGAATTCATTTGCCGGTTACGAGCGGGTCCGGAATTGCTACTTGATGGTGGATCCTTTTACGATTGAAAATGAGCTTCTGACGCCAACGTGAGTTCTAACCTTGGTAATTTGAATCGCGAACGGAGTATCGTGCTGACACTATTCAATTAGTCTGAAGATGAAGCGTCCACCAACGGCCAAGGTGTATAGGAAGCATCTTGATGAGCTATATGCTGAAGCGCTGGCAGAGGAGAAGTCGGGCAAGAACGTCCAAGCGAAGCTGTGATGAGAAATTTTGCCCTCGAGATCCCGCATTTGCATCAATAGATTTTGGCACCAATTTCCACAATGGGTTGGGCTTTCCGGCATTTCTTACACAGAGCATAGCGAAAGTCGGCATGCAGCTTTTGGCATGTAAAACATGTAGAAATTGATACACTGAGATACTCAACCCTCTTTGTGCACCAACGTCTTCATCTCCGTAGCAATTTCTTTGACAACATTCACAGCCTCCTAAGACCAGGACATCATCTGAAGCCATCCGTGCGTCATCTCAGCATAATGATGCCACTGCACAGTGTTCCCAGCACACTCCAACTGGTGGGAATATTCCACACCGACATCCCTCAACGGGTCAAACCCCGCCGTAAACACCGCCGCCGGAGGCACTCCCTCCAAGTACTCCAAACTCCGCACACCCAACGAAACATGCTCGAACGCAGGCGTCATCCCCCCTGGGCAAATAATGGTCCGCAAACGAGGAAAAGGTCCCATTACACCCGAGATACAACCCCCGTGTCGATCTCCGGTCTCGGCCGGAGTGCCGAAAGATGGGGATCCTGGGACGTTCATTCTTCCCCTCGTCCCGTCCGGCGAAGGCGCGATGGCGGCCGTCATGTTCTCACCCGCCGAGTCGGCCCCTCCGCAGACAAGGTCGGGATCGACGCCTCGAGAGTCCCCCGCCGTCGCCGTGGAGTCCGGTCGATGATGGAGGGGTCTGCGTCGAGTTGGGTTGGGTAGCGGAATTCGGGGGCGAGGTGGTATTCGTTGGCGTAGATCTGGGTGTGTGCTTGCTGTATTAACATGGAGGCCCTTATCATGGTGGTTGTTGTTGTTGTTCTTTTGCTAGGCGGTGGCGGTGGTGGTGATGATGGTAAAGTAGCTGAGCACCCGACTCCTCGGCCAACAACCCTCAATCCGTTTTCGAACTCATCCACACTCCCCCACCGTATACTCGCCTCCGTGGAAATAGATCGAGGCCGCCGCCTTGCCCTCCTTCCTCTTCCCCTCCCCTGACTTCGGATAAAGTACCCGTACGGGTATCGTGCCTAGGAATCGAATCTGTAACCTCTGGTGAAGCGTTATGGCGGTCATGTTGAAGGCCAACTCCACATCGTCACGTCATTGCAAAGGCTTCTCCGCCTTCGACGTCATGTAACTGGTGCTACAAGTGTTGTGTATGCATCCTTGTGACAGCGAAGGATGAGGATGGAGAGCGGGTTCTGTAGAGACTAAAAGGTACGGTGATGGGAGATGGGAGCAACGCCAACATCAGCTCGGGCCATATCGAAACATCCCAAGCGACCGCTGTTCAGAATATGGGATATATGATAGACAAATGTCTGACAATCGCATGATCTGAACGATCTCGAATTTGAAATTACATCATCGTCTATGACCACACTTTCTCTGAGGTTTTCTCACATTAGATCCCTATTGCACTCTCTCTTCTGGTGTCCTTGCCATTTGGTGCGGTTTGAAAGGAATTTTGCTCCTTTTCAGGTTTTGGTTGGTGATGAGCTCGTGTCGTTCCTGTTTGACGGGATGGTGCCCTTCAAGTGCGGATCCATCGGCTCCTTCTCCAAACACTACACTACACTCGAAATGCCCCTGTCCTTTGCCCTCTTTTTTTTTGACAGAATCTTTTGGCAAATTTCCGCAGCGCGCGCCACACGGACATGATCATTGCCGCGCAGCCCAGACTTATCAGGCCGATGTTCAGTCATCAGCCAGATATGGGAAGGCATCATTTGACACGCCGACGAAATCGTCGGACTATGAAAGCCGTCAAAGCAAGACCGAGGCCAAATCTTGCGAAAAGGGCCACATAGAGAGCCTTGAACAGGCGATCAAAGTAGCCTTCAAGCAAGAGCCCACCAGCAATACCAGACTCTGACCCTTTACTCTGTCGCCTGACCGATGTCGTGAAAGTCGTGGCATCGAACCCGCTAATCCGGACATCGTTGGGCCTAGGCCTAGCGGTTGTCGCAGTCAATTCTTGCAGCTTCTGTGAACGGAATCTGTAGGTAAGCAGCATTACCACTACACGCAGATCCCAAGGTGAAAACTGGGGCCAGTACCATAGCTTTGACGTTCCATGTATGTCAAGCATTTCGAGGAAGTCTGCCATAATTCCCATAGTCAAACCCCACAGCACTAGAGAACGATCATTCTCAACATGCTGGGTAGGATCTCCTGTGAAAGCGTTCCTGATCATAATATTTGCAGACTCGGTCCAAGTAGCTGGACTCCTGGTTTCAGGGATGAAGCCGCTGGCTGCACTGTTGTATAAACTCTCGGTTGGTATCAGTTTAATCCCACCAAAAAGCATATAACCAGCTGTGGCCCGAGTAAGCATTTGCGCAACGTAGCCTTTCCGCGGTGAGCCCTTAGAAAGGTCCCATCGTTCAACAGTCCGAAGCGAAGGCGCCAAAAGCCCTCTCAATGCCACCCAATGGGCCGAATGCACTTCAGAAGGCTGGAGGGTTAAGGGAGGAAGGTCATGCCGCAGAGCAAGATAGACAAATGGACAGAGTACCATTAGCCTGCTTAATTGATCAGAAACAGAGATATCGAGCAGAAATAGAAAACCCACGGCGTTTTACCCCAAGGTGACTTGATTATCCTCTCAGGCAAATTGCCGACTTCAAGACAATGTTCACTGTCAAGCTCAAGGCCCGTCTCTTCCCTTGTTTCCCTTGAGCTTGTTGCACGATCATCCAAATCAGCCGGCTCCCTCTTCCCACCTGGAAGGGCAATGTGACCAGTCCATCTGTCGCCTACCCTAGCAGCTCGTTTGATAAAAAGAACCTCGGCATCTCCTTCCTGGACCCATGCTTGCGAGAAAAAGCTGTCCAAGCATTCCTGGAACGGCTGGGCTACTGAGGAGCATTGCTTCTTGTCGTAGACTGCCTGGTGAGGGTATGTGGGTCGGATTCGTAGAACCAAAGCGACTGCTGCCCGTTTCGTACATCCTGGAGGATTTGGAATTTGGGGACAATCTTCTTGGTGAATCTGCTCAAGTACGGCTTTGAGACGAAGAGGATGCGAGCCTGGAGCCTCGGGTCCGCTATCAACTAGTCCCATTGTTGCAGAATATCATGTGCGGATGAGGAACAGGATAACAGATATTCAGGAAGTCCGTCAACCGCGCCTAGCGCGCTTCTCCCGGGGGAACCTCCGTACGCCGAAAGTAAATCACAATCTACGTCGGAGCGCCGTTCTCTTCCTGTGCACCGTATTGAATTGTTTGGAAGTAAGGTTACCTCCTGGTATCTCTGAAGTCAGTCTATTTGGTACTGCTGGTCCCGTCGATCTCCGGGCGCTCGTCAGAGACACCTTTCTTGCGAATCGCCACTTCTCCACGATGAAGCACTCGAGGACAAAAACACTCAGGCTCTTACCTCTGGAACATCGCTACCGCATCGCAGATAGTCACTGCGTCTCCCTCTCTAACTCAATCTAACAATGGGTCCGCAGGTTATAGCCCATGCCAAATAATGGTCGCTTGGACTTCCATGGATCGAGTGTATTGGTACGAACATCTAAAGATTTAACTTTGTCCGCTTTGGAAGAGCGAAAAGATTGGTCGAGCGATGTCCAAAAAGGAATCGATAGCCAAGCTTCCGCCTTTATGGGGATTCAAGGTCGATGACCATCAGATGGACCAGACAAGACCACGTCGCTTTCCCCTTTATGTGCAGAGACACGATGATATCACCACATCATAGTAAGCAGGGTAGGTCTCTATGAGGTCTTGGAATTTTGGCTGAGTCGGGCTGGTGTTGGCCAATTCGATTCCAATGGTTGGTAAATTGGCCAATTTGTGACCATACGGGTTCTGCACATTCATTGTCATTCAGTTTATCATATTGATCGCAAAAATCCTCTCGTAAAGATGAATTCCCTTTTTTTTGATTATCGTCTTTACTTCACCTAATTGCACCTCACCTCATTTTATCCTCACCTCATTTCACCGTTTTCCACCCTCTTCCTTCCCCCACAAACACTCTCTAGAACATGAAGTATACCATCCATGAAACGGATTGTTTCGCACCTCATCGTCTAGCTATCGTGCCATATATTAGGGATATTCTGCTAGAGGGTGGCGAGTATGACAACGGTTTAGCCAAAGCCACGGATATTGAAGCAGCTCTCGATGCGTGCGATAATAAAATTTCTCAAGCGGAGCTTACTGTCTTGCGGGAAATACTCAACAAGGTTTTGAAGGGCGATGCGGTAACCGTTGCCGATACGACTGCCGCTGAAGCAGCAATGCTTAGGAGAGGAGGGAGAGGAGGAGGGAGGGGATGTGCATAGGTTTTAAAACCGACCTTGGCATAAGTTCATGCAGTGAATTTCCTACGCCATGCTTTGCAATTTGAGCGTGGTGGACGATCAGAACGATGGCCCGAAAATTCTACTTTTTCTTATGTTACACCAGCACACCCGCGACTGACATAGCATGCCTCGGGTATACTTCTCATAAAAAGACAGATTTTCCGCTCGATCTGGTCATAACGTTCTCAGCATCTCCGGATATGAAGAGGAAAGCGACTCTACTTGTCCTCATGTTATATCACCACACACGCAACCAACATAGCATGCCTCGGGCATAATTCCCTTATACAGACAGCTTCCCACTCGATCTGGTTGTAAAATCCCCCTGTATGGTAGTATCATTGTTCCTCAATAGACCTATTCAGGACGTCGCTGTCACCGTCGTTATGGCTTTTCGAGGTGTTTTGAACCTGGGTCCCCATGGTTTAGGCCCATGAATCCCCCTTTATTGGTGGGGAGACTTGTGTCTCCGACCATTTTAACCCCCTTATTAGTGATGACAATCTGTGTACTTACGTAGAGACAGACACAAGTTGGGTCTCCGACCATGGGGATGATATTGGGGCCCAGAATAGTTTAGGGGAAAAGCATTATAAGCGACGCGCTTCTCGCGGGGAAGCTCCCTCCTAGTCGCTAGGTACCCCGCCAAAAGCAAGTAAGTATGCTCCCATCTCGACTCGTTGGGATCTCTTCTATTAGCATTGCACTCTTACCGCTGATGCGTCTACGGGTGCGCTGTATTGAGTGATTCGCTTCCTATCACAATGCGTTTCGGCAAGACATTGAAAAAATCGATCTACGAGCCGTGGGCCTCCAACTACATTGACTATGCAAAGCTAAAGCAGCTTCTTCGGGAAGATGATCCTTCAGAGGAAGAATACGGAGAGTGGACCGAGGATGATGAGGGTAGATTCGTGGAGGAACTCGTCAATGTTCAGCTAGAAAAGGTCAATGCCTTCCAAGCCGAGACGTACACAGGCCTCCGTGAGCAAACCTCCGATTGCGAGACTCGGCTTGAAAAAGAAGCAGGATCAGAGACAAAGGGCGAGGAGGCTTCGGGTCAGAATCATGACCAAGACGAGCAGCAGGACGAGAAGCAGGATGAAAAGAAGGATGAGAAGAGCCAGGAAGACGGCAAGCTGCAACAGGTGCTCAAGGAGCTGGACGGCATCATGAAGGAAATCAACGAGCTAGAGAAGTACAGCCGTATCAATTATACCGGCTTTCTGAAGGCTGTAAAGAAACACGACCGAAGACGCGGGTCAAAGTATAAGGTCCGACCGTTGCTCCAAGTCAGATTGGCAGCATTGCCTTTCAATTCGGAGGATTATTCGCCCTTGCTCTACAGGCACGTGACCCAATGATCCATCACTCCACAAGTCATTTGGATTGAGGCTCATGTCGATACTAGAATATCTACGATGTACTCATTCGTTAGACAGAGAATGAATGGTAGTAATGAAAGATCCAAGTCTTTGGCAGGGACTACAAGCGGCAAAGAGACTTACGCATCACACAAATGCAAGTGGCCTGCCAAAACCATCATGCAAAGGCATCCATGCTGACTATGACTTCAGTCTGGGTACACCCTGAGAATCTCCTCGAAGTCAAGACGTACATTCTCCGCCGCCTTCCGGTCCTAGTTTATAACCTCCAGACATCCAAGGTTGTGGAAAGTGGCCAGTCCGACCCTACCATAACTTCATTATACTTTGACAACCCCCAATTTGGCCTTTATAATAAGAAAGTCGAAAAGACTTCAAATGCTTCCTCTTTAAGGCTCAGGTGGTTTGGCCAGCTTGATGAAAAGCCTGAAGTCTTCTTGGAAAAGAAGACACTCGAAGAAAGCGGAGATAGCGAAGATTCCCGCTTCCCTATCAAGCAGAAGTATATTCAACCCTTCATCAAAGGTGACTACAGGATGGAGAAGAGTGTAGAGAAGCTCCGAGATCGGGAAGGCACCGAAGGCAATGGCGTTGCCAGCCTCCAGCGGAGTGTCGAAGACATTCAACAGTTTATTAAGGATTACGAGCTGCAACCTGTGCTGAGAGCTAACTACACTCGCACGGCGTTCCAGATTCCTGGCGATGACAAGGTGCGAATATCCATCGACACCAATGTGGCTTTCATTCGAGAAGACTCGCTTGATGAAGATCGACCGTGTCGAGACCCCGAGGACTGGCATCGTGGAGATATTGACAGACTTGGCATTAAGTACCCCTTCTCCGCAGTCAGGCAAGGAGAGATCTCAAGATTCCCACATGCGCTCCTAGAGATCAAAGTGAAAGATGGCTCCAGCAAGAAGACCAATGACTGGGTGTCGGAATTAATGTCGTCACATCTCCTCAAAGAAGAACCAAGATTCTCAAAATTCGTTCATGGGGTGGCCCAGCTTTTTGAAGATCAAGTCAACAGCTTCCCCTTCTGGCTAAGCGATTTGGAGACAGACATTAGGCAAGATCCCGTGGCTGCCTTCCAAGAGGAGCAAGAGAAGAAGGCCAAGCAAGCGGAAGACCAAACAGCGGTCGGCAGTTTTCTTGGATCAAAGTCCGTCCCTTCGTTCAAAGCTGCGGTAGGATCCCCAGCAGGTAAAACAGCCACCGACTTTGGGAAACGAGGATCAAAGACCGGCACCGAAGACGTCGCTGAAGAGGCCGACACTGACGATGAAACCGATCAGCCAACTCATTCGGAGCCCGGCGTTCTTTCCGGTCTTCTTTCCTTGTCGCCTTTCTCGAATTCCAAGTATGCACGCGCACATCGACAAGGATCGGTGCAGTTGCCTCCTGGAGTCAGAGAACCTGGCAAGCTCATTAAAGATATGAACCCAGTCCGAGTGGAGCCTAAAGTGTGGCTTGCAAACCAGCGGACATTCATCAAGTGGCAGCACGTATCGGTGCTGCTGGCTTCCCTATCTCTCGGTCTGTACAACGCGGCTGGAGAATCCAACAACGTCGCTCGGGCCTTGGCAGTTGTCTATACTCTGATTGCGCTCTTTGCTGGAGCCTGGGGGTGGTGGATGTATATCGTCCGCAGTCGGATGATTCAGGAGCGTAGCGGCAAGGATTTCGACAACGTGATAGGTCCAATTGTCGTTTGCATTGGACTTGTCATCGCTCTATGTCTCAATTTTGGGTTCAAGTATCAAGCAGCATCGGAACAGAAGGGACATAATGACCCTGCAAGTCAGATATTGGGTTTGTTAGATTTGGCGACCGGGAACACGTCTGACGGGACCACAGCCATACATCAGGAGTTGCGCTGATGGTGTAAAATTGTGGTACATCGTGAGTGAAGTTGAGAAATAAGACCCTTTCTCCTACTAAACAAGCAGGGTTTAGGAATAAAACCCTGTAATTAAGTATTTCCTCCAATATGAATCCATGTGTGACACGAATGAGGAGTTGTAATTCTAAAGAGAGATGGTCTACCGGGATTGAGCCACTTCCAATTCTGATTATGCATGTGCAAGCTGCTGCAATATGCTAATGATTTAAAGTGACTGTAGTTACATGAGAGCTAGATCAAGTGATAAGTTGAGCTTTTCTTTGCCACCGAGGCCTCATTTCCCGGTCTATTTACCATCGATTTCCCATTTGTTGCAATTTCCATTGCTTTTGCTCCAAAACTAGGGTATAGTACGTGCTGACGTGAAAGGAGGCGCAAGCACTCGATGTGTACCACGCCGAATCGCAGCAATCAACATGTCCTGGCCACCTCATAGCTTGAGTCGAGAGTCTGAGCTTCCTGAAGAAAAAGCTGAGCTGCTAATTTCTAGAGGCGCCGCCTTCTTCGGAGGTCTCTTCTTACAAGCTAATCATACCCTCATTCGCCAACCTCGCTTTTACGCGACTGTGAGCTTTGCAGCTGCTGGAAAGCATTTGGAAGCTTCTCCTCAGCCTAGCGCCACTCTTGCAGATGCGTCGCTTGTGTTGAGTGGCCAGCCGCTCGAAAAGCCCAGCATGGAGCAATGTTTTGGCGCGCTACCAGGAACAGTCACACTCAATCGCTACGTAAACGCGATCAGCTGTCCTCGGCATCCGGACCGCTTGCCCAAGTATGAAATTCAGCCTCGCGCCACGGACAACTTGCTCGTGCTACAGCGCCTGCACTACTTGATGAGGAATGGCTGGGACAAGGACGTAAGCTAGAGGGAACCCCTCACTGATTCGAGAGACACTGATAGGTACCGGGGTCTAGATCGAGATTGCAGAGGAATTCCTGTGCACACAACTTGTCTATGACCCTCTCTGGCAGAAAGGAGCACCTCCGCAGCTGGCGAGGCAGATTATGGTTCTCATCGCTGCATTGAGCAACCCTAGTTGGATCGATTTTCGCGAGCCCACATCTCAGGTACTAGCAAATTATTACGACACAGAGGACGTCGACGTGGAAAAGCACTTCTGGCAACAGTTGCTTCTGAGTGTTGAACTCGACCTTCGTTTGCGGGCAGCAGGAGACCAGGAACATTCCATGATTTCTCACGTCCCTGACAAAGTCGCTTGGGACCTCGCATTGAGTAAAGTCTGGCTGTCGAAGATGGCTCTGGTGCCGATTGATGAAGGTTTTTTGCGACCTGCTACCCATTTCCATGTCACAGCTCTCACCAAAGATGCTCAAAGGGAGAGGCTCCTAAACTTCGCACGCAGCATGAAGTGGGTGGGCATGCACGATGTTGAATCCATGCTCGAAGAGGACGGCGATGGTGGCATCCCTCTCGAATTCCAAAACGCACATACATCTTCCTGGATCACCGGCACAATCTTACCGGGCCCATCCGTATGTTGGCTAGCGATGAGATGCCTGATCGACTGCGATCCTACCATAATCAACCCGCCCCATGGCTTCGACAAGATGGAGTCCAGTTTCGGCTTTCAGTACGGCGGCTGCACCTACTGGTACTTCCAGAACATTGTCGGAAAAGTCTTGGGGGCTTCGCGAGGCGTCAACCAGGACCACGGCTGGGTTGGTCCCTGCATCCCCAGCGATGATCTCTTCAAACTTCAGACAGTGCTCACACACACGGAAGACGTCCCCGTCAAACCGAGCAAGAGTCGTGTGCAAAAAATGGCAGCACGCAGCGCGCCCCTCGGTCCACCAGCTCACCGCTACCCTGTCCGCGACTACGTGCTGCCACGACCAGACTCCACCAACATCGTCGACTGCGTCAGAGTCCAAAAACTAGCCTTCAACATGCACTCCCTTCCAATCTCAGCCGATGACCCGACCACCTACGACGCAGCCATCGTTTTCGCCATCGCAAACGAGATCGTCCCCATCCGCCTCCGCTACAACGTCTCCTTCATCTACGCCCCTCCCTGCCGCGGTCAGCATCCTCTGTTCTGGGACTACGCATACCGAACCATCAAAGCGGATGAGCTCCTTCTGGATCTCCGATGCTGGAACGGCGTCTTCGTCGATGCGAAGACACCCAGCGAGAACAGCAGCTGTGCCTCTAGCTCTACGGGCTCGAGCGGTGCGGACGCCAAGGGCAAGAAGATGCCGGGACCCGAGTCCATCCTTGTGGTGGAGGCGTACGGGGTGGAGGATAATGAGGTCTTGGCCAGAGCGTGGGCTTCGCATATTGGGTTTTCGGCCGTCGTGGCGACTGGCGGGGAGACGTAAGTGCACTTTTTGGAGCGTTTTCCCCTCCCCACCGGTCTATATCATGGTTGAGTCCCAGGACATGGCTTGGGGGAAAAGTTACTCATAATGTTTCCCAACCTTGCTCGACTTGAGTTTTCTGCTTCGACGAAGTCTTGCTGACTCCGAAATGGGCAGGTGTGTGGCATGTGCGGTTCGGATGGCTTATGCGGCTTCGGTACATATGGTTATTTTGGGGGAAGGATGTAGGGAGGGCGATTGACTTGTGTAGAGCTTTAGGGGGAACGCTGGCGGATTTTTCGGACATGATACCCTCTTCTTCGCTATAGCCGTGGACTTCTCACGGTCCTTTTTTCCAGGGGTATGTAGTTCTACGTCTTTACGTTGAACGAATCATGGAGATTTTTGTCCGATCAGGTAGTCGATCAATAGTAGGAGCATTAAGACAAGATGAACAAGTTTCAGTATTGTATTTATCAATTGGATTTCGAAATCCCACTCACCGCCATGGCTCTGTGACCTGGACTGCCGCGATACTCCATGACCTATGTACAATGGCTCTCGTATTGGGCCTTCACCCACGCCCGAGCTTCGCTTCCTAGTCAAAGGCCCCGTACTTTCTTGGAATCAATAGGTATCATTTCTGAGCTTCCTCTTCGCCTTTCTCCTTGTCCTCCTTTTTGTCCACGACATCCATCTCTTCTTCACTTGACGAGGATTTGGACGAGGATTTATCGCTCGCCGACTCTTCCTCGATCTTGAATCCCTCACTCCTTTCGACCAAGCTTCGATAGTAGTCGACCAGCACCTCCGGCTTCGGTACAATCCTCCACTCCACCCTCCACAAGAACTCCAGTTCCAGCAAGGCCAATTCCTTCAAACTCACACCGCCTACTCGAGCATATGTGTTGTTTGTCCAGAAACTGTCGCTAAGCCCTTTGCTTGCTACCGTAGCGCTTGTGATGAGGAATCGATGGACTGTAAGGGATGAAATAGTAAAAGCGGGGTAGAGGGCGCATAAGCGGTCGATATAGTATACCATACTCAACAATATTGGTGGGGAGAGCGTAGCGTGTGTCGTCAGTCGTTGTAAATAGTCTTTGACGCCAATGCCGGGAGGGGCTCGAGAGTGGAATCTGGTCAGCCGGCCATCTTTCAGTGGGATTTCGTCATTGAATTTGATTAGCTCGAGGAGCATGTTGCTAATCAGAAGTACCAGATCTTTCACATCGCAGGTTTCATACTGCAACGGCATGAGCTTCACCCTGGGTCTGAGGTGGCGGGCACGTTTTGGTGAGGAGCCTTGTGAGGACGAAGAAGATTTCGCAAGTGTAGTTGAGGATACCGAAGCAATTTGTGGATCTGCGACGGCTTCAGCAGCACGCTTGGACGGCAGTTGCGGTTCCAAAGCGGGCTCCGGTGGTGGCAGTGCTGGTCGTGGTGGACTGGGAGTACCACGCCGCTTGCCCGCCTTTCTGGGAGGATCGGGCATTGGCGCGGAGGGAGGAGAGTATTGTGTACCTGCATCTACTGTAGCATTCTTTGTGGAAGGTGTGGATAGATATCTTTTATGCGGGTTTGCGGTCACCGTAGGCGACTGAGAGACGTGCCGTGGAAAAGCTGCTGGCGAAGGCGGTTTAATGAACGGACGTGGGGAGTGTGAGGAGGGAAAGCGAAATGTTCCATCGTAGGAAGATCGTGGAGAACATGATGTGGTGCTGCTGGCGTGGATCGTTGGCGAGGGAGAGGAGGTTATCATCTCAATATCAGAGGTGGAGTGGCCGTCGCCACTACTGCCACTACTGCCACTGGCGTTGGAGAGAGGACTCCGCTGTAAGAAAGTGCCGTTCGTCTGGGCGAGGAAGTCACGCGCATACTTGTAGAGGCGAGTGAGCAAGGTGCGTTCGTCGTATGTACAAGGGACGAAGTCGGAGTAGCAGGATTCTCTAGCAGCGTATGGATTGTACCACGAGCCGTTGGAGTAATAATGTCGTGCCTGGCCAGAGTAAGGCGGTGGGTGATGCTGACGCCGGCGGATACCCGTGGGCCGCATGCCGTTAGTGGGGCTTGGCATTATCTAAGGTATCAAACTCTAGGGTAGTTGAAGAATCGGATGAAAACGCTTTCTCTCTCTGCGGCGCAAGAGAATAAATCTCAAAGTCAAGGGTTGATGTTCAGACTATCATGATTGTTCTAATACCTGAAGAGATCAAGGAAAGGGCAGAGAAAGACTACTGTATGCTGTTCAGACGACCAAGATCCACATATCTAGCACATCCACTTATTATATACATCTCCAGGTGGCAACTTAATAGACCTCTCTTCCGCTGTAGCCTTGCGCAACGTCTTCGACCTTTCGTCAACTGTTTGGAGAGCTCCTTGACATGTACCCCAGATTGTCTCCCCGCAAAAGCTTGAGCATTGCGGGAAGCGCACCGCAGACATAATGTCTAACGACAGGCGAACCGTGTTCCGCATTTACCGAGGGGCTGCCGTTGAATGCGAAGGAAGAAAATATAGACACCAGTACCACAGTGACAAGGAAATTGTTTGTGTTTCAGATGTTGATCTGGAGAGAAAGAGCCGCAAGATTATCATAGCGACCCATGTTAGCCGCCCGGCAAAACGATCAGGTCGGATGATTACCGTACCCAATGACTAGCATGAAGAGGCCCACGTGCAAAGCGATCAGATCAAAGAGAATTCGAGCAATGACAACTTCACTGAACTTTGTTGAATTGAACCTTGTAACGGGTCACGGAAGGAGAAAAAGAAAATGAGCACTTCGCTGTTGAACAACTGCTCAGTATTCTCAGCAAAAGGGCTGCTTTCAAATGTAGCAACGCAAGGTGGATGTCCGTCAGATAGAGAGTATACATGTGCAGGTAGTCGCAGACAAAGACTTCTTTTCTTATATAAGTCGTTTGGGATAAAGAGAGACAGATGGTTTCGGCAAGTCGGATTTACCCCGGATTCCGCTAACCCTACAGAGATTAGCGTTGTTGAGTATGTCAACTTCGTCTACAATTTACTGGTGTAAAAGTACATCTACGTTATGCACTCGACGTGGTTTGATAACCTCTGGCGCAAATAAAATATATACCTGGGTCAAGCTGCGCAGATTCGTTGATCAAAGCTGCAGGACCATCTGGATCAGATCTGGCGGCAGCCAATTTCACGGCCTATCCTAAATTTCCCGGTCACGCTTCTGCACTTTCCGCCGCTGGGCATCATCCCCAACTACTAATTTGACTCACTGCACATTCATTGCGCTTGCAGCGATTTATTATTACGTTTTGATCGACTTACACCCCCATATTCTATGACCCTTCATACTCGGCAAGCCTATCCCATCCGCACCTGACGCTCCTGCACTGCCCTAGGCATGACACGACCATCGACCCCTCCTATCCTATCTGAGCTACGAAGTGCTTCTTCCCCCGCCAGTCAAGTTGCAGCATTACGGGCTCTCAAAAATGAAGTCATTGGACACGAGCAGAAGAAGGAGATGTGGGTTGGTCTCGGGGTGCTGGCGCCTATAGCGCGTATCTTGAATACGCACAAAGGAAATGGGAAGAGAAGGCACCGAGATGTCAACAGCAGTACCAATCAGTCCAAGCAGAGGGGTGGCAGAAGCGACGAGGAGGAAGCTCGACTCCAAGCAATCATCATTGTCGGTAGCTTGGCACATGGTCAGTAGGGAACAGCTGCTCTCTCGAAGCTTCTCGCGGATTCAATTCTGACATTGCAATGGCCAACAGGCGGTCCAGGTTACGTCTCGCCTATCTTTGCTGGACTTGTCATATCCCCCTTGCTCGCCCTACTCTCGCCCGCAGAGTCTTCACCTCTCCTGGTATTAAATGCCTTGAGATCTCTCAATGCTGTGGCCGATTCGCTCTCCCTATCCTATTCAGATCATGGTACAAGTGAGGATGGCTTGCTCAACTTACTGTATACGGAACAGCATCTGCCAACCATAGCGAATTTGTTACTACAGACGTCGCCTTCGTTAGTAGTTCAACAACAGATTGCTCTGACAGCGGCGCTGATAAGTAAAACATGTCCAGACGAGCACCATCAGGCAATGCTGGCTCAGACCGGGGTCTTGGAAGCCCTTGCAGTCAGGCTGGCATCCTTCGTCGTGACTACCGGATGTTCTCTCAACACTGGTAATGGAGGATCCAAATATATCGGCGATATTGCTCCCGCAACCTCAAGATCGAGGATATCACCAATATTGCAAGCTATTGGAGCTATTATTCAACACTCAAAACCCAGAGCTATACAGTTCCTGAACGCGCCAGCCTTCGCTTCTGTATTCCAAAAACCTGACGCGGATGTCACTTCATCATTTGAAAAGAAGCCCACCGTTTGGGGTCCTAATGCTTCCAACATGTTCAATGCCCGCCAGACACCTCCCAACGCCATTGATGTTCTGATACCTCCCCTTCCAAGCACCCATTTTCGGAGCTCCTTGGCGCCAAATTCCAGCTTCCCTCCTCTTGGGGCTCTTGGGTCCTCGAGTAAGCAAACCCAGATGTCGAGAAGTTTTAGCTCTGCTATTGAAGTCATTCAGAGCCAAGGACTCGAATTCATAGAAGAAGAGGAGAGCACTCTGATCGGATGGTTGCTGTATATTGCTAGAATAGAGAATGAAGTAACGGGATTGACGGCCGCTCGGGTCCTCGCAATCCTGTACCAGCACGGATTGACGAAACGCGGCCGAGAGGCAGCATTTGCGCTCCTACTTGTACCTTCGCTTGTACGCATGCTGGACAAAGATTCGAGGACCTCAGACGCTTCAAATACCTACGACACCAGCCTCATTGCTTCTCCTGACAGGCTCGTTAAGGAGCAAGCTCCTTCGGTCTTGGCTATGCTCGCAGTGAATAGCTTGGAGATACAAAAGGCGGCAGCTGATGCTGGAGCTATTAAGAAGCTGTCTCAGCTTCTCAAGGAGTCATACGATGAGATGCCAGCCAATTCTTCAGTGGCTATGTGGACGCCGGAGTCATCTACTTCTAGACATTCTGAGGGCCGAGATGACGGCTCAAAGCTTGGTTCTGCTGGACTGTCAGCTACAGCTTATCACGTGATGAGGCTGAGGGAATCGGTACTTACCGCTCTTGCTGCTATTGCCTCGGAAAAGGACGATTACAGGAGATTGATTATAGACAATGGAGTCGTACCCTTTGTCATCAAGACTCTGAAACCGGAAGAGAGTGAGACTGTTGCGCAAGCCGATGGCCAGGCCGAGGGGACTTCGCGGTATCGAAGAGCGTTCACAGGAAACTGCAAATATGCTATTTTGGCTGCTTGTGGAGCAGCCAGGGCCTTGTCAAGATCAGTCAGTACATTGAGGACGAGCCTCATGGATGCTGGTCTTCCAGCCCCTCTCTTTGTTTTGATCAAGTGCCAAGACATGGAGCTCCAGATTGCAGCAACTGCCGTTGTGACTAATCTCGTCCTCCAATTTAGCCCCATGCGAGAGGTTCTTATCTCTGTATCCTAATATTTCTTCCAACTTATCCGCTGACCAAATGCTAGGCTATCATGGAAGCTGGTGCATTGAAGATCTTGTGCGAGCATGCTCATTCGATGGATGCAAAACTGCGTCTAAACTCAGTATGGGCGCTTAAGCATGTTGTGCTTGAGGCATCGAACGCTATCAAGATGAGCTGCCTAGAGGAGCTTGGACCTGGCTGGTTAAAGCAAATAGTCAACAATGACGTCGAGGCTTCAAATCACGGCATGACGTCGAGGAGTGGAGATCGCGAGGATGGTTCGTCGACTCCAATTAGGATGAGTACTCCCAACGCCGCTGGCGAGCAAGTGGACCTACTCAACGCGGTTGAAGAAGATTCCCGAGAGTCTAGTCAAGATGTTGAGGAGGATGGTGAGGAAGACCTCAAGATGGCCGACAGCATCGGAGCTTTGAGCAGAGCAGAGCTGGATCGAAAACTGTTTTCGCATTCGAGCAGTGGCCGCGGCCCAATCTCGGAGACCGCAGGTCTGACAGGTAGGCGACCCTCCTCACAGCCGGTGCTCACAGACGAGCTGGCGATACAGCAGCAAGGTCTGGACTTCATTCGAAACCTCATCTGCGGATCAGGTGCTTCCGATATGATCGAGCACATCTTCAGAGAACTTGGTCAGGATAAAATTTTCGAGCTACTGGCCGCGAAGCTGAGACCCAGAGTGTTCAACGCCTTCAATCGCGAACGAAGATCATCTGAAAACGGAGTGCGGCATGTCCAACCACAGACTGGCATTGTTGTCTCTGTGTGCTACATCATTGTCCACATCGCTGCAGGGAGTACACGCCAACGCCAACTGCTCATCTCGCAGACAGAGCTCTTGAAGCTTATTGTCCCACTCTTCAGCCACCCAAGCAAGGAAGTCCGCGCTTGCTGCTTGTGGATTGTCATCAACCTTACCTGGATCGATGACGCATCTGACAACATGAATTGCAAGGCGCGGGCTCGCGAGTTGACGAAGCTTGGGGTATCTGAGAAGCTCGAGCTTATGGAGCAGGATGCTGATCTGGATTGTCGAGAGCGTGCACGGACTGCCAAAAATCAAATGTCGACCCTGCTACGGCAATAGAGTGGTTGCTGCTCTTACAGCTTCCCGGACGCTGAGGGTACATTTCCTCAGGACGCATGTGACGCCATTGCGGTTCTGATGACAGCCAAATATCGTGCTGCATTTAGCTCGTTCGTTTGGCGTTTGTGCACTCGTTTCGAAGGGTGCTTTTCCAGCAATGTACATACTGTATGACTAACGTGAGCAAGAACGATCATTGGGTTCGACGATTCCACGACTTTGACTGTGATGCACTCTTGTTGTATATCATACATTGTTTCGCTTTGTTCATCATAGCTTGCCTTGACGGTTGACTTTTCCAACGAAACAACTCTTAGATATTATCTTCTTTCCGTGCTTTCGAGTTCTACGATTACTATCCTGTCAGAAATACGATGATAACATGTGCCTTTGGCAGCTTTGTAGGGCTAGGGTTAGGGTTAGAATTACTATCGATAAATTATTATGACGTAGACTATGCATTCCTCTCGTTTCAAATGATCTCCTTTTGTACAGAGGTACACTCTTAATATTTCTCAATTGCCTCGTAGACATTCATACCAGCAAAATGAAAATCGACTCTGCAGTCATCAAGGCATTGAGCCTCGACCCAGTCAGAACAACAGTTGCCAGACACGGAGGATCCGGGTTTTCGACCACTGCGAAGATTACCACGACGCTGGAAGATGGCACTGAAAAGCACTTCTTCATGAAGACGGGCAAAGGCAAAGACGCCGAAGTCATGTTTGCAGGTGAACACGCCTCGCTTAATGCGATTCACATGGTGCCATCACTATGCCCTGCCAGCTTCGCACACGGGCCCCTTGAGGACGCTGTAGGGGGTGCATTCTTGGTCACGGATTTTCTGGATATGAGTGGAACGTCGTTGGGGAGCGAAAAGGGGTCTGGGATGTCATTGGCGGCGAAGTTGGCGAAGCTGCACACCACGGCTGCTCCGATTCCAGAAGGCTTTCAGAAACCTGTCTTTGGCTTTCCGGTGCCGAGTAAGTGGAAGCATCATGCAACTATCAAATTCTCCTGACGCGCCCCTTTACAGCCTGCTGCGGCGACACAGAACAGCCCAACGACTACACAGAGTCCTGGGCCGATTTCTACGCCCAACATCGTCTCCTGGCAATTCTGAAGAAAAGCGAACGCACGAACGGGAAGGACCCTACCCTTCGCTCTCTGGTAGAAAAGACGGTCGCAGAGACCGTGCCGAGACTCATAGGAGACAAACACCTAAACAGTGGGAAGGGAATCAACCCTGTCGTGGTTCACGGCGATTTGTGGAGCGGGAATAAGGGAAGAGGAAGAATAGGTGGCAAAGGGGCTGTCGAAGACGTCGTTTTTGATCCGAGTGCTTGCTATGCCCATAGCGAGTATGAGTTGGGGATAATGAGGATGTTCGGGGGGTTTGGGGGAAGCTTTCTGCAGGAGTATCATCAAATTTGTCCTAAGACGGAGCCGGTGGACGAGTATGAGGATCGGGTCAATTTATACGAACTGTAAGTGTGATCAGAAGGCCTGCGAGGATGAAGCTAATCTGAGAGTAGGTATCATCACCTGAATCATCATGCGATTTTCGGCGGGGGCTACAAGTCTGGGGCTGTTTCGATTATGAGGGCTTTGCATCGGAAATACAGTGGGAAGAGTGAGATCTGACGACGACATTCTCCAACGGACCAAAGCGACAGACCCGAGCAAAGTGTCGAGCTGCAATCGCCTGTGTTCCAGACGCAGGCTGACTCCATTTCGAAATGGGGCTGGCTGAATGAGGAAGGTAGAAGCTTCTCGTTCACATCCATGAAACTCTTCGCTACCTTTCTGCAACCGAAATCATTTCAGGATTTGCCCAACGTGGCGTTCACCACGCTTGCTTTACCAACGCTGCTCCCTAATTTCAGCCTCGCAGATCAGAGGCTTTTACGAAACCTCGCCCGCGCAAAAAGGGTCCTCGAATCATACGCACACCAGTTACTCTACTTCCTCTCACAGATCGAAGACCAAATTTTCATCTACATCACTGGCGCCTGGGACCCTTCCGAATGACACTGGAGAGACTTCATCCCATCACCCGCGGACCAGAACCTTCTCAACCTTCGCAAAGACCAAGGAGCCGTCGGATACCTCTTCCACATCGACCTTCCTCAATCATCTCTATCACTCCACGCGCCCGCCATATCAATTGTCCGCCAATCTGTCAACCCTGGACACAGAGAGATCTACAACATAATGACCCATTCCGCGAAGCGCTTATTAGGAGTGGTCACCCAGCAAAAAGCGACATCGCATGGTATAAATCATGTTTGGCGCATAGAGAAAGAGGATGAGGGCAAAAGGGAGGAAGTGGTGCCGTTTGCAGGATGGACTAGTGTGCGAGCTCTCGAGGACGCCAAGGTTTGAGGAGTTCGGTAAAGTTACCGGGCTGATGGATGGGATGGAAGTTGAGCATGCTTGGAAGATTGAGCTCTAAGCCGGTTTGAAACAGTACACCAATATCGGCCTACTTAGTTCCTGCTTCCAGGATTCGAGTCCCAAATCTTTTGAAGGGTCACTTCCAATACCGTACCACCAAGTTATGCTTCCTCGCTTATATCTAACCGCTGCCATGGTTACCAACGGGTTGTTGACCGGACCTTTAACTCGACGTGGTGCTCGCTGAATCCCGCACTTCGTTGGGTTGTTGGGGGGTGGAGTGGGGATATCCATGTAGGTAATCAACGTGTTCTATCTCAAAGGCTTTTGGGAATTGCTACACGCAATAGGCTGTTCGCCGAGAGTACCTAAGCTTCACATACATTTTGGCCGCCAACGACCCATGATGTTGGACAGATGCAATGGGCGATGGACGTTGAAAACACCAAGATCCTGCACGTGGACGGAGTCAGGATATTCATGCTCAAGTAGGAGAAAGCCTTTTCAAATCGGACACAAGTTTCCGTTGCATCATCGAGACGCAATCGGATCTATGAACAAGCAGATAAGGGTTATCGAGGTATCACACTTAACAAACATCTTCAACCTTCTCCCGCCCGCCATCCCTCGGCCCCAGATCAGCCCTCAACGCCCTCCCAAACACCTCCAACAACATCTCGAAGCAAACCTTCGACACGAACGGATCGTACCGCCCCTTGCTCAACTCGTCCCGTATAAACGCGTGCTGGGCGTGCGCCACCTCGTAAAAGGAGAAGCAGACGCCCTCCTCATGCAACGTCTTCCGGATCAAATCCCTGCCGGCGGGCGGGACGTGGTTGTCTTTCTTGCCGAATATCTGCACGCACCCTCCATCAATCAATCAATCAACCACCATCCGGCGTCCGATTGCGGGCCCGAGAGGCACAAAAGGGCGACAAACTCGCTTCGGCGAAAACAAAGACTCACCATCACGAGCTCGCCCTCGATGTCGCCCACGCGCTCCAGGCTGTCGTCTCCGCCGGCGCCGAGGGTCTTGGAGTGTATGTCCGTGGCGAAGTAGCACACGGCGGCGGCGACGCGCTTGTCGAATGCGCAGCGGAATGCCAAATGCCCGCCCAAGCACATGCCCGTTGTGCCGACGCGGCCGTTGCAGGAGGGGAGGGAGAGGAGGGCCGTGACGGCGAGAGCGGCGTCTTCGTCGTACGCGTGCACTTTCTGAGCGCAGTCGGGAGTCAGTCGGGGGCGTGCCGCCGGTTGCAGGGACCGGGTGGGGACGGGGCGGACCTTTTCGATTTTGTACCTGTTTCCATCGTCGGTGCCTCGGACGTCGTAGGCGAGGGGTTCCGGGCCCGTGAATTCGTGGTAGGAGGAGGGGGCGGCGACTATGTAGCCGTGGCCGGCCATTTGGCGGGCGAAGCGGGCGACGGGACCGGTCACTGGGGGTTTTGGGTCAGTTGAAGGGTTGGGGGTTGGAGAGGAAGGGAAGCGGGCCTTGGTAGATTTCGCTGAAGATGACGACGCCGGGGAATTTGGCTTGGGAAAAGCCGGGGATGACGGGGTGGTAGAGGTATATGCCTGAAATTGTTTAATAGATGTGTGATACGTAGGAACGAAGGGTGGGGGGGTCGGTACGCATGCTTCCTTTGCCATCTGCGGAAGTCTCCACATCTTGGTGGGTTTCGTGGATCAACATGGTACGATTTCGACAATAAGTAGCTGTTGAGTGGTTCTGTCAAGTTGAAATATCAACGTGAAAGAGAAGACGGTTGTTGACCCGCGTTTCTGCGTCAAAGCGGTTTCCTTCCGCAGAGCCCCACCATAGAGCTCTCCGATAGCACATTTTCTGCCTTTCGAGACATCTCCATATGGCAATCCAAAGGTGCTTGTGCCGCTGACCAATGTTTGGAGGAGTTGGCTTTCCTTACCAAAAGATATTGTACCTTCGCCTTCAATCCCTTCCAGAGTAGCTGAAGGAGAAACCGCCAATGAGCATTTGACATACTAAACGAAGTAAAGTATGGACCATGCAGACGTCTTCTGGACAGTATCCTCGTCCGCTGTTAGGTGGCTCATGAGGAATATGTGGAGTTTCTTATCAATTCGGATCCGTCAGCATCTTTGCTTAAAACAGAACACAATCAAATTTTATCAATTGAACACTATTGCGTGCTATATAGTCATAGAAGGGTATCTAAAAAACATACTAGAAGCGGTCAGCCAGAGGCGCCATCTGTAAGGTGGAGGACAACTTACTGGAATGAATAGATAAGGAACTTGTCGTTCATACTCTTTCCAAGCATCACCGTACTTGGCAGAACATTTCTGGATATCTCTGTAGGCTCGATGCAGAATCATCGGGGTGAAGAACGCAGCGTAGAACCAAGGAAATGGGCTATTAAAGCCAGTGACGAGGCCCCACATCAATGCCTAGCATGTCCTGTCAGCGAAACCGGGCGCTGAGAATGAGAAGCCACCCACAAAGTACAGATCACAAGTGTAGTGGATTTTGCGAGCCTTTCCATCTGTTAAGCTGATTAGTATACTTTCTAAACACCACAAACGATCAACATACACCAGCCGTCTGCCAGAAGAGCGACACCCTGATCGGTCGGAATAGTTTTTGGGTTATCGAGGTCTTGCCATGGCAGTTGGGGGAATGTCTTTCTGCTAGAAAGAGTACCGCGTTCCCATTGTCTGAATCGATTCTTTTGCGCATTGGCGGTGTCCCAAACCCAATAGACGAACAGGTAAGAGATGTAAAGAAGAGTCAGAGCAATAGAATTCCAGTGGTAATCCGAAGGTGAATGGTTGGCTAGGTAGATTGAGCAGTGGCAATAGCTGAGCGGTACACCAGCAAGATTCCAGAAGATAAGCATGAAGCCCCATTTCTCGTAGTACATGTCCCTATCATCCGAATTAGCAAGATGCTAATGTCGATATTAGGGCCATGCCTACCACGTGGTGACGATCGATTCCTCTGCCTTGGAGCAGGCGTTCGCATATAAGAAGTGGGCCATGATGAGAAAGCCCACTTCACCAGACACGTAACCGTACCGCTCATATTGACGTGCTGCGGCGCCGCATGATACCAAGAAGAGGATATACCATGGCAACCTGACTTCGAAGAACATCTTAAAGTCCAACCATCCGAACATCCTTGGGTTCAACTCTGCGCCCATGAAGAAGTCATAGACGTGATATCCGGTCATCCTGTGCTCAGCGCCTCGGTACAAGGCGGAAACGTAGGCCACAATGGAGACGATGAATCCAGAGATGATGGCAACGGACATGAGCGGTCCAAACTCGTCAATAATGGTATAAAGCTTGAAAATTCCAGAGACATGTAGTACTGCAGCAGTGACAATGGTCGTATACCAGGACCACTGTCCCGAGCAATAATATTTCAAGCTCTTGCCCCCTTCATGTTCCAATGGTTTGCCAGCCGAGTAGATACCCGGTAGATAGAGATAACATGCGGCTTGGAAGAGCAAGAAGCCCCAGTACAAGATCCAGGCCTTCATTTTTGGGAAAGCACCGTCGTAGACCAAGCCGACCAGATATGTGACGAATTCTAATTTGCTCTCTCCTTGCTTCGGCAGCGGAAGGTGGCCATCGTAATATGTCGCTCCAATCCACATATACCACATCAAGAGAGGGAAGCCAATCATCATGGCAGTGACGCCCCATGATCCGCCGAATTCAAAGTGTCCAGTGTAGTCAATGCGAGGGTCTTTGCCTTTCTGAGAGGATTTTGCATGTCCATTCGCGCTCCCATTGAGGTTTGCGCTTCCGTTTACCTGTTTCGTTTTGCTAGCGGCCTTATTGTCACCCCTTTTTTGCATAGCATCTGGAGAGACCTCTGAGCTTCCATCCCTTGCTGTGGACTTCCGAGCCTTGGATCGTCGCGTGGGCGTTTCAACGTAGCCAGGACGCTCTGTCTTCCTAGAAGATAGTCAGTCGCCGACTCAAGAAACAAGTTATGATAAGAGGATGACGTGCGATCAGCCTGTACTAATGCAGTGGTGCAATGGGATCGTACTTAGGGGTTTCTCCCAATTGAGAACGCGTCAATGTCATACTGATGTTACGGTCCCCTATCCCAGTCTCAGTACGAAGGGTGGCTGAATATAGCGATTAGCATGAAAACTAACAGGTTGACCTCTACTTGTGTTTGGCAGAAGAATGAAAGTAATACATAAGAATGGGCATAGGAATAAATTATAAACGTTGTGGAACGCGATTTATTTCTTAACAGGGAGAGAGGCGTGCGGAGCAAGCTCCGCCGCTAAAACATCGTCATTGATGGACATGGTCATCTACTCGTATAATCCAGAAGTGAGTTCTTTGATAGAGTAAGGACACCAATAGATTAACCGATATCCGGCTAAGTGGAAGAAATTATTGGTGTCCTCGCTCTATCAAAGGACTCACTTCTGGATTGTACTGAGTACTTCCGACTACCTACTTACTCTATTCCAAGGTATAAAACATATGAATCTGGTAACAACGACAACAATAGAAAGTTTCGGGTAATGTACCTTTATCAAAGTGCTCGTGTTTGTATCGTCACGGTAACACAAATACCTGTCAAGTATCATATGAATAAGGCTTGGTCCAAAAGTGATACTTCTGAGTCCGCTCAAAGGCACAAAATTGAAGGAGAAATTTACAAGTGAATTGCTTGATATGCAATTAATACCTATATACACCCAAAATGTCCTCCGAAAATGGTGTCAACTAACACTTTGTCACTATGCGCCCCTGCGCACATTCGTAGACATTAACGTGATCTTCTTGCCCTTTTTCTTCTTGTTGCTCGCATTTGGGAATGCTTGGTTGGAACTGCTGGCTTCGAGACTACTTGCTTCAACCTGAGCAACCAAATCCTCTTCTTGTAAAAGATCTCGCTCCCATCCCTGAAGCCAGCCATCGTTCTCTGACGGCTCATGCTCGTCCCGAACTGCAGGCATGTCTGGTGACGTGGGCACAATCATTCTTGTGCCCCATACAGTCTTGGAGGCAACAGGGCTGGTAGATGGGGACGCTAAAGAGGCAAATCCAGAGCCACCTTGAGTCCTTGACGAGGACCAAGGTGGTGATGAGGAGGCTGCTGCGAGGTCTATAGCTGACGCATCAGGTAGTGGCTGGAAATCGGATTCGGTGATAAGATCATGGGATGGGATAGGGCGTCGCCTTCTTGCAGCGGCCCATCTTTTGTCGTCCTCCTCTTTCTCTGCTCTTATACGTTCCTTCTCTTCACGGAATTCCTTTTCCCGATTCTTCTTCCGTCGTCGCTCGATCTCAACCGCAAATCCCTCGAGGACTTCCGGACTTACAACGTCGGTCCAATTACATTCGAGGAATCCGACCTCGCATCCATGAGGGAGATGTGCGAGGTATTTTGCGCGCCGTCGAAGCTCATCGTCGATGATATGTCCTGTGGAGACCCGCTCTACTCGTGGAAGTATGGTTGTAGGAAAAGAAGAATAATCTCCGAACGCAGCTTTCAGAATGCGAATATCAAGGGGGGATAAGTAGTAGTGCATAAGAGCCTCATAGAAGAAGAAAGGTGGATCGTTGTGGGCATGACGAGAGGCAGCGCCAGATCTGTCTCGGAAGCGCGACGACGACGCTTGGTCAGTGCTTGATGCTAGAGGTTGTGAGCGAGAAGTAGCTGAACTCTGGGACTCAGTAGACACTGTTGCCGAAGATGTCCTTTCGTTACTCTGGCTGGTTGATGTGGCTGTCGGCGACGGATCCAATGAAGAACCAGACCGACTTTGTGGACCAACGGAGCTTCCAGACAGAGATTGACCAGACTTTGTAGCATGTTGTATTGAATAGAAATCGTGGACACTCGTGCCATCACTGCTTCTAACGAAGTCGAGTAGTGGGCGCCGTGGTTTCCTTTCGCTGGGCTGCTTGGGCGCACTCGGAGGATTGCCGATGCCCTTAACTCTCTCTTTAGCTTCCAAAATGGATGACACAGCCTTCTTTGTCCATTGAGTTTCCTCCCCAAACATGAGCTCGTCCTCTTTCTCTTGCTGCTGCAGCGCCTCAATTTCCTCGTCGTACTGGTCAGTCACATATTCCTCGCTCCCTTTCATCACACGTGCGTAGTCCATGACCTCCGCAGCAAAGTACCAAGGGATGTCTTCAGCTTTTTCCAAAGATTCAGCCCCGTCTCGAGGCAAAGCAAGCGTACTTCCAGGCTGCCGCATTATCAGTCTAAGCACAACATCGGCCCCTTCTCGGGGTCGCTCTCCCTCTTGTCCAGTGAACCATCGGACAGGCCGAGTCTCCGAGATGTATATACTGTCCCAACAAATGGGACACTTTTTCCATCTTGCTTTCTTCTCAGGTGTTGGGCCGGTATCATCAGACGAGTGCATGAATCGAATCAGGCATGGTAGACAGAAAATATGCCCACATTTGGCCATTCGAGGAGCCACCGGGGTCGACAAGCATATGGGACAATTGGTTGATTGTGATTGAGCAGAAACAAGGATCTGCAAAACGTTACTCCAGTCTAAATGCACATCTGCGTCCACGCCTTGGGCTTGGTAAGCCCCGTTCGGATTGACAATGAAGCGGTAGTTGGCATGTATGTATCTTGCTGTTTATGAGCGTCGAATTTCAACCACATGTGCACGGAAGATCTGCCTACTTGGCCTTATCCTCAGCATGATAGCCAGATCCCAGCCCCCAAGTGGGGTTTCGTCTTGTGTTGCGACCGAAGTGATGAGGTTGGTAAGACTGAGGTCGAGGGGGTAAAGTGAAGTTCATCAAATGGGTTATCGAAGTCCGTCCTTTCCGACTATTGGTAGACTGCATGGCCGCCTATCCATCACGAGGTGTCAGTCGGCGTCTGTAACATTTCTGTCTCAGGAACGTGGGGTCTGGCTCACGGATTCAGCAGCAGCATCCTCATCCGCAAGCCTGGGCCGCCTTTGGCCTTTGTGTTGTTTCTTCAGGGGCTGGTTGTTCCTCGCAGTGGAGGATATGGACCGCGACGTCGATCCTATGCCGAAGCTTCCCGAACCACCAATCCGGCGCTGTGTATGACCCTCGATCCCAATGGAAGACCCGCTTTGCGATTGTGAAGGCGAAGGCGTCTGGGATGGATTGCACGCGTTCTTTGAAGCCAGAGAGACCGACGAGTTTGCTGACATCGCGTTCAGTTGAGGTCCTAGTAGGGCCCGAATGTGATTTATGTACAAGGTATGAGATATACAGGAACAAGTATTGAACGCACTTTCATCTGTGTGTCTTATGGGGTGTACAGGCCCCAAAAGGGACGTTGTTGTTGGTAGGGTGGAGGGGCAAGATGACTCGCAGTCGAGGTCTAGCCTAGCGCCGTTTGGTGCTTGGCGGTTTGGATAGACGGAAAATAACCTAAGTAGATAATACCGTCCAGCAAACGATAGCCTCGACCATCATTGTTTGACGCCTGCTCGCAAGACTATCCCAGATATCTTCTGCGAAAGGCACGTATAGGCATACCTCCTGCTTTACCGCTTCCACAATGACATCTCAATGCCGCACGGCATATGCCATGTTGACTTAGAAAAGAGATTGTTGCGCGCGGAGAGTCGTTCTACGTCCCCCTCTGGGGCACACGGCCATGAACTCTCAGCAACCCATGTTACCACAGGTGCAGCCAGCTATACCTCTTTCCAATGGCCGACCTGGGCACAATGCTCCCTACGCCCCTTCCCCTCATCCTCCGCAGCAGCCGCCATACTACCAAGGCTATCAATATCAATACCCTGTCCATTACCAGCGGCCTCCGCAGCAATGGACGCCCTATCCAGTACCCATGTCCATGGGAAGGGGCTACCAGCAATATCCTTCGATAACACCCTATCCAATACCACCACACCTGCCACCTATGCGTCCATCATCACAACAAGCCCCCTCATCATCTTCGATACGTTCGGTCCAAGGCATGCTCTCACCATCTTCGTCCAACACGTCCGTACACGTACCTTCATCCACACCCATGACTGTGTCGAACCCGTACCGTGCTCCTCCGACACCTCCACCACCTCCATCCGTGCCACAGCCGTCTCAACGGACTCCTTTTTACCCACCTCTTCCTTGGCAATCATTCGAAGGCGCCTTCCCTTCTAGAGCATCTCGAAGAAGAAGAAAAACGCCCGCTCCGCAGTCATCAAGCGTTCCTGTTGAGCTTCCTTCTCGTCGAGCATCCATCGGCGATGCTGAGACTGTACCTGACGAAGCTATGTTAGCTGTCGAAGCTCCACCTCCCATGCAAGAATCCTTACGCGACCCTCCTGTTTTTGAGACCCCCTTGACATCACAACCTCCATCAGAAGCTCTGTCTACCCAGCCGACCACTCCTTCCTCTGAAATTACTCCAAAGATGAATGCCTCAAGTCGACCGAGCATCCCTTTACTTCCTATAGTGCCTGCGGTCCCAAACCTTCCATTAGCCTCGCGGCCATCCAAGCGAGCCTCAGCTAGTGCCGCTTCCGATGTAATGAATGGCGTACCAGCGAACGCTGATCACCTCGCCAATGCTGTCGAGACTGCTGCTAAAGTCAATGCGGAGGGGAGCGAAGACCCGGCCAAGTCTGCAGAGACTGTAACTTTGCCTCCTGTTAAAGCCGCACCAAAGTCTTGGGCAGACCTCGTTCGAACTATGGGACAGAACACTACAGCTAGAACAGATCAAGCTCCTAGTGACTCCGCAGCTCAGACCAACGGCTTTACCCCAACCAAAGCCGGGTCTTTGGCCGACGCCCTTAGCTCATACAGCGTGAAGGAGAATAACGAGAATGCGAAAATAGCTTTCCTGGAGCCGAGAGGCCTTGTTAATACTGGCAACATGTGCTACATGAATTCTGTAAGTCCTAGTTGCTCCTCGGTATTTTTAAACGCCTCTAATCAGTCCAATAGATTCTGCAGGTCCTTGTTTTTTGTATACCATTCTACAATTTTCTCGAGAAAATCGGAAGACAAGCGGCACATAGCTTCAAAAGTGATACTCCACTCATGGACGCCATGTAAGCCAGTAGTGAAGCCATGTTTCAGCTGAGTAGTATTGACCTATTCTCAGGATTATGTTCATGCGTGAATTCCCTGTCATCGATGCAGCAGCTTCTGTTGACCAGCTTCGGATGCGTCTGAAAGAAAATGAGCTTGAGCAATATGGCGTAGCTTTCATTCCAGAGTTCGTGTACGAGGTCATTCGCCGACTACCTCGATTCTCGTCTATGCGAGTAAGTCTTTTGCTTATCTTGGATCGCCAAGACATTTACTGACCTCCATCAGCGTGGACACCAGCAAGACGCAGAAGAGTTCCTCGGCTTCATTCTGGAAGAGATGCATGATGAGTGCAGTCGGGCGATGAGATCACCCAATGCGAAAATGTCCTCTGGAGCGTCAACTCCTACTAACGGAGTGACATCCCCGACCAGCGAATCTACTGATCCTCATGCAATAGATGATGGGGTTTGGCAGGAAGTTGGACCGAAGCAGAGAGCTGCCATTACTAGATCATCAGGAGCGATTGCCACTGAATCACCGGTTACCAAGATCTTCGGTGGAAAACTTCGCTCAGAATTGCGTGTACCAGGCATGAAGAACTCGGTCACACTGGAACCATACCAGCCCTTACAGCTTGACATTGGCGCACCGCACGTCAGCAATATCATAGACGCATTGAAAGGGTTGACTAAGCCAGAAACGCTTCATGGCGATTTCAACTCACCGAGGGGCCCAGGTTCAACGGCCACCAAACAGGTCACCGTTGAAACTCTGCCACAAGTGCTCATCCTTCATCTGAAGCGCTTTCAGTACGACAGTAGTGGCGGAACTCAGAAGATTTGGAAGAAAGTGGGCTACCCCTTGGACCTTGAGATTCCGAAGGAGGTCTTCCCGCAACACAAAAGGGGAGGTTTGCTCGCTCATGGAGGCTTGCCAAAATATCGTCTCATTAGTGTTGTATATCATCACGGGAAGAATGCTAGCGGAGGTCACTACACTGTCGACGTGCGGCGGCAAGAGGGACGGGAGTGGATTCGACTCGATGACACGGTCATAAGGCGAATTCGAAGCGAAGATGTGGCGGAAGGCGGGAGCGAAGAGGATCCTAAAGTTCTAGCTGCTGCGCTGGAGCAGCACAAAAACGGTCAGCATCAGAGCAGCAACGTTTATGAACAGTTTGCAGCGGAAGAAGAGGAGCAGAAGCAGGCGGAGAAAGGATGGAGTCAGGTCAATGGCGTGGCCTCGACTTCGTCTTCAGTCGGCAAGAAGTGGTCAGGGGTTGCTAATGGGAATGAGATACCCAAGATTTCATCTGGAAAGATGACTCCTGTTCATCGGGCGTCCGTCAAGGACAACAAAGTCGCATACATTCTTTTCTATCAGAGGGTGAATACATAGGGAAAAAGTCGACTGTTGCAGTCCTCGTGTGCTTGGATGCATATACCCAGAGGAAAGGAAAAGCGCATTCATTTTGGTAGAGCAAGTTGGCGATGTAGAAGAGTCGCAGCAGGTGGGCACATGTTGGCAGCAGCTTGTACTAATGCACACAGCTTGCTGTGTATGCTATACTTTACATATGATTGTATATACTTTAATTGAGTGGATACAATGATTGCTACTCTGTACGTTCATTCGTGTGGAACTCCAGGAGGTGCACGCGAGGGCTACCGGACTCGAAACAAAGGACAAAGCGGTTCATTGCCGTGATCACACGGTCAACGCTGCTTTTTGAGTGAGTTGTGTGACCACTTCCATCTCTAATTGTACATTAAATTGGAAAACCCTCTAGGCCAGCAGGGGATATCGTCCCATTGAAGAGTAGGCCAGGTTGGCTATCCACCGCTTGAGTGCTCCATAGTCAGACCACCAATCCGGGCCCTTATCACGTTAAAAGGATATCATAACCGTGCTTCTTGATCTTTACAGTTTCCGCTTCATTACCATACCGTCTCCTAACGAGCTCAAAGATCACAAGGCCGGCACTAGTACTTGGGACTTGCTTGATAGTGTTCACGAGAAACCCCTTGTAAAGCCACCCTAGCCAACCGCCAGAACGGCGGGCGTACACCAGACATTGGTCATAAGTCTTCTTGTAAGCCCCGTAATAGCTCCGCAACATCGCGGCCTTGGGTTGATCAATCTTGGCCTGTGAGTCTAAGAACGCGAGCGACTTGTAGTGGACGTTCTGGATTAGATTGAGTGGATGCTGGACGATCTGTTGACTGATTGAGGCTGCGATTCCGGCAAGCATCAAAAAGGTCGGCTCGATGGCGTAGTGCGGTTTGATGACATCGATGGGCCCAGTCCCATCCAATTTGGGACTCAGAATTGGGGAAAGTAGGTTGCTCTGTAAGTCGCCGTAGTATTTGGCCACGAAGCCGTAGTAAGCCTGGGCTTTGACATACTCGAAGGTTGCGAAAAAGGCCGCATAGCCGAGTGAATCTTTGACAAGAGGCAGGCCCCAACCCGCGAATACACCACGAGGACCGATCTCGCGGAGCTTGCTGCGGCCGTATTGCCACATCGTGTTATATTTGCCGCTCAAGACCTCGCTGGTACGGAAGCGAACGGACAGAGCGTCAAGAGGAGCCGCTATCACTGATCTGCATCCAGATTGCGGGTCAGTATCTGCCTTTTCAGGGGGAATACCGAGCCTTGGAAAATCTTTAAGGTGCAAACACTCCCAAGACGGGTTTAAGACTCGAATCTCTGTTCACGAAGAAAGGACATGTGAACCGAGGATACGTACTCTACGCAGATCTCGGAGTCAGCATTATTTATTCGGGGTAGGAAATGGAGTTGCAAAACAGGTCTGAGGAGAAGAAAGATCTTCTGGCTCTCGAAACATATCTTTCGACTCAACTTCATTACGAAATAGGAAGGATCAGCTCCGAAATGTACGTACGGATTACGCCGGCAGAAAATCCGGCTACGGCTGTGCAGTAGACTGGTGGAGGTGGATAGATTCTCTTCAGCGATTGCGAAGAGGGGTGGTGCAGAGTACCTAAGATCTGGAGATAAGACGTGTACAGAACTGCTCCAACTCTACCACTTGTCAGGCATTCAAGGCTAATAGCGTGGAGAGAAGAGGAGGCATTACCCAACATTTGCAAGCATGGGCGGGAGCACATGGTTGGGAATGAAGGTCCATCCGTACTATCCAATACGTCAGAGTCAGAATGTTGTCTTTCTTCGAGGCTAAGGACTGTTCTTATAACGACTGCGGCAGTAAGAAGGAGCTCTCGCCCCCCAAACAGGCCTTGCACTCATACAATGGTCTCTGATATGAAAATATTGCTGAAATGTACATACAGTTCGAACGGCATGAGTACTGGATTATGAATTCAGGGTCAGTCTTGCTTGTTTGAGGGGGCATGGCGAGCCTTGGAACACGTCTAGAGAGTGAACACTCCCAAGACATCTCTCAAGCCTCAAAATTTAGTTCAGAAGAACAAATATGGACTCCGAAAATACGTACAGAAGCCCAGGCGTACTCATTCGGAGAGACCAACTTTCCTGAGCCTGAACTCGAGGATTGATAGCCCTTGCAAAGGCCTGACACTGGCTTCAGCAGCTCCTCAAAAACATCAAGAATGCATCGTACTAGGTAGCTACACAGAGATAAGCATGGCCATCTCTTCTACACGTAACACTGAACTCACTCAACACGAGTACGAAAGAAGGCCTTCGCTGGAGCCCTGAAATAGAAGGCTACCGTCTGAGAGGCAACAGCTCGCACTCCTGATGCGGATGCTCCGGTGGCGGCATTGCTTTTTTTGTCTCTTCGAGGACTGTTTGGTATATCCGAAGCCGAATCTGTGTTTGATAATCCTTTGGTCGACGTCCCAAACATCCTACTCCCAAGCCATCTGTGTCACTGGATAGGAATATCACTTGCTCCTTACCTAGTTCTGATCTCAAGGAAACACGCATCTAACGGTTCTGTGATTGCCTGCGAGGTTGAGATGAAGTGAAGGTCGGTGCCTGCCACGCTATACCCGTTTCATAATAGGGCGCTAAGCTTCATCGGCGTCTGCAGCCATTTTACGCGCTTCGCGCTTTCCACCTTTCACCTTTCACTGACACTTCTCCACCTTACTATTCACAACACTATCATTCTTTTTTCATTTTCCTCCCACCATAGTTCGTCTAGAGCCCTCGAGAAAATGGGAGACGAAGTCAAGATAGACAAGGACACCTTCAACAATCGGCTCTCACACTTTGTTTCGACATGGAAGGGCGACAAACGACAGTCGAACGACGCGTTGTTCGGCGGCGTGGGATCCATAGTGGTTCTCTTGGGTAGGAATGAGGATAGTCAGTCGTTTCAGAAGAACAACGCCATGCACGTATGTGCTACTACTAGAATGTCCCTTGACGTCAAGAGCTTACACAGGTGATTGCAGTTCTGGCTACTTGGATATGAGTTTCCTGCTACTCTAATGATCTTCACATTGGAGTCCCTCTATATCGTCACTACTTCGAAGAAAGGTACGTGGCAGCCGAGCTGCGCGCGGCTTCTGGACTGACTTGAAATTTTCTAGCTAAACACCTTGAGCCTCTGAAGGGTGGCAAGGTCCCGATCGAGATCCTTGTCCGCGGCAAGGACGCGGAACAGAATGCGAAGCAGTTTGAGAAGTGCCTCGATGTCATCAAAGGCGCAGGAGTACGTTACATGGTCCATTGTAGTTGCTGTACAGGTTCGCTGACATCGTTCAGAAGAAAGTTGGGATCATTGCCAAGGATGCCTCAGCAGGGCCATTTGCGGAGGAGTGGAAGAAGGCTTATGGTGACATCTCAAAAGAGGTTGAAGAAGTCGACATCTCCCTGGCTCTTTCAGGAGCCGCCTTTGCAGTGAAGGATGAAAACGAGCTGGTGGGTCCCCCAATGCGTATCCATGTTCAGCTCAGAAGGTCGCTTATACTGAGCAGCGGAATATGCGAAACGCGTCAAGGGCTTGTACGGGACTTCTATCAGAGTTCTTCGTCGAGGAGATGTCAGGAATCCTGGATGCGGAGAAGAAAGTGACGCATAAAGAACTCTCGGATAAGATTGACCAGAAGCTCGATGACCAGAAATTTTTCCGAAATCTGAAGACCAAGCTACCATCTGATTTCGACAACAGCCAGCTTGACTTTATGTACGGACCAATGGTTCAGAGCGGTGGGAACTACGACCTTAAATTATCAGCGGCTTCTGACACTAACAATCTACATCCCGGTATTATCATCGCTGGTCTTGGCCTTCGGTACAAGAGCTACAGCTCGATGGTAGCTCGCACGTTCTTGGTGGATCCCAACTCGTCTCAGGAAGCGAATTACAAAGTGCTTCACAGCATACAAGATACGCTCATTCAGGAGGCGAGGGAGGGTGTTGTCATCAAAGACCTTTACAACAAAGCCCTGAATATCATCAAGACAAAGAAGCCGGAACTGGAGAAACATTTCCTGAAGAGTATAGGTGGGGGGATTGGTATCGAGAGTCGGGACTCAACCCTCATTATAAACGCAAAGAATACCAGACAGCTTAAGGATGGAATGACACTGAATATCGCCCCTGGCTTCACCGACATTGAGAACCCAAGTCCTCAGGACAAGAAAAGCAAAGCTTATACACTCTTCGTATCGGACACTATCCGCGTCAAGGGACGATCCGAAGGCTCTGCCAACTTTACCAATGCCGCGGCATTGGAGCTCGGGGCAGTATCATTCTACTTCAAGGATGAAGAGGAAGAAGAAACGCCGGCGCAGAAGTCGAAAGCCAAGAAAGATCCCAAAATTGGAGCTGTGGCATCTAGCAACGTGGTGAAGACGAAGCTTCGTGCTGACCGCGCAAAACAGGTGGACGAAGGAGCAGAAGCACGGAGACGAGAGCATCAGAAGGAACTCTCCCAGAAGATCCAGCAGAATGGCTTGGAGCAGTACAGCGAGGCAATCGGCGATGCGAATGGGGTGACACAGAAGAAATTCAAGAAATTTGAGTCTTACAAACGGGACAATCAGTTTCCTTCAAGGGTGGCAGACCTCTCGATCGTAGTCGATGTCAAGGCTTCAACAATTGTATTGCCAATCATGGGCCGGCCTGTGCCATTCCATATCAATACGATCAAGAACGCCAGCAAAAGTGACGAAGGAGAATTCTCCTATCTGCGAATCAATTTTCTCTCGCCTGGGCAGGGTGTTGGCAGGAAAGACGACCAGCCTTTCGAGGATGCAACAGCACACTTTGTGAGAAGCTTGACTTTCAGATCTACGGATTCAGATCGAATGCAGGATATCGCACAGCAGATAACCGACCTCCGAAAGAACGCTGTGCGTCGAGAACAGGAGAAGAAAGAGCTGGAAGACGTGGTTGAGCAGGACAAGCTCAGTGTTGTCCGAAGTATGTATTTTGATCCTGTCTTGAAGACAGATTACTAACATCACCCAGACCGTAAGCCAGTGGGTCTCGACAATGTCTTCGCCCGGCCTGGCCTTGACGGCAAGCGTATCGCTGGTGAACTGGAGATCCATAATAACGGTCTCCGCTACCACGACCATCGTGGCAGTCAAATTGACATCCTCTTCAGTAACATGAAGCATCTCTTCTTTCAACCCTCTACGCACGAGCTGATCGTCATCATACACATTCATCTGAGAGATCCGATCATGATTGGAAAGAAGAAGGCCAAAGATGTGCAATTTTATCGCGAAGCCACGGATATGGCGTTTGATGAGACCGGAAACCGAAAGCGGAAGCACCGTTATGGTGATGAAGAGGAGTTCGAGCAGGAGCAGGAGGAGAGAAGACGACGAGCGCAGCTTGACAAAGTCTTCAAGAATTTCGCAGAGAAGATAACGGCCGCTGATTCAGATTCCAAGGGGGTCGACATTCCATTCCGAGATCTGGGCTTTAGCGGTGTACCTAACCGCTCGAACGTGCTATGCCAGCCCACTACTGACTGCCTGGTGCAACTGACGGAGCCGCCTTTCATGGTACTCACCCTAGAAGAGATTGAGATCGTCCATCTGGAACGTGTACAATTTGGCTTGAAGAACTTTGATATGGTCTGCATCTTCAAAGATTTCAATCGACCGCCTGTCCACATCAACACAGTACCAGTGGAGAGCCTGGAGGCTGTCAAAGACTGGCTCGACTCCGTCAATATCCCATACAGCGAAGGTCCTCTGAATCTCAATTGGGGCACTATCATGAAGACTGTGATTGCGGACCCTCACCAGTTCTTTGTCGACGGTGGTTGGTCGTTCCTGACCATGGAATCTGACAATGAAGACGAGGAAGACGAGGAGGAAGAGTCCGCGTTCGAAATGTCGGACTCTGATCTCGCTGCTGACGTGTCTGAGTCCGAGGACGAATCGGAGTTCGATGACGACGCTTCTGCTGATGAAGGTGACGCAAGCGACGATGAGAGTGGTGGAGAGGACTGGGATGAGCTTGAGAAGAAAGCTAAGAAGAAGGACAGAGAGGGTGGTTTGGAAGATGAGGATTCCGGAAGGAAGAAGAAGCGGTAGATTGCCTTTACTGATTGGGGAACATTTACCTTTGATCATCCACTTGATACGAGACTCGTCCTGGGCAGTTGTGTGTTTGACAGCCCACAGACGCAAGTTTCTCGGGCATTAAGCGTTGGTTAATTCCATCTGACGACGTGGTGTTAGTCATTGAGCAGCCTTTTGAATAGACAAGGATCACGATGAAATACCCTTTGCATATTGAGTCATTTCAGACCCAGCACGGATTGGATTGAGGCATGGTCTCGGCGCTTCGTCTTTCAGATCCCGAACGTGTCCACTACTGGCTGCCACCAAGCTCCAGAGGTCCTTCCAGCCTAGCCACGACCGTCCTTATTCCTTCTCCAGCATCAAACCCACCAACTGGACTCGCGTCCACACGCCCTGAACAGACGGTCCAGACCCACGCTACTGCAAAGCACTTCGAACGGCTCGCTAGACAATTAGACAATGTCCCTATCATTCATGAAGCTGTTTATGAATCTGCTCCAACCTTCCAATGCGAAGCAATGGGGAAGGGTGCCCATAGGCACATTTTGTTTTTTCACTCCATCCAAGTCTGTGTTCAATGGCTCCCTCACCTCCAGCAGTGTCCCTTGCCAAAAGACCAAACCCCTCCCTCTATCGAAAACCGTGCCCGTTGATCGAAGCCACCGGAACTGTGCCGCCGCCTGTGAGATCTCCCACAGCTTCAAACCCGGCTCAGAACCAACGATGTCTCGCAATCCAATCAGATCTACATTCAAACCCAACCAACATCAATACCCACCCCAAAAAAAACAAAAACCAACCCATCCATCCAAAACCCAATCTCCAAAATGGCCTCCGCATTCCTCCCCCCAACTCCCCTCCGTCCCAGACACCGCACTCCCAGACCGCCAATGCCCCCCCCCCCCCTCCAGCTGCCACGAGCCCGCCCTACTCCCCCACCCTCCCCTCCTCCCACCCCATCGACTCCACCCGCCTCTCCCACCGGCTCCACCCCAGCCCCGCCTCTCAACCACCCGCCTCCCCGCCGCCCCAACCCCCTCAACCCCCCACGTGCCGCCGCCGCCGCCCCACCGCCGATCACTCATCCCCTCCTCCTCGGCCCCCGCGATCCAGCATCATCATCATCATCATCATCATCATCGTCCCCGCCGCCGACAACGGCGCGCTCTTTGCGAAAGGACGCCGGCAGCCGGCAGCTCTCGCGCTCCTGTCGGGATCTTTTGGCCGTTGACGGGTTCTCGGTCCGTCGGCGTCGGTTTGGGGGGTTTTTGTGCCTTGAGTGCGGTTGGGGTGGGGGCGGGGGCTGAGGTTGGGGTTGGGGTTGGATTTGGATTTTAAGGGGGGGGGGGGGGGGGGGGGGGGGGGGGGGGGGGGGGGACGGGGGACGGGGGACGGGGGACGGGTTTTGATGAGGTTGGGGTGGGTGTTGGGTGAGGGTGTAGAGGGGGGGGTTGATGAGGTTGGGGTGTTGGGTGGGGGTGTTAGGTGAGGGTGTAGAAGGGGGAAGGGGGAAAAATTGGTAAGGAGGGTGGAAGTGACGAGTGGGAACACGGTAGGTAGACAAATCCTCGCGCACTCGACAATCTTTCCAAAGCAGCGGTGCCGCTCACCGTAATTTCCAAACGCCGAACGCAACAACGGGGCGGTACGTTCGACACGTGCATGTGTTTTTCCTACCCCATCCTCCTTCCTATAAAGAGAAAAAAGCGCTGCAATATCCCCCTATCCCCCCCCCCCCGCCCACAACCGATGCTCCCATCCCCCATCCCCCAATCGACCTCAAAACCCCAACCGGAACAGACCGAACATATTCTTCATCCGCGCCAACTGATCCGGCGAAAACCGACTGTAGCTATACCGCACCGAGCGAGTGCAGATGTCAGTCCCTGTTTTTTGCAAATGTTCCCAATTCCCAATCCCCCAACCCCCCCCCCCCCCCCCCCCCCACACCCTCCCGTGTTCTCCCCACGGTTCGCACATTTTCAGGGTTCGCAGCGGGGGTGGGGTGGGGGGAAGAAGAGAAGAGAGAGAGAAGGAGAGCGGATCCGAGACTTACCACGCGTCGGTCGAGTAATCCATGTAGTTGCTGACCGGGTCCAGACCCGGCGAGCCGGGACAGCTGTCCTTGCCCGTGGGACAGCCCGTCGTGCTCTGGCTCTCCTGCGGCGTGTCGTCGCAGTAATCGCCCGGGTCGCCGGTCGCGCACGTGTTGTCCTGGGCGGACGGGCGAGTCAGTCGGTCGGTCGGTCAGTTGGTCAGAACCCATTTTCTCGAAACGAGCACGACGGCCATCGGGATTGTTGTTCGGGGTGATGGAGAGAGAGAAAGAAGAGAGAGAGAGAGAGAGAAAGAGAGAGAGAAGAAAGGCGACGAAACAGACCTGAAAAGTATGCAACAAGCCGAACCAATGCCCCACCTCATGCACGGCCGTCTTCCCCAAATTGTACCCGAAGGCCGGGACCGGGGCCTTGGGCATGCTGCCCGCGAGCACGTTGCACCCGTCGGTGGCGTAGTCCAGGGTCGGGTACTCGAGCGCCAGCCCGGCCGGGCCCGGGTACGTGATGGTGGTCGGCAGGGTGCAGTAGCCGAGCAGGGTGGAGGCGGCCGTGTAGGCGTAGGGGGCGGCCGAGAGGTTGGTCTGGAAGTAGAGGTTCAGGGCCTCGTAGCTGCCGCGGCGGAGGGAGCGCTTCATCGGGGTCGAGGAGGCGTCCGTGGCCCAGGCGTCGTTGACGGTCCAGGTCGTCGAGATGAGTTTGAAGGCGATGCCGGCGGGGCGGTAGAGGCTGGTGAGGATGGAGACCTGGCGGGTTTGTCAATTCACAAGGAGAGTGGAGAGTGAGGAGGGGGGGGGAGATGGGTGAGAAGAGGAGTACCTGGCTGGAAACCATGGCGGTCCGCACGCTGGGTGGGTAGTGGTCCATTTGGTCGATTGTGGAGACGAAGTGTATGTATGTTTGTACCACGATCGGCGAGCTTGCCTGTCGTTCCTGGTTGCCGTGTCGGGACTGCTCGAGGAAATCGGCGTGTGCTTGGCGGAGCTCATCGCTGGGGCCACGAGTGCCGCATACTTGGGTGACGTTTTGAAAAAGGTTGACATTTCGACCTACAGTGCCGAGGGTTCGCTTGTCAAGAAGGTCGACACTAGCACCAGCGGGATGGGCAGAGCTGGGAATGGCAGCAGTGGAGAGGAAAATGAACACTATTGGAAGAAGCATGATGCAATCGTCCTATATTTCTGAGGGAATCGGTCGGCAAGGGGTAACCTTGGAACGCAAAGTAGACGTTTATGAAGTATCAAAAGGAGAGAAGTCTTTGTCGTGTTATACACCTCTACAGGAGAAGAGCTCAAAAGGGCATCTCAGAGCATCGGAGGTGGTACCGCTGGGGCTTCCACAATGTCAACCGAAGCAAAGATTGCAAAGGTCCTCTGCTCTCAGCGGCGCCTTCCTGTGTGCATGAACCTTGCATTGAATCTGAAGCTCAGTGGACTGCATCCGGATTCCCTAGGGTGAGTACAAAGGGATTCTTGTTGCTTTCCCAACGCCACCACCACCACTACCACCACTCCCCATCTTTAGGGCAGATCAACATCCCAGGCCAAAAATGTTGCAAACGAGGTTGTTTGGAAAGGAAATACCAAATTCTAGATTGCTATGCCCTTTTCAGCTGCGCCTGTTCAAAATATCACCAGAACGCCAAACATTATTCCGGCAAAACGCACGTCGAGACGACGACGTTATATAAGTAGGTCATGCTGCATCATTACCTGGTCTTGAAATCCCGGTTGCGGTCGCTGTGCTGGGTTGGTCATTGTTCCATGACAAATAGGTATGGTCTCCGAGTTTGCTACATGGACGATATCGTCAGTCCGGCCAGCCACGATGTAGGAAAGTCTCCATTATACGTACCGGGGCTTAATGAGATGGGTCACTGTGAATAAGGCGCCGAGGACAATGCAGATGCCACCAACTGCCACATACGCTATCCCAAGGAAAGGATTCTTCCCTCCCATCACTGTTCGAGTGGATATGACCAAGGATTTGGTGCCTCCATATATATCGACCGGAAAGTCTAGAATTGGGATTTCAGTATGTGATAGCAGATTGAGGCGAACAACATACTATTTTCGATATCCACCTGGTACATGCTACACTGCATGGTCTCATTATCGTTGCGCTTCGCCAGCTTACTGAAATTCGGAAGCCCAGCAGTCCTCATCCAAACCTGAAAAGCTTCGTCGCTTTCCAAGTCTGGTAAGTTGTCCGAGGTGTAACCATCTTGGTATCGCAAATACCAGTTGGGTGGAGGAGTGATATCTGCAGGGTCGTATTTTGTAGGAGCATACAGAGCTTTATCGCTGCTCCAGGCGATACCATTTTCTGTCATGTTGTATGTAACGTTGAAGGCAGAGCTATCGTGCACATTCAGCTGCACGGGATTTGCAAATGAATCGTTGAAGATTGAATTGGCGATGAGACCGCAAGGCCAGTACGGCTTCCCATTGGGGTCGGTGTTCAAAGGACTACACGCGCCAAGAGAATTGTTGTTTATAGCATCGCCCTTCAATTGATTCGAGTCCAGAGATTTAACGTATCGGCGGTGGTTTTGGTAGAAATTCGTGAGACGGTAGTAGAGGAGTACCGGAGGTTTGAGGTTGTCGGGGATGTTGAACTGCAATGAGCAGACCGAAGTATCCACAGGATGGTCACTGTAGTAGGTACGGTTGATGTTGTATGATCTCCATTTGTATGTTGGGTTGCTTGAGCAATTCGAATTGGAGCCTTTGAATGACGACGAAGTATATTTGCTGGGAATTGTCTGGTATTCTGTGCTGTCAATCGAGGTATTTTGTGCCTCGTCCCGACAATGAGTATAGTCGATTGATATCTCTTGCACCTATCAACGTGTCCATTAGCAAGATGCGTGGGAGTGTGGAAAGTCTGATTGAGGTTGGCTGACTTGGGCACTGGCGTAGAGTAGAAGCCCTCCTATTGGAGCGAAGATGATTCCAACTATGAAAAAGAGAGGCAAAACCGTCTTGGGTGTAAGGATGGGTCTGCAAATTGTTCAGTAGTGGTCCGTAACGGGGACATGTAGCTGGTAGGAGGTCGCAGGCCACTTACTGCCACGCTTTCAGTCGCTGCTGCCGGAAGGCAGTATCTGTAGAGCCGCGAGGCTTTTGTCAGACACTGGACAAATCTTGAAAGTACCGGTATACCGGCCAACGCTGTTTGGGAGGCGTGAAGGTGGTGAGCTTACTAGCTGGCCTTCTGTTCTTTGCCTTCTTCTGCACCTCATCGTGGTCTTGACCATCTACCGACTCCGTGTGTGTCTGAGTTTGCGACATTGTGCGATTGAAGTACGCATGAGTGCCTTCGGAACAGTATGCTTGTGGTTGGTAAGCTTGAGGTCGGCGGTTGATGGCAAGTGTGGCAGCACAGGTAGGCGTAGGGCTGACGCCAAGGACGTGCCGCAATCGAAAACACTTCATACGGATTATCTCGCATTACGTGCATAAATTAACTCCGAATTAGCTCAAAGGTCCTGCATATAAGATATGTATGGGTGTCATTGACTTCATTGCACTGGGTTGGACTAGATACAGGCTCAAAAAGAGAGCGAGCATAATGCTTCTGGCCCGCCATTCCAATCTCCCTCCCGGAGTCACTCCAATTCACGTGATATCAGTCAATTGCCTCCCTCCTTACTCTGTTCCCTTCGGTTCAAGCCGAGGCCAATCGTACGTGATCCATATCCTGTCATTATGTCCATCAAAACATTGCCCAGAGGCAAATAGAAAGCGAAAAGGGGTATCTGTGAGCTGAGTGCTAGACCGAACAATCTGTGGTCAAGAGCAATGATGTGCCGAACACCGTCGCTGTGAAGAAGGTGTCGAACCGAGTGGAGAGGAAACCTGAGATGCGCCTTGCCCGAGTCGATCGGTGAATGCGGGTCCTGCCCGTGGATGTTCCTGGAAAAAGTGGAGTGTCGTAATATCGGATCGCCTTATTCAATCTGATCGTCGTAGAATGAGTGTAGATGTTGAATTTGAATTTCGTAGATAGTGATTAGGGTGTGGGTGAAGCAGTGATTCAGAGGTATTGTAGGAAGTAGCTTTTGCCGAACCACCCAACCTTGTCGTAAGCGGTCCATAACTTGCTAGCCTTGTTGACATCGATCTTACAAGCTTGCTGAGCATCCGTCTTCCTAAATTCTTTGCCAATCCGGAGAGCGTTGAGGCGGGCCTCGAAGATTCGTCGCTTGCTGCAGAGATAAGTTGCACAGCTCAAGCGGAGAGTGCCTGCGAGGTTGATTTCGGCCTCATGGAGCATGTTTCGATCCGGGTCATTGGACAGGTTAAGGACGTTGTTGCTAGCCCAATCTGCCTTTAGAACCTTTGGATTTCCTTTTGGAAGGGTGTCTGTAGGAGGTGCGTAGTCGGGAAGAGAGTTGTAGTCGACGTCCTCGCGCTTTGTGCCAGGCAAGCGGTCAGGCGTTGCCGAGCGTCCTTTGTCTGGATAGCCCATCAACTTGGCCATTGGTGAAGCTTTCGGGGTACGCTTGACCCTTGGGACTGGAGCCTTGGTGGGTGTTGCCACACGGTTGATGGCTCGCTTTGCCTGCTTCGGTGCTGGAGCAATGGCGACCGGAATAGCTCTTGTGCCGGGTCTGGCACAGATACGTTTCGCTTGCCAGTATTGGTCTTCCACCTCTTCCCGTTGTCTCTTCATGTAGGCACCAGGATTGCGGTTATAGAGACTACCGATCTGAGAGACGCAAGCCAGTGCAAGGCGGTACTCGTCACGCGTAGGGCGGTTGGTCTTTTTGCCACCTTGCATTGCAATGTGATTGCTGATGATGTCTTCCGTGTGCGAGTTCGAAGTTTCTGCCGGGAACAGAGGATGTTCTTCAACAGACTCAAAGGACCCTTCTGGATACAATACAGGGTCTTTGACCAGCTCAGACCGCCGTTCATGACTTTGCGGCGATGCACGCTCGGCCTTTGCTCCTTTGTACCGCTTGTTCATCCATGGCGAGACAGGTGGTGATGGTAGGATTCTCAGCGTCTTGGTATCTGGAGTCGTGCTCTTTGCCATTGGCGCGAGTGTCTGTTCCGGGCTCAAGCGATAGGAATGTGCTGTGGATGGGGATTTCGCGGGTGTGATAGAGAAGCTCTCAAGTGGTTTTGCCTCCGGAGGAGACATGAGGTTCGATATTGTAGGCAAGCGTGACATGCTTGGTGGGTGTGTCGATGACTTTTGATGAATGTTGTAGGAGGAGAGATTACTGGAGGCTGGCGAGGATAGTTGTAGATGATGTGGTAGCAGGCAGAAGTCAATGGACGCCTGTGGCTGCGTTGAAAGCGATTTGTCAGGTGTACGGTGTTAAGAGGTGTTAAGAGGTGGTCCGAGAGGGTGGCAAAGGCTCGGAGGCGGGACAACGTTGGAATGTTCTAAAGGATCGATGGCCAAGAATTCAAGAGATGGAAAGCCAGCAGTCGTTGATGATGATCTATGATGGAAGAGCTTTGTGGAGGAAGGATGGAATGTAGAAGATGAGGGAGCCTTGTTCAGAAGTTCAGAACAAGGCTGGCGGTGAATAGCAGGAGGAAGGAAGGAGTCAATAGGAAGGGACAATGAGTGGGGCGCAGAAAGTGAATTGGGGGGGTCAATGGTCAGGCAGCAGAGTTTGCATCAGATGATGACTGGTTCAAGATGATGACTCGCAAACGATGATGAGGCAAAGGGAAGAGGGAGAGGGAGAGTAAAAATGCTGCCTCTTCCTTCAGGTCTTGGGAAGACTAAGCGCCATTGGCATCCTGTGGTCAGCCGGCAGTGAAACGACTGGGCCGTAGGATCGTAGCAGAAAGTGCTAGATGGTTCCACCCGTGATTGGTCAATGGGACGGAAGAGAGACTAAACAATGTTTTCCTTTGTCCGAGATGGTGTGGTGATGGTTCGAGCAAATAAGTCAGATGCTACCTTGGGAGTGGGAACGAGTGGAACAATAATAATGGAAAATATTTTAGTAGTAATAGTTCTTTGGATAGTCTGAGTGAGTCAATATTTGACACCAGGCAACAAGAAGCCTAGTCTCATCTTTGCGCCACTCTGCTCCCCGGATATCTCCTTTTTCCCTTTCCCCAGGACCCCCCCAATACCCAAAAATGCCCTAAAAAAAGCAAATTAAGGGGTCCACAGGGCACTCAGGTCCCTCGTGCCTCCGTAGCCCTTCCCGCCTATGTACCCCATGCTTCTTAAAACACCCAAACCTCCCTGTCGCGCATATCTTGAGCCACACACAGACCCTCGGGAAGAAACTCAATTCAAAGTGCATATCCCAAGTGCATTTGTTATACACCATCTCGATACATGATACACAAACCATTCATGACCTTGAAAAGCTTCACGGAAAAGGAGAACCAATTGCCGACCTCACAGACAAATGTGATGCTCTTTGGCGTCAGCCTTGCTCTCAATGTTCACATGCCATGGGAGCGTGGGAGATCGGCAAGAAAAGGATGCAGCCATCGGGACGTCATGCGCATCCTTTATGCACCAATGCACTACGGTCAATTGACCTCACTCAGCCTGTGATACGAAATGGTATATCGTCGCTTTTCACTTGGACTAGTCAGTGGTGTAGTAAGAATTGGAAGCAGCGTAGTTGGTCACGATGCCATTTCCGTGTATGCTTCTCTCTCCCATTGTGAGAGAAGGAACCAAAGTCTCCCACCATCTCCAAGTCCGCTTTGTGATAGAAAGTAATCAGAGTGCCTCTGTCGGAGGATTAGTCCAAACCAATAATGGGTAGGAGGGGTCATCGCGCATCACGGAACAGTATTGTAGGAGAAAAATGTCCTGAGATCGGAGACATCGGTCATCATTTCCTATCAACTTTTGAATGCTGACCAGGCCGTAAAGACATCATCAAACTAGCATACATGAGTAGCCATCGCTATGCAACACGGCCTTTGTGGCTTCAACATCATCTCTCTCTGCTCTTCGCCCTTCGATATCCCCACCAAGATTGCCTTCAATGCTTGGGTATAAAATCGTTAATGCGTGAATGCCGGAAATCAGAATACAAGAATTGTAGATTCCTCGCGGAAGCCCCCTTCAACCGCCGCCAGGCGAGATATGCTGTCGCTGTTGGAAGACAAGAAGAATGTGATGATCCACGTCCTGGGCGAGTAGAGAGGTCTGGGAGAGCTTTAATTGGGGCAAGCTGCCTGAACGTGTCCTGGCTGCTTGCACTTGTAGCAGACGCGCTCCGAAGAAGGTTCCGAGGGGCAGTCGCGGCTCAGATGTCCTTGCTCGCCACCTGTTGCGGTCAGTCAGACTTGGAAGATGCCTCCAGGAGCGGGTGTGACATACAGTTGTAGCATTTCTGGCCTTGGGTGCAGTCACGAGACATGTGGCCATAGCCTCCGCAAGAGTAGCAGGTTTGACCTAGACAGATTGGGGGATTAGTATCGAACAGACGTAGAGCGGACAACGAGAGCGAGCGAGCCTCTCCCAAAAAGGATGAGAAACATACCTCCGCCTCCTCCACGGCCTGCACCTCCTCCGTACCCTCCTCCACCGTATCCTCCACCTCCATAGCCGCCTCCTCCACCTCCACCGTAGCCCTCGGTACAATTCCTAGCGATGTGGCCAACCTTGCCGCACTACAAGTCGTAGTCAGCGCTGCAGCGAAATCAAACCAGACTTTGTTACCTTGTAGCATTCTTGGCCGCCTCCTCCGCCAGAATATCCGCCGCCCATGCCCCCTCCTCCACCAGCACCAGCACCAGCATTGGGGCACTCTCGGCTCAGGTGGCCGACCTCATTGCAGCGGTAACAGGCCTTCTCTTTCTGAGGAGCATTGCATTCGCGAGAGACATGGCCTTCTTCGCCACCTAGTAAGGTCAGTTGACGGCTTTCGAGAGGGGCTTCTCGACACTAACAGTTGTAGCAGGTGGGGGTACCACGCTTTGGGCAATCGCGGGCTTGATGAGAGCTGTCGCCGCCTGTTGAGATAGCGACAGGTCAGCCATGAATCTTCGCCCATGCATTGAGACATCGAGGATGCCAAGGAACGCTGGTACTAAGTACAGAGCAACCAGGGTTGGCAATGTAGAAACTGTGGGCCAGTAGAGTGCGTTGCGATCCAGGTGTTTAGTGTTGCAGCTTTTAAAATAGCAGAAGACGAGAAAAGGGCGATTCAGTAACGCACAGTTATAGCAGCCGCGCCCGCCAGGTTGCTGGTAATCCATGATTACTGGTATCTATTGATCTATGCAAGTACTTAAGGTCAGCGTGGAAGCGCCATTGATATTTCACTGAGTTCGAGCGTCGCTGCTTGAGGCTTCTGAATGGTGAACGGTGGGTCCGCTTACTTTGGTCGAGATCGGCAAGGACTGTACCAAAGCGCAATTGTCAGTGGTAAGCAACGAAAATTCAGTCGTTACAGGAGGTGATGAGGTTGTTGACAGGAAATTTTGGTTTGGTGTCAAGCATGAGATTTGCCGGGTCGTGGGGCAAAAGCGCTAAAGAAAGCTCGCTAAAGAACCCTGGATCTTGGCATCCTCGTCATTTTCAACGGACGGTCAGAAGCACAAAAGAAGTCACTGCCCAGCAGTAATCCATGCCATGACGATGTGATCAAATGTCAAATTCTAGCGCTTCTTATTCAAACATATCGACGCATTGACCTTGCTATTCAAAATCATACACCACCAACGCCTGAGTCCCTAGCATCTTCTCCCGGAGTAGTACCACCTTCTCTTCGTCGAATGCAACCCAGCCATGGGTGACAGTCGAATCATCAAATGCTTGCTCTCGCATGAACCTAGGGCCGGCAACAGCACCAATGTCGGCTCTCGATGTGTTTTCTATTTTCGTCTCAGAGGTAGCCCTCTTAGGACGTACTCGTACGCTAGCTTCGCCTGCAGCTGCCCGTTTTCGGGATGTGCTCGAAGACATCCCACCTTCCAGCTCCCATACCCGTAGCTCGTTACCTCGTGCACTGACAGAGACAGCCTTGCCACGGTCACCAACATGAGCTCCAGAAACGGAAGAAGTGTGGCCCCACAGCCGGCTTCCCACACCTACGCTCAGCTCCTCAGCATTTGATGTGACCATATAAAGTGTGAGCGTGTTATCCGGGTGAGCTGATAATAGATAAGGATGATTGTATGAAAGAGACGTCGGTTTACTGCCAAGAGCCATCCTCACGCCTGTAACGACTCGTTGGTCCAAAGTGGTCGTACTGTAATTGTGCACTGACCGATCCAGTTGTGGATTCGACGGTGGCGATAGAGCACCTCGAGTCGCTGCAGATGCCACACGAGAATCAATGATGGTGCCATCTGGTGTTATACGAATCTCTTGCAATCCAACGGACCATCCAGACGTCCAAGTGGGCATTGCATAAGCTATCGAAGCAACGATGCTAGTTGATGAAGCCCTGATGGCAAGTGATATTGGAGGATAGGCCGTCTGCGACCTCAACGAGGATATCAAGGTCGGAGGCCGCATCATTGCATCATCGTCTACCTCTCCCTCGTTCACACCAGAGGCACCTAGATCTTCTTGGGCATCTCCGTGAGAATTTTTCACAAGGATTTTAGGCTCCTTAGTGAAGATGGAATCCATGTTGTTTCTTCTGCCGGAAGTCGACTCGAGATTGCTCATGATTTCCTCTGGTTCATGACCAAAGCGATATAGGGATAGTAGAGGTGCTCCAGTCATGGTCAGTAAATACGGTGAAGCGTACGCAATGGCATGAATCGCGCCGTTCCTGGATGGAGCATGCACATATCGGCATGCAAATCTCCTCTCATTCCGCTGTAGTGTGTAGATCGCAAAGCTGCCATCATCATACCCAACCGATACATTCACTCGATCCCTTCTTGACTGTGCTCCATCGATTGACAAAGATGTCGGACCAGCACTGCGATCATCCTTGCCCCTGTAAAATGGCGTGGTAGCAATCAGCCGATCAATTCCTTTCAGCACCCACGCTCTCAAACCAGCGACTGGGTCCGCAGTCACAACTATGTCCTCATGCAAGCGTACTAGCAGTGGAGGTTGTGAAGGGTGTTCTGCAAGTTGGATTTCGCTGACATTTGCGCTGCCCCTTGACCAGTTATGGCGTAGCTTGTATTGTCTCTTCCAATTGGTCACGCTTCCTCTCCTTACAAGATGGTCATCATCAAGCCATTTAGATATCTTGGACGAGTAGTATAAAGACTTTGGGGACTGTTCCTGGTCTCGAACGCCTGGTATTCGAGAAGCCCGGGGGCGAACAAAGCGGTCGTAGAAAAGAGCCTTCCACAGTTGGAGGTCACCAGCCAAGGAGTTGAGGCGGTGAGAAAGTCTGCACGGTCAGCTATGAGTTTCGGAGTAACGTTCTGCAGGCGCACCTTTGGCAGAGAACAAGGTCTGAGACTGATAGGTAGGAGAGAGTTCTTATGAGAAGCTCATCGCTCAAGTGTGACAGTCTGTCTGGATCGCTAGGACGTAGACGCTTTGCTGGGCGGTCGTCTGTTTCTTGATCCTCATGAGAGCGCTTTGCCATTGCAGCTTCTCACGACGGAGAGATACCGTAGAATCGGTCGAAGTGGAAGTAAGGAAGTTCTGCCTCTTTCTCGGCAAGCATCCCGGCTTCGGAGATAAGATAACTACAACCCGAACGTTGGTCGCGTCTCTACAAAGAGCGCGTCCACAAACAATTAAAACCCCCACCTTGAGGATGAATTAGCAGACTCGCAACGAAGGGGGGAGGGCAGGAGCCCCAGCTTATTTCAATGGAGTCACCCGAGGGACCCAAGGCTGAGATCCGGTATACCGTCAGAAAGCACCTGGAGGATTTCGAACATCGTTTGACTGGAGAGTTCACCGAAAAGCTCACGGAGCGTAAGCGTTCCTATATGTGGTGGAGAGGTTGAAGATGTGGGCTAATTGCATGGGATGCCCTCAGGTGACAAAGTTTACTCGGTTGAAAGAAGCAAATATCTACAAGAGATTGATGCTCTGCGAATAAAAGTGGCAAGGACCGAGGAAATAGAAGCGGAAAATAAGAAACTCAAAGCGGAGCTCGAAGAAGTCAGACAGCGGCACCGAGAGCACTCAAACACTGGTAGCCACGGTGGTAATAGCGGAGCGTATCGATCAAGTGCTACCTTTAAGACTGAGAATCTGTCCGTTGACATCAAAGAGTACAATCGAGTCAAAGAGGATTTGATCAAGCTTGGAAGTGACTATGGAAAACTTGTCTGGGCCCGAGAGCACCTGGAGACAAAGGTTCGGGAGCAAAAGGATTCCCTCAGACAGTGGAAAGAATATCGAAAGAGTTGGATATTGAAACATCCCAATAAGCGGCTCGGTCATCTACGGCCTAGCTCTACGAGAGCCAGCCCACTAACAACAGCGGAACAACGCAGATCTTCAAGTGCTCCCGCTCCGCCAGTACTCCCCGAGGCTCTCTCTCCTTCTCTTAGTGGTTTTTCTAGGTCTCTATCTCCTAATCACAATGCACTAGCAGATCCAAAAGAAACAGAATACCGGCACGATCAGGTCTTTGAACATCATAGTAGAGACTGGGGATCACGGTCAGACGAGACTAGCATATTGCAAACTGGGCATAAGGTCGCCACTGCGTCAGATTCTGGGGATGTTACCGAGGCTACTCCTGAGTCTGAAGGGCAAGCGGAGCCAATTAAAATCGAGCCAGCCACTGGTGGTAGTTCACCCATCATAGTGTTCGAACGATCATTAAAGCGAAGGCATTCTGCGAGGGGTAGTTCCCAAAACATCCACGTGCATGAGGATGATCAACGCCATCTGGGAGCAGCCCCCCGGACCTTCCCAACTAAAAACGAGCAATTTTCAAGTCCAATACCAGTTCCACCTCTCCTTCATTTGAATGGACCCCATGACAGTCTTGACTTGGACGATGTTGGAGGCCATCTCGATACGCCGAGGAAGAGGCAACGAATGGCGCAGGAACGGCTTAGGTCCTCAATGATGGTAACTTTGACAGCAGCGCAGGACGAAGAAGACAAGCTAGATGATATGACGGCGGCCCAATCTCCTCGACATTCAGATGACGAGCACTCCGATATCGAGGGCGAGCGAGACAAGCAAGCCAGCTCATCCACAGAAAAGTATACCACCCTACCCGAGAAAACAGCAGATGACAAGAAGAAAGTTCGCAGAGACGAGAGGATGAAAGTTCGCAGAGACGATAGGATGGCCCGACAACACGCCCACAATGATCGGATTCATCAACGGCTAGAGGCCGCTGAGAAGAGGAACCCCATTCTCGACCTTCCCAGGTCCTCATCTCCGATTACCAACGAGCCTGCCCAACAACCCCACACGCCTAACGACCCTCGAGAAGTCAGGCAACGAAAACCCCAATTGGCTAGCCCTGTTATTCTACAGTCTAGAGATGTCAATGCCTCTGTTTTACCGAGGACCAGCGATCCATCCGCAAATCGAAAGCGGCCCTATCCTCCAAGTCGCCAAGATCGCGGTGCAGCCTATATCGCAGTCTTAGCTGAAGACGGAGCAAGACTGTCTTCCAACGGTGATGCACTTAAGACTGGGAAGATTCTTGGGGACGTGCAAAATAATTCGCATGGGCCTGCGGATAAGGAACCCAAAGCGCCAACTACCCACCATCGCCTCGGGGCTCTATTGACCAAACCCTCTCCTGAGAAGTCGCTCCTCATATCCGAAGAGTCTGTTGCCCATGTCTCTCCTGATCAGGCATGGGCAAAGACGCCAATTCCCCAGTCAGTGTATCATAAAAGGTCCAAAACTCCAGCTACACCTCGAAGCCTCCCGGCCAAGAGATCTGAGCTCAACCATTGCCCAGGAAATAAATCCGAACTGGCAACAAAGAATCTCCCAGCATTTCGCAAGGCCCCACTGGTAGACTACTCGGAACCCCGGCCAGAGCAGGAACCTCTCCGAACGCGACCAGTAGATCGCCTCGGCCTGCAAGATTTCAAGTTAAACCCCTCTTATAGTGACTACGCATATCACGAGACCGTCCGCAGACACGATGAGAAGAAGTCTATCTCCGGTTGCACCGACCGTCACTGTCTAAGATGCAAGGAGCTTCGGAAATATATTACCGATAGCGGATATAACACGGCTCAGAAGCCGGGAGAAAGCGAAGACGAGGCGGACTGGCGTCTGATGCAAGAGTTTCTTGGAGACAACCACCGCCAGTTGAGGAGTATGTCCTCGAAGGAGAGGTCGGATCTCTTGATTGAAGCAAAGGTTAAGGAATTTGCCAATCGATATGGTTGTCATAGACAGGCCTTTCCACGGGCACGAGAGGCTCCAGGGCTTTGGGAAGTGGACTTTCCGACTACCCAAGAGGAAGCGGACAATCGGGCTGCCGCGGATATAATGGAGCGAGAGAAAGTGCAAGAAAGATATTGGGAGGCGATTAGGCCGAAGGGAAAGTGGATCTTTGCAGACGAATAGGGTGAAGAGGGGGTTCTGGTACTGCTGCTTTCTCGTCTAGCATTTTATGAGCTGGAGTTTTGGTAGCTTTCGGCATGGCCGGTTCCTCGGTGGACGATCACGTTGATGGCATTTGTGCTCATGACTTCCACGTTGTTTCAGAGCTAGACGCCTCTTGGCTCGTTGCGTGTGGGCTTCAGCTACGTGTATCATAGTGAACGGTTAACACCAAGTCACAATTCATTCGCTCTAACAATACTCTGCAAATGTCTCAGACCAATCGAAATAGTTCTGGGGGCCGATATTTTGTGAACTTCCTCTTCATCACTGGGCGAGTTGACTAAAATATAGCCGGCTGCGGACTGATCTGAGACTGCTGATATCAGGGCTTGCTCTGCCCCCCTTGAGCAGAAGGATCGATTGCTTTTGGCAGTATGGAAATGGACATGTCTCAGGGCCTGCAACCGGTGATCCGGTAGCCGTGAGTATGGAATCGAGATCAAGGTCATGCATTCACGAGTCTTCAGGCTTGAGGGAGGACGATAGAATTCGACAGCGAGGTCTCTGATTGCCTGTCTAGGTTTGAGGAACTTGAAAGCGACGAGGCTTTTTTGGTTTTCAATACTAGGGTGTTTCAAAAGTGAGAGGTGGGAGATGGGCTGGATTTGGGGGCTCGAGTCGTTTTCCTTGTTGTGGCGGCTGGGGTTTGTGAGACAGGGAGGAGATGTAGAAGGTCGGGTTCACATTCACAAACCCGAAGTTCGGTAGGTTAAGGAACGAAGAGATGAAGCAAATTGACCTCACATATTTTGCTAGGGGTTTTAGAACGTTCTCGACCCTGGTGACCAAAGTTTAGAATAGTAGGGGATGCAGCAATGCTGGACAAAACGTTTCCATTGAAACTTGAGTAGTCTCGGCTTGTTTTCGACGGCCAAGTTGCTCTCGTACCATCGTAGTTGCAACGTGTCTAGACTTGACCAAACAAGGAATGTAACAAGATCACGAGTCATGCGCCCAACCCAGGGTGTCTTGCTTTTGAATGATTTGCGATTGATCACATGCTCAGGATGCCGGAGGGAGACCTTGTGCAGGAAACACCGACCTGATCCACCTATCAGAGCTCGCTCACCGTGATTGCATGAGACCGTCTCAAACCCTCAAGGGTTCAAGGACAGTCCGTCAAGAGCATAGCGAGAAAGGCTCTTTAGGCAAGGCGCCGTCAAATGTGTGGGGCCAGACTAGGGAAGGTGGACGTCATGGAAGAAGGTCAAGCCGGCATCGCCGCCCTGAGCCCTGAGTCTGGCAGTCTGCGCAGTCTGCTGCTCTTGGTCACATGTCAGCAGTGAATTCGAACATGATTGGTCTAGTCTCATCGAGCCTGCCTTACGGAGACAGTGCAACAGGTGTAAAGCGGCAGGATTGAGTGCATTGATGGCCTGAGATAGTCAGCTTTGTCAGGATAACTCAAAGCATTCGGGGCTCTGACTAATTGACAAAAACGGGGCAATCCTCACGCTAGGCCCTTCGGGTTGCAGGTGTGCTAGCCATCTCATCACCTTACCTAACCACGATGCACGCTAGGCTAGAGTTCGAGGCCCCCTGTAGCCGAGACAATACTATGCGGTGGAAAAGCCTGTTGCCAAAGCCCCAAAGCAGGAGGGGGAGGCTAAGGAAAGATAGATAACACCATCCACGAGTAGGAGCCGTGCTTGGCTCTACCAGACCTGTCACATTCTCCCTAAGTCTTTATAAGAGGAGACCTCACACCTGCTCAGAAAGAGAAACTTGACAAGAACATAGCACAGGAGACGAGGACCCGTTTCTTGCAGGAGGATACGACTTTGATCATTGAAAATTTGGATGTGTATAGCTGGACTGCTGCCTCAACATATCAGAAGCCTCATCAGTACGTCCAGCAAACAGCTGTCGTCAAGCTCAACAGACAGCATCCTGACCGTGTGAGAACAGTGTCTAAAGATATCGAGCAGATCTCGGCTGTCTTACATGCTTATCAAGATGCCCTCAACAACGCAAGCGTTGAAGACGCCGTGAAGCTCTACACTCAAGATGGCATCGTCATGCCCCAACACTCGCCCTCGTTCGTCGGCATTGCCAACGTGCGCAAGGCCTACGAAAGCTTCTTCGAGATCATCAAATTCGATGTCAAATTCGACATCCAGGAGGTCATGCCTGTCAGCCCTGAATACGCCTTCGCTCGTAAGCAATGAGCAGGACCTATGCACAAACCCTGGGGGCTGACCAAATGCAGGTACTAACTCCGCTGGTACAACTGTCGTGAAAGGTCGTGGCAAAGGGAACGAGGCCAATCAGGAGCTGTTCGTCTTCAAAAAAGTTGGCGGCGAATGGAAGATCGCACGCTACTGTTTCTCGACAACCAATCCTCCTCCGAAGTAAGAACATGTTGGATGGATCACCAGGGATGACATGAGGATTTGAAATGTGACTCCAGGCCGACGAAGCTTACTTTGAAATGACAAATTGAAAGGGAAAGGATTGGCAATGGAAGACTGGCTGGTTAGCATGGGTTCTATACTTCTGCAGCGGAGGATCGATGTAGCCTAGCCAAGAACAAGTATGACAGCCCGTTGATCTCGGCTGCCATGTGTCTCGATCGTAAGTGTTGCAAGCGATGGCGTGTTTTCAACATTGGTACCAGAGCAACAAGTCAAGGAGAGCTTCAGGGTTCTGGCCAGGAAAGCAGAACGTCCGACGTCTGGTCACCTAGTCTAGCTGTATGGCTGATCAACCTTTTGAACTTATCTCCATCGTTGGGGAGGGGCGAAAGCAGTCCACGACAAGGCAGCTTGCTGCTCGTACACTGTTTGGGATAGCATTCGTGTGATGTGTGAGGGATTGGCAATTGTGACAATAGAACTCTGACCCGATCTAGGGAGCTTTGTAATGCATCTAAATGAGCGCTATGGATAAGCTGATGCAGCGCAATGCATCACGAAGGTCCGGGTACCTTACGGTTGGTCTACATGTTCAATTGAAGTGGTTTGGTTGCAATGATTTGACAGGGTTAGCGTTGATATCGGCGGAACTAGCAAGCCTAGCGGCAGATGCAGCCTTATCCTTCTTGGCGCCGATCGTTCTTACAAAGCAGATTTCAAACAAGCCTCAATGCATCTCTCAAGCGTTACTGATCACCAAACCGTGTGAAATATTTCTAAGCCTTGGAGATGGAAGACAATCAATCACTAATGCGCGGGGTTTGGGCATCTACCCCACGTCGACCCGTCGAGGCTGAGGAGTCAACGTTTGAGTGCAGAAACTCAAGATGGGCCTTGTCCGCACTCCCTCCCATGTCCACAGACTTCCGCTCTCTCGCTCTTTGAACGACACCCAGGACTGTTATCGCCACAATGTCGTCTACTACACCTACCGAAGTTGTCTCGAAGCTTCTCAAGAACACACTCAATCCCGAGGTCAGTCCGCTTCTTATTCGTGCCCAATCGCAGAACCGCTGGATATTGACCGCCAAGTAGGTAGTCAGAGAGCTCGTTGCCCCAGATGCAACTTATGTATCACTCAACTACGACAACCCTGATCTTACCAAGATCCTGCCGTACGCAGGTAGCCATACAAAAGGTACCAGGCTATCTTGCCTGCCTTAAGTGGCTGTGCTTACGACTGTCCCAGCCGGCCCACAGGCCATTATCGATACCTTTGCCACCGTCAATCGAATCTGGGCCAACGAAGCCTTTGAGATCCAGACCCTTTTTGGCGCTGGGAAAGATGTAGCGGTCTTTGGCAGTTTCACCTATCGCTCGAGATCCTTGGGAAAGGTGTCCGTCAGTCCGTTTTCGATCTGGTGTAAGGTCAACGAAGACGGGAAGGTGACATACATGCAATTCATGGAAGACACTCTCGGATCGACCGATAGTTTCAAAAAAGGGGGACAGAAGCAATATGTTGTATTCAAAGAGAAGGGAGAGATTGAGGTCCAGTTGAATGTGGAAAGGGGGTTCAGGCATCTGCTGAACATGATGGGAGAGTTCCGTCTTATGTGGTCTTGTACCGCTGGGATTGGTAGCAATGGCTTCCGGTCGCCTGAAGCGATCAGCCCTTGAGACGCCGAGCTCGCTACAATTTTTCGAGTTTTTTATTGCATTTGGGTACCAGCCTCTTCAGAATTCAACAGGCCTAGTCCCGAACGCTTTCAATACACCTTCACATTTATCAAGCCGTCCAATATGCCAAAGGTTCAGCTCTCAACAATCATGAGACAACTATCCCCGGGTGTTCTTCCCTCAATCCTCCATAAAAGCACCCATGCAATATCCAGCGTTACAATTGGCTCTCATCTATAGTCCTATCAGCTTCCTCTTCCGACGCCATGACCCATGCTTCGATTTGGAGGAGGCTGGGAAGCAGACCACCAACAGATTGATTAGGGTTACGATAAGGCTGAAGAGGGATAATGATATAATGATTTTCGGTCTAGACCCGAGGGCCCCACTTCTCCAGTCACCCTTCCGCGTGGTTTCCTGGCAGACTGATAATACTCTAATAAATGTCAGCTTCCAAGATTCCAATCTCGCAACTTCCACTGATTATTGGGAGAGCTCGAATGCTAGTCCAGAAAGTCTATCACTCTCCTTCCCACATTATTGCCCAATGACGCTAGATATGCTCTCTATTCACAAACCTCCACATTCCCCTTCGAAAGCAGCGGTCAGACTTGTCCATCAATGACTTTCCGAATGCAGGCTTCGCCCTTCACACTGCCAAGATGGTGACTCCAGTCTACCTCCAATGCGTCCTCTTCTTGCTCTCTCTCCACTACTGCTTGACCTCGGCCCAAAATAGCGTTGGAAGCTTCTTCACAGCAATCTACCTCAATGGCGCTCCTGTCGCCTCCTACCAAACATCCTGCTCCAACATGGGCCAATCGCAATACTGCTGCAACTCTGGTCAATCATGCGCCTGGGACGATGCAGGGAAAGTCGCGTGTTGCGCGTCTGGGTACAACTGTCAGGGTAGCGCATACAGCTCCAATGCAGGCGCTGCAGGGCAATATTATCCCTCGTCATCATCAACATGGAGTCAAGCGGAGCAAACCACGACCGTCTACGAAAGTGCCAGTCAGAACTGCAATTGCGAATCGTCGACCGCGCCGAACGTCGTCCCAATTGTCCCCGTGACAGAGACGACTGTCGAGTCTTACTACTCTCCAACGACAACGAGCTACTACAGCCCCACCACATCAGCATACTCTCCCTACACGACGACTACAACAGCGGCAGCAGGACAAGAGGCGGAGGTGACGAGCTCGGGCAGTTGTTCAACGGGATACAAAACCATAGTAGAGGCGAACGTTGGTGCCCCCACACGAACCGTGGGCTGTTATGTCATCATCAACGAGGGCGGGAAGCGGACGAGGGGCCAAGGGGGCGGAGTGGAGGTGTTGCTGGGGGCTATGAGCTTTTTGGCCGTCGTAACAAGCATGCTGTAGCAATGATCACGATCTATCTGTACACAAGCTCAGCCGGAAGCGCCCGGAGGGTCCACCCACCCACCCACCACACCTCGCTTTGCCCAACTTCTCCACGTCGAGTTTGCCCGGATGACACGTGAATCCTTCGGCGCTTCGCTAGCCGTTGCCAATATGAGCAGTTGCACCACTGATTAGAGTCCGCGTGCTAACTCTAGCCGTCAGCCTCATGTTTGCCTCATTCCCTTGGAGCGTGCTAAGCTTCACTCTTCGCTAACCGTAGCTAAGACCCTTCGGATTAACCCATTCTGGTTACTATCTAAGATACGTTATGGAACCTTCAGATAGCACACCTAAGCGTAGATTTCTAAATTATAGTTAGTCTATCTTATTTTTACCGTCGATTATTATATTATTTATATTAAACTATTCTTAATTTAATATATAAACTTTATAAGATATTTTTAACGTATATAAGAAATTAAATATATATATATAAGTTTTCTTTAAAAAAAAATATCTTTACTTACGAGTTTTTAATCTTTTTTTAAATCTAGTTTTAATACTATTTAACGTTTAATTTATATTTTTTAAAAAGATTAAAAAAGTATTTAATTTAATTTAATTAATTATATAAGTATTATAAATTTCTTATTAAGATATTAATAGCTTAATATTACGTATATATCTATTAATAAACTAAATTATATTCTAAATTTTTATTATATATATTAATAGAATACGTACTTATCGAAATCTTATTAAAGATTATTTCTTAATAGTAAGATTAAAAATTTATAAGATAATATCTTAAAAAAGTATTAAAATTTATATTTTATTTTATATTTTATCTTTTTAATCTTTAGAAAATAATATTAAGATTTTAATAGATTTAATAGATTTATATATATTACGATATCGAATACTTATATATAATATTTAATTTTAATATTATTAAATTTTAAAATAAGCTTTAAAGTATTATATATATAGATTTTTATTAATAGAAAATAGAAGCTAGCTATTAATATATTTTATCGTATAACACTTAAAAATCGATACTCGATCTAAACAAATTTCGGTTGTTCTGATCCGAAGGGGCTTAGTGACGGGCTAGGCTGGTCTAAGGGACTGAGGCAACCCGACCATGTGCGGGAGTGTGGGAGGTCGATTACAACTGTATTTCTTGGAACGGCATAGTGCGAGAGTGTGTACCTTAGCTCATGGCGGCATCCCACCACTACATAGCTGATGCTCACACCGTCCTCCCAACATCACACTGACAACAGCAATGGAGGCAACTTTTGACTCTCCGCAAAGTGCACCAGCGGTGCCTACGATACCAGGGCATCAGGAAGTCGAACATGAAGCAACGGTCACGCGAGGGAAGAGCCAACCGGGTACCATTGGAGCTTGTGATGCCTGCCGGCTAAGGAAAGTGCGATGTCTTGCCAATGAGGATTCGAGGTCCTCGAAATGCCAACGATGTGCGAGAGCAAGCAGAGAATGTGTACGATCCCCACCAACCCAATACCGTACTGCTCATGTCGAAACGCGACAGCCTTGGGGAAGTGCAGAAGCTAATGACTTTATAGGTTTACACTACGCACAGCAAGACCCGCCGCCGAAAAAGAACGGATACAAGGGTAAAGGAGCTTGAACAACGGGTTGCGGAGATGAGCTTCCTTTTGGAGCACGGGAGGAGTAGCTCCACACCGTCAAGTTTCGAGAAAGAGGACGAGATCGTCGATACTCACGGGATGAATAGCGACATGGGAAGGGTCCGTTCATTCTCGAACAGCAGTCTCAGTCCAGGAGCAGCTACGAAAGACGATACGTGCGTGAGCCATGGCAAACAGCAAGGACTACCGCAGAACCCCGCCTCGTCCCACCAGGTCTGGGAACAGAACACGGAAGTTCCCAAGTCAATATCGATTCTGCCGGACGTAATCGATCGTGGAATATTGAACATGGCCAAGGCTACGGAGTTATATCAAATATATCTCGATGTACTTCTGCCACAATATCCGGCAGTTCCACTAAGCTACAATGTGGCCGAGCTTAGATCGAAAAAACCTATCCTCTTCTTGGCTGTCCTGGCGGCAGGTTCAGGATCATCAGATCCGTCCTTGAATCGCAGACTGAACCAGGAGATCCAAAGGGTATATGCCACGAAAGTGTCAATCCAGGGTCTCAAGTCGCTCGAGCTGGTACAGTCTCTTTTGGTTTCGATTCTCTGGACTTACCCTCCAGACAAGTTTGAGGACCTGAAGTTCCATCAACAGATACACATGGCAGCTACGATGGCATTGGATTTGGGGCTCGCTAACAAGCCAAAGGGGAACTCGATGGGGCAGCAACCCTCCAAAGTGCTCTCTGCCGGGGACAATCCCGATTTGGCGGAGGATCAAGGGTCCACGAGCCTGCCAACGAGATTTCCCGGCGGGCAGCCTTTCGATGTTTCTTATGATACAGAGTCTGCAAACCATGTGATGTCCCCGAAGAAGCATTTGCCGGATAGTGGTTCCTTAGACTGCCGCCGAGCATTGTTGGCGTGTTACCTGTTCTGTGCTTCGGTATCTATGAGTCTGCGCCTTCCAAACTTCATGCGTTATTCTTCTTGGATGGCGGATTGCTCTGAAGTCCTGAGAACATCCCCAGACGCTGCGCCTACTGACAAGCGATTTGTGGCATGGGTCCAGCTACAACGTCTCGTTGAGGAGTGCGGAACAAATTTCGCATTAGACAGCCCTGATGATACGGTCAGCTTGGCAGATGAGCGCGCTCAGCTCATGCTTCAGAGCTATGAGAAGCAATTGGAAGCATGGAGGCAACATGCTGTTAGCAATGACAACATCATGAACCGTTAGTCGTCCACCACATTGGCTTCCAAGAATTGGTGCTAACGCTCGTTCAGCTTTCCTGGAGATCACCTACCACGCTAATAACATCTACCTGCATGAAATCGCCCTTCACCCTGATCACGACGCCGAAGACTTTAAACCACCATTTTCTGTAGCGGTGAATGATTCCATGCCACACACCCCAACAGGAACTCCGACTCCACCGTATATCAATGCGATCATTCAATGTATCTCTTCATCAGATGCCTTGATAAAGACCTTTTTGAACATAAGGTACGTAACATTCGAAACACTTTGATCCTTGATTGTTACTATTTTCTGGGTCGTAAAACATATTTCGCGACCAAAGAAATTGTATCGCTACCCTGGAACTCCTAGTAAAACAGAAATTTTCTCGAAGGTTTACTGAGCTCGGTATCTTCTACAGCGTCCAACAGATCCGCGCAACCCCAACACTCGTCTACGTCCGCGTAGTCTACGCTGTCGTCATTCTTATCAAACTATCCGTCAGTACAAGTACAACCGAGCTCGGAAAAGTGCTGAAATCCGAGGATATCAAGGTCTCACTCTACCTCGAGCAGCTTCTTATTCATCTTAGGGCGGTGGCCACCCTGGACGACCAAAATATACACACTCTTGGGGCCAAATTCCTCCAAATATTGACCAAAGTCAGGGTCTGGTTCCACCAACAAGGGAGGCCACACAGACCAGCAAATGAGGAAATACGGTCGGCTGCAGGCTTTGAGCTTTCTAGACCAACGGAATTGACACGAGGAGACCCTTCACAATACACAGAAAAATTTAACTTTCGCAACGATTTTAGCAAGAATCCTACCATGGACACTACCGCGTGGCCCAATCAGTTCCAATCATCTAACGGCTACTCTGATGCGAATTATTCCTTGCAACCGTCTTGGAATGATATGGCCTTCGACTTCCCAATGGATCTCCACCCGAATCTGTTCACGCATCTGATACAGGCTGACCAGACCCAGAATTATCAAGACAGCGAAACCTCGAACGTGGAGGTGTTCAACGAAATGGATTATCTCAATAACATGCCTGACTTCGGTAGCTGGCCCATGCAATGATGTGCGAGATTTTCTTGGTAAAGGGCGGTATGACTATATCGACAAGCTGTTCTGGATTTGTCCTAGTTCCAGTTATTTTGAATAGTCAGTTGGGGACCTTGTAAATTTCTTCGGCTTGACTTTTGTTTAATAACCTTTATCATGTCCAGCTCAGCGGTCTTCACTACTTCACTGCGGCATGTTTTGTCGGGAAATCTGTCCGGTCTCTGGTGGCTTGGAACGCGTGCTCCATTCACCGGCGAGTTACCCCCCACGCATGTTCCAACCTTCTTCCCTTTCTTGAACCACAGCATCCTATTTGGACAATGAAAATGCTATCGACCTTGACACATGATCTATTGGTGGATCCGCATGTACCTGGGTGCAACAAGGCTTTCTGTCTCCCTACCGAACAAGCCCCTATGTCATCGCACTATCCACAGTACTGCTCTCTACTTTTCCCATCTGCCATCTAAATTTACCTCCTTACCTGTCTCATGTTGGCCTTGTTCATCAACCGGCGGTTGAAAACCCTGAATACTTTGACATCTCTCTCGTGACTAATTCAAACTTCTCTGGCAGTTTCACTCTACTCATCAGCTCATTATGCCAAACAAGAGGCCACTAATTTGTATCTTCATTGTTAGTTGAGCTTGATGTTGAGGACAATTCCTCTGCAATTACGTTTTCATGGCGGAATCGAGCAGCACAACGCGCAGAGTGAGCGCCATGAGTTGCAGGATTTCTACGAAATATTAGGCAAGATTGAAGATTGGGGGAAGTGCTAACCACAGTCGTGAGATCCATTGCATCAACCGGGATCCTTTCTGGTGCCTCAGTCCTTTTCACATCTACGACAGATACCGCACCAGAAACATCCCATCCACAATTGTCATGTCGGTCAATCTCAAGATCAAACAGCTCTGCTATTATGTCATTCTTGAAGGCCACTACCCTACATATACATATTTTCACCAACTCTGATGAAGCAGCGAATGGCTCTACCTTCCAAAGCTGACTTCCTGACTACGAGCTTTTTCACGCATGGGATGGGAAAGCTGGACGCCTCTAGTGACGAAGCTCAGCCGAGAGTACTTGAACTTGCCTGTACAAAATACTTAGCCCCTCACTTCCCCAAGAGTTGATTCCGTCTTCTGTGCATGTCTTCGTCCAGAATTATAATTTTGCATCCTTACAAGCTCTTTCAACCCCAAGCATTAGTAACAAGATGCTACTGCCTGTTGGTGCTATAAGACTGCGAGTACGGCGTACGTACAAACCTCTACTGAAGGGAATTCCCACACCTCACCTGTCAATGTCAAGTCAACCTTCCCCCCGCACGTTTGTACCCCCTGGCCCCCACGGCCTTTGTGAATGCTAACAATCATACAGTGATGCTGGTGGCACTGGCGAAGACGACGGAAGGATCCACAGCATGATCAACCCCTCATAGCCCAGCATCAAGCCGCATTTAAACTCATCAAGGGAGCCACGAGCTTACACCTTTCCTCGACAAGGAAGAGTAACAGGTTAAGGAAGGGAAAGGACATCCGCTTTAGCTTTCCGGTCAACGATAAGGCCTTGCTAGATGGTATCTTAAGGATAGTAACGAGCCTGAAGTTCGGCACGCTTCCCAGTACTTGCTACTTTATATTTTCACACGCGGATGACGGAAGACCCACTGAGGATCTCAATGCTTGGACGAAAGGCATTGAAGAAGGATCTAAACTTGCCGAGGATGATGAACTAGCCGACCCACAGAAGTCGAACACTTCTATCGAGGAAGATGCCGCTGTCGCTTACGACCAGCCCTTTCTCCTTTCCTGCCGTAAAGATACCGCTGTGTTCTCGCCCTTCTTCCCTGTTCCTGCTTTCACTCGTAAATATTCTAAAACTGCCGCCCTCCATTTCCTACTTCGTCCGTCTCACCCCATCTTTCTTTACCTACATAGGGACTAAGCCAAGGCCGTCTAGAGCTCCTCTCGTTCTCTCGTCGCGTTCAACTCCGACTGCCACGATCCGCTATACGCCAGATCAATGTGACTACATCGAGACCATCTCAGCAAATGGCAAATCCTCTCAGATACGTTGCTCCATCCACTATCATCGCTTTCGTCCCCACGACATCTTGTGGGCCATTACCGAACGTTTCATGAAATGCTCGATGAACTCAAATCTGTGGTCGAAGTGCCATTCTGCAGATTCGCGGTGGAGCATTACGAAAGTCATTACAAATACGTGTCATGCAATTGTCTGTCACCTCAAAGATTATCTTGCTCGCGGCCATTATCTACCGACGCAAGGGCGTTTAATGGTAAATCTGGCAAAGGTTGTTCGGCTTTTAGCGGTGCAAGTGGTATGGGAAGAACATGGAATTCACCATGCGTCTTTGCATCTCCAAAGCTTCCATCCTAACAGAGGTTGTGTTCATAAATTCTTCTTACAAACTTCCATACCTCCATCAGCATTTCGCAAACAATGTCAGCATTCTCCCAGCACAATCTCAGCGGCATAGAGATGAGTCGCACTTCGCAAAGACTGTAAGTTTTCTTTCTTTCAGCAACCCTGAGAGGATCATCAACAGAATACCTTGGTAGTGTTAGACGAAAGTCTGTTAGCACTGACCGCAATGGTGACAATTTACTTGTGACTCCACCCGCCTACAAATCATGGTGTTCCCGAACATCTATTGATGAGCTCTGCTATTGATCATGCTGCCCTCATGGAATTCTCTAATACACAATCGTCTTTATGATCTTTTGGTTATTTCACAAGATATAAAGTTGTTCGAACGTCACATTGACGTATAAGTTTTCAATTGCAATCTCAACATCTACAACATCTACAACATAAACGGCTGCTAGCAATAGCTGATCCACAGTTCCTGCAAAATTTGATTGCTGTACCCTTCCCTGAAGAAAGACCACCTCAGTCTAGCACACCTCATCTTCTCCAACATGGCATTTCACGAATCTCGCTAGTTGTGGGTCAGACAATGTCGTCAATGGACGCGATTCGAGAACGGAGCAGGGCCTTTACTTCACATCATCTCACCTTATTACAATTGGAGGTCAGCAATGACAATGAGAGGCACTTCGTTTTGTTTTGGAGTGGCTCTTATGTCAGATACTGCAGACTACTTTCGTCATAGACACCGCAGACCCTTAAGATGTCACAAAACAATGGCGCAACAAGTTATGGCTAAGGGGCTTCGGTCTCGAATCCTCGCCAACCTTGCTCCTCGGGATGTCAATAATGTTCGACTTGCGAGCGGAAACGCTTCAAGCAATTGAGTGACGGTTTCCACTTGTGACACTTGCGTTTTTTCCCTCACACAGAGACTGCCTGCAGACTCTAAGTTTCTTCAGTCTGTCCAAACAAGCCTCGAATGAACCGCTGGATCGAACGGCATTGCAGTGGTAAGCAGGCACAAAGCAAAATCGGAACCGCCACCACCGCCAATTACAGGATCGAGCGACAAATAGACCGGCGCCTGAGCGAACACGAAGTACTCAGACCGGTGTGCTACCCAGAGGTATTCAACAGATACTCGACGAATTAAATTTTCCAACGGGTGAGCTGGTACCCCTGATGGTCGCAGAAGATATCACGCACAGCAATCAGCGCAACACCTCGAATCCAATCCTCGACATGAGCATTGGGCCGATTGTCGCGTTTGTTGTTACTTTCTTGTGGACGGTATTTTGGGCCTGGTGGAACTATGCACAGGAAGGTGATGTATAGGAGTATGTGGGCTCGACTAGTACGATGTCTAGCAGCATTGCCTAGGAAGAATGACGGACCTGTCCCGTGCATTTGAGACCGCAACAGAAAGACTTACAGAGATCGATGAGGCGTGGAAAAGCCTAGTAGATTCTCCCAACGATCATTGATGATATTTCTATTCATTTTTCTTTACAGTGGCTTTCATTTGAAGGGTATCATTCAGAGCAACTCAAATTCGCGTTGAGTACCCTGAGCAGCAGGACGGCTCAATTCATAGGATGCAAACGAAGGGATCAATTCGAGCTTCACAGAATAATAACCACGGTAGAACAGCCTCACTCCACGACCCTTGCTGTCTACTCACCTGTAGCAGTCAAACATTCACGATGGACCACACACCTCGAGGGAGTCGCGTTCGCTATGAAGGCGATTCTCCCTTACCCCAGGTCAGCCAGCACACCACAAGCTGACGGCCTTGTCCCCTAACGTACCCTTCTTCAGTCGATCCCCCTCCTGCACGAGTCCTTGGACGAGCAACCGGATTTACTCTCACACGACAGCATCGTCCGCAGGCTTGAGATACCTCAGATATTTGATATCCCAGAGCGAGCTAGCAGCAAAAGAGCCTTTGCAGAAATTGGAGCGGACAAGGATAAGAGAAAGCTTCTTGATGTCGACATTGAAAGGGTGGGAAAGAAGATGAAAAGGCTTCGAATATGAACAAGCGGGTCCCCGGGGTCAGGTTACTTACCGCGCGGGCGTTGAGTGTGCCGCCACCACACCGCGTAGTGTCGCTTCCGGTGAGTTTCGATTTTCTCCCAAGCAGGTTCGAAGAATCCGAACTGACTTTTCGAAAAGTTCGACACTCTGGTCCGGACAAATCTACAAGTGTCTCCCGTGCAAGCTTGGATATTTTCCGAACGTTTGGGAAAGCCGACGCCTGACGAGCCGCCCATGGCTGGTGATAGGGCACCACGATGAAAGATCTGCTCCCTTGCGGCTGCCGCTTCAATGTTTGTTTATTCCGAAGTGTTAATTGGATCCCGGCTCATTTGAACTTTTCGAAGAACGCTGTGGTGGGACTCTGGCGCAAGGAATATGGCATGGTAGATGACGTTCGTATACATGTTTGATACCCATTTTTGCCCCTTCTGTCAGTGCGTATCAGCACAGTTGTTGATAACTTTTTTAAACAAGGAAGGCCTACCGAAAAGCCCGCGCGACCAACCACCGTTGGCGTCACGTTGGTAAAGAGAATGGCCGATGCCAAACTCGTCCTGACTTGCTCCTTACAATTTCGCACGGGGGATGCTACGAAGGACCTCCTTGATGACCAGCATCTTCCCTTCATCGCTTAGAAACTCGTCACCCACATTCTCCGTCGCGCTAGTGGGTACAAAGCCTCACTTCCAGTCTGACTTTTGTTCTTCTTAGCAACAACACCAACATCAACACCATCACAAGTAAGTGCCAAGTCTTTCTTCATGTCTGCTACCTTGCCTTCGTCCGTCCTTATCGCAGTATCGCGATAGCGAGCTGCGCATCATCGCAACAGCATGGCACATACATCGGTTGAGGTGATAGTCGAGTGAGGTTGAAGTCGCTCAGATCAACTTCACACACAACAAGCACCTTAAAGGATACTTTACGATGCTTTTTAGACAGCATAAGAAGCATACTGACATGTTGACAGTGGCACCCAACCTTCGTTCGCGTGGCCCTGCGGGCCACCAAGTACTTGTGGCTGTCGTTGTTCCTGTTGCCTCCGCTGCTGCTGGTAGGTACTTTGAAGACGTGCTTGGCTAAGAAGGCTTGATAGCTCCTTCCGCCGCTATTCCCGTCCCCTCTCGTGAGTGGAAGAGATGCCTGATGACTGAGAGGTTGTGTTGACATGTGCTAAGGCCCCTCTTGCTTGCGTTGTGTGCGTGCGCTCGCACGTGATCCTCACCTAAATTCTCGTCACCTAAATTTTGGTCACCTATATTCTCGCCATCTGTGTTCTGGTAATATTTATTCTCATCATCTCACCTGCATCCTGGTCATCTACATTATTCTCCTCGCCTTAAAACTTCATGGACAAGATATCTAGGTCCTCAAAGGTCCCATCAGAGACCGCGGCCTCTATTTCGTATACTTCTACTCCTAACTCCACCTATGCCATCAAATTATTCGGTGCTGCGTATTAGTATGGTGAGCTTTTACAAGACCATCCCAAATCTGCTTTGCTGTTCGTCGGTCTACTATCGGAGACGGAGCCAGATAGGAGAAAAATCTCATTTTAAAAGCAAAAATGCCGATGCAAGACAAACTCGCAGGGGGGCGGAGACTCCGTCAGATATTTTTGAGCCTGTAACGCAGGCCAAGTTCTACGTCCTGGTCGATGGTAGAGAAGATAGTCTCTTTGGGACGCGAAACATCAGTAATAAACATAACTTTTACTTCTCTGAGTTCACATGGGTGGTAGAGACTGTAGTTTCATGATTCACGAAGTGAAACTTAAGTATCAGGCACGCTGCAGGGCCAAAGACGTCCTCGACTTCCGTACCATCAAAGCCACCTCTGCGACTCGCCACAGGTCCAATTGGTGGAGGTTCTTTATCGATGTGATTCACAATGAGCCTTGCGAAGGAGATACAAATTCTATGCCTCGGCCTACGCCATCACGAACCCAGACGTCGGCAGCGGTCATTATGTCTTACGGCACGATCTTAGGCACATGTTTTGGTTGTAAAGTTGATTGATTCTTCTAAGGAAATCTACGGCTAAAAGGTATCGTGTGCCAAGCATTTCCTTGGCCATTCCCTTGACACCTCAGGCAAGGGCCGTAACGAGGAAAGCCATCACCTCAGATAACATCTTCCCCCCTCGGTCAAAGGAAGACGTCACCCGCTATCCTTTTGCCTCTCCGGTTGTTTGCGCCTCCCACTACGATAACCATCCTCAATTTGACGCTTTCCGACCAACCCAAGCTGAGACCCGTGGGGAGGCGTTGAAGCAACTAGAAACCATAGAAGCTTTCCACGTCCATTATCTACGGGATCGCAAAGGTAACGTTGGCCTGTGGGACGGATGCAAGGATTTTTCATTCCCGGACCCGAACAACTACCTAGAGCTCCGGCATAAAGCACCGCCTGCCGTTGTCTTTAGGACAGACCAGGACTCAAGCTACTCCAGGGAAGCGATCGAAGCCATTCCGGGAACCGCTTTTGGCCATATCGATCTTCAGAGTTTCCATTTACGAAAACGCGGACGGAGCACTCTGGCACTTCCATCACGGTCCAGGGGAACTACCGGATATCGACTGGAGTGAGGAGCAAAGTGACTTCAAGTTCGAATATTCTCAAACCCCTGTTCCGCCAGAATCAATTTTACAACCAAAACATGTGCCTAAGATCGTGCCGTATCATTATGTCTCATTCTTCAAATGGTTTCGGGCCACCCGATGTGTCATTGGATCCTCAGAGATTTATCCCTTGGTTTCGTGATCTTACACGTTTCGTCTCCGCATGTTGCAATTTCCCTTCTTCTTTCAAGTAGAGTAGAGTTCCGCTCGTCATTTTTCATACTGTCATCAACACGGCAATGCAAGCAAGGAATAACCTTGCTGCGCAATGCCATGGAAGAACGCGTTCAAAACCTCAAACAGCTTCGGAAGAACCAGACCAGCAACCGCACATGCCTCCTCGCGTCAGACACAGCCGTTGTTCCTTCGAACGCTCCAGAAGAAATTTCCACGCAATACATCGGGCCCCAGGAGCAACCCAGCTTCTACTCCAAACCATCCGAGGTTCTCCGATGTACTTGAAACAGATTCAAATCATCTGAGCTCTCTTACCCAGATGCAAGCGATGACGAAAACCTATCCGACTCCGCGAGTCGTGACGGGAACGGAATTTCCCTGGAGTTGGGCTCTGAGAACGACGAAGCCTTCGATGAGGATGACGCTCGAGGTACTCGAGATTTCCGGGGCTGTGAGAGCCAGTCTCCAAATGGATTCGAGCGCAGCACCTCTGACTTTTTGCTGACTACTGCGCGCGAAAGGCTCTCCTGCAGAGAAATCCGTCCGCACAACTGGGTATGAGTTAGCCACAACGGATCGTGCGCCAACCTATGCCACCACACCGTCAATGGACTCGCAGTATCGGGAAGGAAGATTCAGATGCAGCTTACTGGGCTCATTGCAGTGGTCGACAAGGCATCTTCTCATCTGGGGGTACGTAAATCCTTTCTCTAGCCCACTGTGCCTGAAGAGAAACCGAATTCACACCGTATCTCTCACCCTGGCTGTGACTTCCACATACTCGTCAATCCATCCCATACGTGCCTTTTCACTCACAGCTAGCTCTCCGGTGTCGAGTCGAAGCCGCATAAGCTCCACTGCTAAGATCTTACAACAAAAGCGATTCATGTGTGCAGTATTGTCTAGCGACAAGGCCGTCTCATGCTCCCGTGACCGGAGGTGGATGAATTCATCGGCCTCTTGACTTCCAGATGGTGAAGCTGCTGAGGCAATGGAGTGGTAACACGGTTGGCGGACTGAATTAGGGATGCCTACCGGATGCTGATACTAAAGGGAAGGAGGCAGGGGAGTGGGGGAGGTAGTGGGGCAATGCGGAGACTAGGATAGACCGTCTTTCTTCTGTCTTCTTCCAAATTGAGTTCTCTTGACGAGATTGTGCTCGCTGGTTTTATCCACTCAGGAAGGATACGCCCAACACGCAGTTTCGCTTCTCAGGCTAGAGCCCTGGGGCGAATGGGCGAAGGAATAGGTCGTCAGGAGAACATGCCGCTTTTGTGGAACAGGGAGCTTGGATTGAGGGTAGGAAGTCTCGGGCCGCGTTCCTGCGAGCATGGTTTGGCTGGGCTGGATATACTGCTTTGCTCAAAGGTTTTATCGATGAGAAGAATGCTACATTTCCTTGTACCAACGGTGACTGTCCCTGAGTATGCAACTTTACTTGACCCATATCCAGAAGCAATAGTGAATTTTCACATCGGCACTTTGGTATCCACCTGGGAAAGCGACGATAATATCAAAAATTGAGGCCATAATGATCATTGTAGAGCCAGAATACCAATCAATGTACTAGTACCGGGAGCGAACTCGCCGTCTACTGCTCTAATTTTCTCCCTCCGCCTCCGGTACCACAAGAGCATAGTCAAGACTGCCCCATCTCATCGAGCCGGCAAGAGCTGCAGGGGTAGGAATCCCCAGACGACCCCTCTATCCACGTCGTCCTCGCTTTGGTGTGAATCTTCACTTCCGCCTCCTCACACACCCGCTTCAAGGCCCCGAGCCAAGGATCGAGCCCGTTCGGTTCGTATCCCCGGCGATTTTTTGTTGATTTCACTAATAGATTTGCGAGGCAGATTTCCGTTAGAGCGCCGAAGGCGCCATTTGATGGAGACAGCTTGGCTTTGACTAGGGCCACTAAGTGGTCCATGAGGCTTTCGATCTCGTGCCCGAATAGGCGGGTGCGTTCTTGGTAGATCTTTAGTGTTTGCAGCGTCCTGAAGAATTGGGGGGTTAATTGTATATTCCATCGCAGTTTTTGAGTCGTAGGAGTAGTCGAAAGGGTCTTGTTCCCAGTTCAGGTCTCAAGGCTCAAGCAGGTGTTGCATTGATGGGGAAGGGATGTCGGAAGGGTGCTTACGGTGGAAGAAAAGTCAGTAGATCAACCCAATCTGTAGTACCGAACGCACTCTTCTCCATGTCAATGCCATGATCCACAGTGTATTCAATCTGCGACGGCTTGTATGTGGATATGTCTACGAGCTGGGTTATAGAAAGCGCAATGCTTGCGAGTTTTTGGAAAGTCTGTAGCGATTGCTGTGGAACAGCATCGGGCGTCGGCAGCAGGTTCTGCTGGTCAAAGTTCACGGTTTCGAGACTGTGTTTCGAATGCTCTAGGAGGGCTGAGATGATCTCATCGTCGTTGATCACCCCGTTGAGAGAGCGCAGGGAGTGCGTTGCGCCGATGAAGCTGGCAATTGTTTCCGTGGCGAGCTCACAGCAGTCGACTTTTGGATATTAGATTTAGCGTTTGGCTCTCAATCTATGAGCCGAGGAAATTTGAACGACTTACAAGCCAGCTTCTGGCAGGATGACCGGCCTATTTCCCATTCCCAGACGTATGGCACAGAGTCTTTGCCATCTTCTTCATCGTTCTCTAAGTCAGATTCCGCATCATTTTCCTCTCCCATCAACAAGTTGAGGTGTAACTCCTCAATGGCAGGTAGTAGGAACAGGGGTGCGATGACACGCGAATGCGGGTAATAGGGATCATGCGAGTGCCTTAGTGTAACATCCCCGACAAAGACTGTCTTTAAATTCTGGAAACATGGCCACTCGGGGCATGGTAGTGGTGCTAGTGCTCGGAGCGAAGACGCCAGCAACCTAAACGGGTGGCTCTTTTCTCCGGCTTGCCAGCTGTCGTATTCGACGAATGTGGCTTGGGTCAGTCTTGGTGACATGGCCATTAGGAGCACTTTCTGAGGCTCATCACTTCCGGATCGCAGTCGTTCCATCCATTTGTCTACCAAAGGCTCTCTGAGGTGCAACATTTTGGAAAGCATGGTACGGTAGCGCTCAAGCTCCTCATCGGTGTAGAACGTAGTGTCAAGATGCGAGTGATCATGGTATTCTCCTGGCCAAGTCAAGGACTCCTTGGAATTCCAGTCATCAAGTTCCACATGAGGATTCCCTTCTACAAAAGTTGGGCTCATCCATTCTTCAAAATTCTCTCTCAAATCCCAGATGTCCAAGGACCGAACGTACCATAAGATTTCCGGCTCGGAAAGACTATCGCGCAATAACGATGGAACGGTAATCGGATTGCGATCGTGGACCATACGAAGCTCTGATCGACGCTGTTTGTGGGTTTTCAAAGCCTGTAAGGAACAACGTGAGAGAACCTTGCAGGTGCATGCCCATTCAATCACAGTTTGGGGGTGGACGAAGCCCGAGATTTTGCAGAGTAATTCCTCCGGTAGGGTTAGTAGATCAGGCATCTTTTCGAGAAAAGGCAAATGCACGAAGCGGTAGCAAAGCGATAGAGGTGAATGATTTTACTGGGACGGTTGTGCGTTGGAAATGGGGGAGTTTTGCTTCTTCAGCTCATGTCCACTAATGCTCTTCTAGCCTGGCCAAAGTTTGTGGGTCCTAGGCAACAATCACTTAATCCATAGAGAAGCCAGAAATCTTGTTCCAGCCTTGCACTCAGGTCATGGTCCGGTCGAACAGAGAGAGGGTAAGAGTTTCACAGGTTCTTTAACCCGGAGTAGGGATGAGTCGAGTAGATTGAACTCGGGGCTGATGTTGGAGGGAAATAATCCCCCTAGGCGCTAGGCGAAACTTCGGGTAACTTTTCACGTGACTGACCTACTATATGAACGCCAGCCGTGGTAAATTTCAAACAACCCTATACTTGATGTCTGGATTTTCAACAAACTTTGTCGAAATGAAGAGCAAATGCCAAATTGACTTGAGCTTCGTGAAACGTAGCTGAAAATAGACTCAATCTTCTCGCGCATCTCGACACGAAAGAACAGCTGCTCGTAAACAATACTGTTTCTGCTCTGCAAACAAATACTAGAGACTGGCACGAACGCTGCAACAGACCATCTATTGAGAGGTACGGACGGAGTTTTGCGCGCATAAGACATTGGGAGGATCCTCGAACGCTAAACAGTACCACGAAAACAATGCCAGATTCACACATCCTCGCAGCCAATTAATCAGAAGACTTGTTAGTTCTCCCGCCCAAAGCCCGATGATGTGAAGGGTGTCGTAGCGACATTCTTGACTTGGTCAATGCTAAGACTCAAAAGGGTCACGTGGCTTTCATATATTGGCCGTGCTTTTGATCTGTATTGTACGAAATCCCCTCCGTCGTCCCAAGATTGTACTCGAATGTTGAACAAACATGTATTTATGGGCTCTGGGTATGATATTCAACTCCGCTTTCATGCTGGAATGTTGAGCAGTACCTTGACCGTCTACCATTCAATTCTGCCAAGCACCGGGCATGCTTGGATACTTCAGACCTCGAGAACGTGACTCTTTGGCATGTCGCTTCTGTAACCGCCGCTTCGCTCGTCGCTGAGCCATATCATAAAGCTGCTGCTGCACGGCCTCTTCGTCTTCCCGTGTTGGATGGCAATATCCATACCACTTTGGGTAATGGAAAGGCCATGTTACTTCCGACGACATGTGGTACGTAATGAAAGAGCGAGAGAGCATGAGCATTGGCTCCAACGTGCTGTGTAAGAGGTAAATGGAAGATGAAGGATTAGTCCACCAATCCCAGTATATGCTTTGCTTCTGCTGCTCCAATTCGAATATCAACTCACGAGGACTGTCATGTTCTTCGTGACGTTGAAGCAAGGGAAAGGTCGTCTGCGGTTGTGTGTAATGCAGGTCACTTTCTTTTTCGATGTATGCGACAACATCGTAGCTTTCGCTTCGAAGGATTTGAAACCACCCGTTCGCCACAGCTCTCGCTTCAGCCGGCGTGTCGGTGAACGTGAACATTTCATCAAGTGGTGTTCCATATTTCGTGACTTCGTATGAGACATCACTTTCATTACGCATTTCAACGAAATGTGGCACAGGTGCGTGAAGATTTGCTCCAGTGCGAAGGAGTCTTATGATCAGAGATTCCCACTGCTCCTTTTCTGCGTCGTGCAGAACTTCATATTTGTACTCTACTAGGTATGCGACAGCATAAAGCCGCAAAGCCATAGCTAAAGGAGGATAGGTGATTACGTCGTTGGTAGGCTCCGAGACCCCAAACGGAAGAAAGTCCCGTGATAACGTGAATCCTGCTAATTCAGGTGGGCCTACATAATGTAATAGAATATCAGATATATCACTAGCAGAGAGACTATCCTGTGACTGAGCGAGGGTTCTGAAAGTTTCTATCAAAGTCCCCTTGCAAATTTGGGACGGTTCTCTATCAGCAAGGACGAAATTACCACATGCACCCATTCCTATTATGGCTTTTCTGTGTTCATGTTTCAGCAATGAGGTGACGATCAGGCGCTATACACTCACTGTCCGCCAAAAGATACACGTTCTGGATCGACACCGAGCTGGAGAAGCAAGGCGCACACGCCTGGCTGAAAGCCGTAAGCGGCAAACTAATCTCAGTCAATAAGGAACCATTCAGAAAGAGATAGAAAGTACACCAACATGAAGTAAAGTCCAACTACATTCGTCCGACACAAACGGTGACACCGGTTTCTTCCTGAAGAGGTCCTGGAGGCTCTCTACCTCTCCGTGCACGCACATTGAGGATACCTCCTCAGTGTGGGAAAGCACGGGATAGACGTTCAAAGTTCTGGATATATGGCTAAAGCTCTGCATGTATTGCAATTCAAGCTGGTGATGGCAGGTCTTCCTACAGCACGCGGACTCGTGTTGTACTTCGTTTTCTTTCGCACGGTCACAGTTCCGAGCACTCCATGGTACCAAGGTACTAGGGCCTTTATAGAGACAAGGGAACAAGACTTCGGGAGATCGGAAGGGCGAAAATTGCACTTTTCGCTCGGTTGGAACTGTTCATCCTCCACGATACCTTTCTACCAAGTTAAGGTCGTGGCGTTAGTTACTTCGTCTTCTCTGAAGCTTTGTATTTGATATAATCTGTGCCTTTGTCAGCGAACATCTACCACCCAAGGCGCGTCGGTCTATACTCTAACTGCCACGAGTTACTCGATATCGCGAACTGCAAGTCCATTTTCGCGTCTCTGAGCCGACATCGGATATCCTCCAAGTCTTGCTTCTTTACAACAAATCTCATCGAGGCCCAAGCCCTCCGCACCTTATGCTGATGACCGAAAGATCTTTTGATCTCAGCCGAAAGGGTTTCGAGCTCCTTGATCTCTTTTTCGCAGAACTCCGGGAGGACCGGTAGCAGGGAGAAGAGAAATAGCGGAGAGATGCCATTGATAGCAAATGGTAGACACCAGCGTGTGGGGCCCATGCCGCCGTCTATGAAGCTCAGATCAAAGGATAGCCAGTAAGCAAAGGCTATCCCGGTATAGTTTGCCAAACAGATCACAGAGAATGAGCGACCGCGATGCGCGGCTTCAGACACTTCGGAGACCCATGTTGGTACTATTGCGTTCATATGGGCAACTCCGACCCCTGCGGTCACACGCGCGCAGATGATCCATGTTCTGCAAATCAGCTTTCGCACATATACCCCTTGCTACATGATGGATCGTGTCATGACAAAGCCGAATCCCTGCGGAGCAATGCCATGTGTAACTGAATTTAGCGTGTGCCCGTTGTCCACCAGAGATCAGCACCTTTAGCACACACCCTACCCATACCCGATCCTAGGTCCCGTGAAGATTTCTCCGAGATACTATCGAAGGTCGCAAGCACCAGAAAGAAGAGCTTTAGCGCTTGAGCTCAAGCTTGAGGATGAAAAGATAGTCTCTCAGGTAGGTTAAAGGAATGTTGCCGTTAGAATTGGCCTTTACAGCGGTACGAGTCCCAGGAAGGCGGAAGATTCAGCAATGGAAGGAGGATTCATTGTTCGCGCGAAACGCCACATATCGAGTGTCAGTTTGTTTGCGCTTGATATCAGTGGGTTGGCAAGCGCCAAAAGAGATGACATAAGAGCGGTGACATCTTCAGACAGCTTGCCTGTGTTCATTGATCTCGCTACCTTATCACTACCAGCTTTGTCGTACGCTTCACCTGCTCCTCAGGGTAATCTCCCCCGAATTGCATTACATTGTCGTTAAATGTGGAAGTAGTTGTCTCCTGGCTCGGTCTGCCCAATGGCCCCTTTTCTGGCGTTCTTTGGGATGATGATAGGCCTCCCCACGAAGTCTTCAAACCCAAGGAAAGCAAAATTCAGTGCTTCCTTTGCGCCGATGGGAATGCCAATCTCATTAATTGTTGTGATATCAGTAGTCGGCGTTTGTTCCCTCAAGTAGTTAACAATGTTCGGGTTGTAGCTCCCACCGCCGCGCATAAAAATCTCGCCCAATTGTTTGGGGCCGTACCGCCGGTAGTGCTCAAGTAATGAATATGCCGTGATACGCAATCCTCTGGGCTTGCCGCCTTCTTTAGCATGCTTTTACATATCTCTTCACCCATGCGGCCACCGAAAATCTCCCTCCCTGTCGTCTTCGGGACGTCGTGCACGAAGTACGGCTGTTGTAACATCTCATCTACGATTGCTTGACCGACCTTTGCTTTTGCTCCCATTTCGTGAACTTTGTCAGATTCGAGCTCGCCCTTTGTAATGTATCGGACCGCAGAATCAACGAAAACATTGCCTGACCCGTATCGAAATCGTAGAATCCCTCTACATCTCCTATCGGTAGAACTTGAAAAATTGGCTATGCCACCAATTATCTGTGCTGCATGGCTCTTTGTGGGATGGTTGAAGAGCGACCAGTCAATGGGGGCGATGATTGGGCAGCCTTATCGTCCAAGAGCGAGGTCGGACACCCGAAACTTTCCTATCGAGGAGACTGCCGTGTTGGCAGCGATGACGGCAATTTTCCCCATGTCGAGATGCGCACGGGACATATCCCGTCCAGGGAACAAGCCCGGAAGGGAAAGATGCCATATTGTCTGCCCTTGGCCAGCGATGAGATCCATATTCTCCGCGAGGAAAATTTCTGCTTCTCTGTAAACTGTTGTACTGCGCGGGCGGCGAATTCGCCTAGCCCCTGATTCATCACTGCAATTCCCCCTGGAGATGTGGGGTCTTCCTTTATTACAAGCATGACTTTGCCTTGTAGCCTCTCGGTACCAACCAGCCAGCCAAGTATTGTAGTATAGAAGCACACTTTAAGGTCTGAGTAGACTCCACCTCGCCGAAATGTAGAAGTTCCACGTTCAATGGGGATTCTGTATCATCTTGGGTGAAATGAACGTGTTCTATGTCGGTTCCATCCATTGAGGTGCCTCTCATTCTCATTAGTGGACGTCGCCTATAACGCTGCTGGTTGATGTTCACCTTGATTTGTGCCGATCACCTTCAGCGACAATCCGCTGCCCGAAGAGGCAGTCAGTTTCCTCCCTTAATGGAGCAGATGTAGCTATGACTTCTGCAGGCTGGAATAAAAGCAATGCATAGTTGCAGACCTTCATGAGGATGTCGCCTGGGAAAGCTTCCAAGAGTCTGTGACGACGTGCTACGTCCGCTTTCTGGTCTTCCCAGTTCCTTTAGCACAGCTGCCATCTCCAGGTTTGTCGCTTTCGGCATGGATCGACGATCTTCTCACCAGAATCATATAACCACTTGAATGTAATTAGGGTAAGTGACGGGACAAAAGGTCGTTGTCGGCGGCATGAGCGGGCCCAAGCCTCGAGAGAAGCGCCGTGTAGGTACTTTATGATGTACTCTTTTGGCATAGGCTATCAGTCACGATACTTGAAGATAAGTATCACCCATACAGAAATACAAATAACCACCTTAATGTAATTATGGTAAAAAGTGGGATGGTGGTTTGCCCACAGTTTTTAGACTGAATTGCTAAGCACACCAGGTCGTTGTTGTTTTGCGTCGAATCTGCAGTCCAGATCAAGCTGACTTACGAGCTCGTCCAGAGGCTGAGGAAACGCAGCCGTTGCTGGCCCAGGAAGCCTTTCGCTTGCCCAAGTCTTACCACCTGCGGATTGCCCAATTCGTTATCAGAAGCCGCCACGATGTGAAGGTTGCTTTGGATTTTGTTGCGCCGCCTAGACGTCAATCGTAACCCAAAAAAAAAAAAAAAAAACCCAACCACTGAGCCAAGTCACAACTAGTGATCAAAATAAAACAAACAAGGAAGTGATCGTGTTGGCCGATAACATCCCCATTTAAAAGCTGAGCCTCTGCAAAGGAAACCGTAAGGCGACCTTCTCTGGGCATGAAAACGAGATTTTGGCCGACGGATACTACGAGGAGATTGCTAGCATCCCAATGCCTCGAGAAACATGACCTGAAACGATCACTCATGCTGAGGACATCGACAAGCTCCTGTCTGCCATTTCACCAACAACAACCTCAATCCGGATACGTCACAGATCTTGCGTGAATGTGCTGACTGAGTATGGCCTGCGGTCTTCTACTGGCGGCTTAGCAGACTTCGGCGTCGTGGGGAATGACGCCGGACCCGGGATTGCAGACATGAACGTTGGACTCGCTCAGGCGATGGTGTTTGCGAGACGGACTGTATCCTCAACGAAAGGTTGTTCAATCGTGGGCATGGCTCCCCATTGAAGGGTCTTGCAGGTACGTTTGCGGTGTCTGTTCCTCCGTTGCGGGCTGCGAATGATCTACCCACAAGAGATGAGCAAGTTATTATCATGTAATGGCGGTTCATGGAGCTGCAATTGACCATCGGTAACAGGAATTTTAGGCTCATGTGACTATTATCACTAAATGAGGAACGCACGCTAGTAGATTTCTGCATTAGATCCTTTTCGCTCGCTAGACGCGTGCAGTAAATGTCCGGGAAAAAACCTCAGTTCTGCTTCGCATAAGACGCAACCGCACTAGAAGCCAAGGATCGATTCACAGCGTCCCAAAATACATTCTCATCCAGTACTGCGCCGAATCTAGGAGACATGTCAGCTGGAACAGTACTAGCCGGAATTAAAATGCGGGCTGGAGAAAGAAAAGCAATGTGGTTGATGCTATGATTGTGGCTGGAGGGCCAACGTACCCGCAGCACGTGACCGCTGTGCTGAGCTCTCGCTTCAAATTCTCAATCTGATCCCTTCCAAGCTTCCAAAAGTCTGGATGATCGTGTAGTCTATGCCACGCTTCCACCGGCGTGATCTCTCCTTCAAGATTGATGCTCGATGATAAATTCAGCAACTCTTTGATAATCGCGCCACTTGCCGTCCACGTCGAATTGAACTGCGGAGGCTCCGGCGATCGAGCCATCAGCGGTGTCGAGGCCATCATCATATGGTTGGCTGGATCGGCAGAAGGAGGGTCTTGATAGGGAATATGTGGCATGCATGGATGTTCCAGCGCGAGGACGAAATCGATGGCTGTTTCTATTGTGTCGACAACGATGGTGGCGTTGGCATTCGCTGGGGGGCCTTTTTTTGAACTTGATGACGAGAGATTTATCGTGTTGAGTGAGAAGTCTTGTGGCAGGCTTCAGCCAGACATATTCATACGATAAGGAATGGGCCACCAACCGTTGGGGAGGTCCGGCGCAGATTGAGGAACATTGGTGTACTGCTGATGCTCTTGGTAGGGTGAGGAAAGAGGGTAGGTTTGGGTTGGGTAGTCCAATCCTTGGCTAGTAGGTTCTTGACGTTGAGGGAAGTTGACATGCAGACGTGGATGGTTAAGAGCGTCATTGGAGTATGAGACTGTTGCCGGCATGTCGAGATCGGCAAATGGTCGAAGGGGTGGTGAGGATGTTCCGACGTCTTCTGTACCCTCTGGGAGTGGAATGTTGGATAAGATGATGGTGTTTTTCAAATTAACGATTTGGCTTTGGAGTTTGTCTCGTTCTTGCATCAAGCTCATTTCAGCTTCTCGAAGACGAACGACTTCGGATTCTAGAGTCTTGATGTAGTTCTGCGTCCGCTGACGATGGGTACTGCATTATATGTAAGTAATCATGAGTGTGATTGGCAGAGAATGTGATGTGGGGGAAAGGAAGAGATAAGCATGGTAATGTAATAGGAACCAGGTTGAAAACACATACCGTTGCGCATGCCGCACTTGCTCCCTCCTTTTACTTGGCGCGGCCGGACCAGATCCTGTGGCAGGAGCCGCCGTTCCTGCGGAGGAAAAAAATTCTGATGTTAGCCTAATCTTGGTACCATCTAATTGCGTTTCCAACACCGCCATCAATGAACTTGTGTGCCTGCGCCGATTATTGTGTCATGATGAGAAATATCGAAGCCATGACTTGCAGACTGCGTACCACCAGAATATGCAGGGAAAAGTGCAGTTGGAAAGGGCCACTGGATGCCCACGACTGAAAGGCTTTGCGTACGAGACGTACCAGCGGGTCTAGTAGTGGGTTGCAAAAAGGTCAAAGAATTGGTGCCCAAAGTGCGTCTTGCCCGCTTCCATAGAGATTCATTGCCCTCGCGCCTAGGTTTTCCTGGAGGAGGGGAGGCTGAGTTTGAAGCCGAAGCCTCTTCGGACGGAGAAGCTTGAGACATGTTGGGTGAGGGAGAAGCTTGATGGAGTATTTCTGAAAGAGAGTAACCGTGTAGAGCAACAAGATTATATCAATTACTAATTTTAGTTAAAGAAGGTAAAAATATAAGGCAGAGATTGGCTGAGTTGGGTGTTTCTCTTTCTAAAGGACAAGGTGTCATGTTGCTCTCGTATTGAAGAATGGCAGTTGTTTTTGTATCCAGACGCCCAAAGGCGCATTGAAAGGTTGAGGGATTCCATAATCATGATAATCATGCCTCGCTTGGGGTTCCTGACGGGGGCTGAAGGGCACTAAAGACCGTGAGACCCTAGCGTGGCATTTAAGGCTGCTGTACTCGGTCGAGACAATGTTCCGGGCCAGCCGCTGGCAATACAAGACAGTGTCGTTCCAGCATGCTCCGTAGCAGTGAGGCCAATGATATAAAGTAAAGGTCTCGACAACTGCCCAAAAATTATATTTACATCGTCGGCTGAGCCGACATTTAAAATCTCACGTCTCTTGCCGCACTTAGAGAGGCAATTTCTTCCCAAAAATCGAGGACTGTTTGTCAGCAAAAATCCTACGACTGAAAGATCGCTGGGATCAGCATAACACAGTGCTTGCAGACAGTGTGGCTCCGAGAGTGTCTATCGGAAGAATGCTAACCACCGACTCCGCTTCGGCCTATAGGAAATCCATGGCAGTACGTGAAAATATCTGAGATCGTCAAGTTGAATGTCCAATGCCGTGTGTAGGCCTCGATCCAAGTATCTCTGTATCCGAAGCGTATGTGTTCAGTACTTCGCGGAGACTCTAGGGCGAGTCTGTGTACTGCAGGCAGTAAACACAGCTTAACAGTGTTCGCACAATGTGTCAGGCTGCTGACGTCGTCCACCAGTAATGAAGGAGCTTAGGGTTGAAAGTCGTTTGCCCCAACGACATGGCCAGACTTGGGCACTGAAGGTTAGCGTACTCCAAAAAAAAGATGCTAAAACTTTAGAGCGCTTGGAATTGACTGAATTCAATGACTTGCGGGAACATGACAATGACCCATATTGATTGGAGCAGCACAGCCCTGCCCTATGAAGAATCTAGGACTTGACGGATTTTTTGCTTGTGGCTACTGCGACTTATTATTTGGCATATTAAAAATATGTCTGGCGTCTGCTCTCACTGCTTTCACTGAAAGGCATTTCATGGCTTTGCGTATGGTCAACACAGATTGGATCTGGCTGAATCTCTGCCGAGGGAAGGGTTTGCTTTGAGTGACGTGCCTCTGGAGGCTAAAACCAATGGCCGCAAGCCCCACGAGAATGCGAGTGTTAGACACGATCATTATCAACGCTAGCTGGGCTTTCCAAACCTCACCCAACAAATGACCAGACTAACAATCTACATCTATTTAATTCATCTACCTTCGCTGTTCCACGCCCTGAATCTGTTAGCGCAGCATGGCTACTTGTCCCAAAACTCTACGGCTACTCGCTCTGGTGGAGGAGATCAGATCTTCAATCGAGAGTAATGATGCCAGCAATGCGGCTGCACGATCTGGTCTATTGATGAAAATTACGAATTTAAGAGACGCAGTCGAGGCTCCGCAAGACTCTCTTCTACGAATATATGCCCAGGTAAGCCATCGTCTCAAGCTTGGTCGGTTCTCAATAGCAAAACCCTGACGACATCAATATCAGCCGTTGCAGAATGCCGCACTAAGGGTAGCTGTTGAACTGGGCTTGCCCAAAATCATTTCTACAGCAAATTCGCCGATCCCTGAGATAGGGATCAGTCTCGCGCAACTAGCTGGGAGGTCTCACGGTGATCCAAGGTTGATTGGTGTGCATCCGCTTACTGTGCGCATCGAGCCGCTCTAATTGCGTAAAATAAACAGCACGCCTTATGAGAGTACTAACAGCCATGGGCATCTGCGTCGAGGTTGGGCCAGAACGCTATATGTCCAACCCCTTGAATGAGGTTATATTGCAACCGGGGTACACGGCTGGTGTCAGGTTCCAGTGAGCCTTCCCCCTGAAATCGTCTGACAGCACTGTTGATAGTCCACGCTAGTTTTGATATCGAGATTCCTGCCATTATAAAATTGATTCCATGCTTGGACAAGAATGCATTCCAAAACCCAGTTGATGCGTCGCAATCTGCTTTCGATTACGCGTTCGGTGCTTCCTTCTTCGAATGGATGAAAGAAAATCCAGCTACACTCCGCTGTTTTGAATTGTATATGGCTGGACGCCGAGTCGGAAAAGCGAGCTGGCTCGACTACTATCCCGTAGAGGAACGTCTTGTGGAGGGTACGAGCGTAGAGAATGTGATCTTCATGGTCGACATCGGAGGCGGTCAGGGTCATGATCTTAAGAGCTTAAGTGATAGATACGGCGACAAAGGTCTACCAGGACGGTTGATACTACAAGATTTGGTGGCAGGCACCCGAGAAATTAGCGCTACGAGCTTTGAATCCATGGTTCACAACTTCTTCGAACCGCAGCCAGTCAAAGGTGCGTCTCCCCATACCGCGAGGGATCGACTCCATACCTGGGAACGAGCCCAATACGAGACATCGACGCTGATGTTCTTTCCCTTTTTCTAATTGCTGACTGCCAACATCGATCAAGGTGCCCGGGTCTATCACCTCCGAGCGATTCTCCACGACTGGCCCACTGCCATATGCCGCACCATTCTCTCCCACATCGCTGACGCCATGACCCCAAATTACTCGAAACTCATCATCCGTGAGTTCATCCTTCCCGATACCAATGTGCCACTCTACACCGCCTGTACAGATGTCCGAATGATGCTCTTACATGCCGGACTGGAACGGACAAAAAGCCAATGGATAAAGCTTTTAAGCGAGGTTGGGCTAGAGCTAGGAGGGGTTTGGACTGCGGAAAGAGGTGGGGAGGGTGTCATTGAGGCATTCAAGAGCGCCGAAGCCCAGGAATAGGTTCGCAGAAGTGCGAAGACCTAGAAAGGTTGGTCGGCTTCCTACGGCAAGCCACGTTTACGGCATGCCACGCGGTGAATGCATGGGAGCTGTTGTGTGATGCCAGATTAGATGAGGTGAGATGGGATGCTAGTCTAGGGTAGAATCCAAGGATAGAGATGCAACTGCACCATGAGTACCAAGACACACATTTCGGAAATGGACCCTTCCCTTTCCCCAACTATGTAGCTTCAGCTCGTTGAAACAGGTACCGCGTTGCTGATTACTGAACAGATCTGCGGTGTGAGATGTGTGGGCAAGCGGTCATACGCTTGCAAGCCTACAACTTATATAAGTTACTGCTTAGTGATGGACTACTAGTGATCACCTTTTGGTCTAGTTGTGAAAATTTGGCTGTGTGCTTCTATCAAAGTGAGAGTTCCAGCTAGTGTGAACTACCGAAAGCGATCCCTGTATTATTGTAAGGCTGAGGTACCTCGGCAAATCAGCGCGCTCGCGACTCCAACTTCTGCGCTCAACATTGATGACGATAGCAGCAACGCAACACTTTGAAGCATTGAACTCAACCTTCAGCAGCATGACAACCGACCAGTCTAAGAGTGTCCCTATCCCTGACGGCGCTCCTCCGAAACCCTCCTCCTCCCCCTCCACGTCGACGACCTCCCTCACCGCTCGCCTCCGCATCCCCACCACCTACACCACCATCCCATCACAATGGCTCTCCACCTACCAATCCTTCGTCCAGCACAACTCTTCCCAAGTCTCCTCTCTCGAATCCGCCCTCCGCTCCCTCGCCTACCTCCTCCCCGGCACCCGCTTCGCCGACACGCCCCTCAGATCCGAATCGCTGCAAACTTTCCTCTCATTACTCACAGCATACAACACGCACCTCCTCGCCTCGCCGCCCTTCTCCCCGCAACGCCGGTACGAAAGGTTCTGGGAGGCCAAGAGTAGGATCTACGCGCGGTGCACGGCGCTGTTGAGGACGGTACAGTATACGCAACTGCTACTCGAGATGCTGGCCAAGCGCGCGGGGGAGAAAGCCCGGTGGCGGGTCATAGTGGTGCTGGAGGTCGTAAAGGCCGTGTGTCGGCTGTGCATGGGGCGCGTTTCCGGCTCCCGCCCCGTCATCGCTACGGGCGTCGGGGACGAACGGACGGAGCGCAGGGTCGATACTCAGCCCACAGACGACGACGCATACGCAGAAGGTGCCCAGCCAGACGGAGCGGAAGGAGGCGAATGGAAAATGCCTCGCACTGGTATGCGGCTGCCCCAACTCCCCTCCTCCTCGCCCTCGTTCACTGGAAGTGTCGGAGCAGGAGGAGGAGGAGAAAGCATAATTGATTTCCTCACCTCCCGCGTCATAACGGCCGACGAGATCAAATCCGCCCACCGCCTCGTGCGCAAACTCCACTCCCTTCCCGGCCACCTCGCCGAACTGCTCTACATCCTGCGCCCCGTGGTCTACGCCCTAGCCCTCCAGCGCTGCCAGGCGAACAGGAAGGACTGGCGCCCCTGGCTATTAGGGCTAAGCATGGAGATGGCGGCGCGGCAGCTGAGTAAGGCCGACGTGAAGGATAGCGTCGTGGGCGGGATCAGGGGATTATCGGGGGTCGAGAGGGAGGAATTGAAGAGGAGGGGTTGGGGGATGGCGTGGTGGGGGATGCGGGGGGCTTTTTATGAGAACGTGACGAGTGGGGTCGTGAAAGGGGTGGCGGGGGGGTTGAAGGGGAAGGCGGTGTTGGATATGCTCGGGGTGGTGATTGAGGATTATGATTATCTGTGGGGGGAGTATTATTTCCCTACTGCTACTTTGTAGGGAGGGGAAGGTTTGGAAGAGTATTTTTGGTGGATGGTGTGGAGGCAGGGAACTATTGTATGAGTACGGCGGTATTTAAACCCCATGGAGCAGAGCGAAGCAATCTAGCGTAATTTTCAATGTCAAAAGTGAAATCTTGGTTGGCTTTACTTCGTATGCTACTGAGGACGGCAATCCAATGCAAAACGGAATTTGGACGAAGCAGTACAGTAAGCAGGAGCTTCATGACTCTTCGAAGGTCGAGCAAGTGACTAATCATCTCATCGAGCAGGCATCTCATAATGATCCTAATACACAAATACAGTATGCTGCACACATATGCGGCACACGATGCCTCCCGAAGATGTACGCTCAAACCAAATTATCGCTTTGCTGGGTGGGAAGAGCGTCATCTTCATCATGCAACCAAGTGCCCGGAACGCCGGTAAGTACCCTAAACCCTCCCCATTGGTATCAACATCTGGCAGCACAGCCCTTATCTGTTGATGCGACGCCATCCCAAACCTAGCTCATAGCGCTCTCATCCAAAGTGTTGGCGAGAACCTCACAGCCCTGTGCAAAAAAGATGCGAGCAGGTTTTGTGGGGGAGCGGTTGGTGATCGAATAGAAGTTTCCTATCCAGGCATCCAGTCAGCATCCACAGTAGACTCTAGAATTGAACGCAAGAGCAGCAACGAGATCCCTTGCCATAGAAGACAAGATCTTAGCTAATGCAAGTTGACAGATCCGCACTAACGCCTGAAGTTCGTCCACAACGTTTGGTGTGGGTGCGTACAAATCGTGGATAGAGTTGCTCCTTCTGCCTCCGCGCTAGTTTTGCTTTCGAATGGAACATGCAAGCAGTAATGAAAAGCGAAAGAGAGCGAAATAGCTTACCTCTAGGGACTTGCCACTGTCCTCCCTTGCCAATGCTGAACGTCTTCAACGGCGTACCCATACTAACTTCAACCCGGCCGTAAAAAACGAAAAAAACCATCTGCATCTTTCTAGAGTTCTTGACGCGTTTGGCTCCTCCAGGTGGCAGGTCGACCATTCCGGAGCCGAAGAAATCCAGAGTAAGGGTTTTTGCGAATTTGAAATCGGCACCGCTGATGTCGCGCATCTCGATAGCTTCGAATGAGTATGCGACCTCTAATTCGGAGTTAGTATGAGCTGGTGAGGAAGGACAGTGCTTTCCACAGAGAAATCGGACCTTGCTCCCAGGTATTCTCCTCATTGAATTTGCCTGTACTTGGATCCCAATCCATCACGTTTGCATGCATAATACCTGTGTCTCGTTCCCAATCATCCTTTTCTTCATCCTCTTCTTCAACCTCTTCGAGATGGGATTTCGCTCGTGATTGGTTCTTTTTGTATCGATATTTTTGCTTTGGCCGTTCTTCGACCACCTCGTCCACTCGGACAATCTCTTTGATCCCAGGTAAGGAATCAGTGGTTCTATCACCGAATACGAACCGCTCCCCACGCCAGCTTGCCAAAGGCTTGATAGAGTGTCTTCCACTCCTAGTGAGAAGAGCGCCGTTGTCGTTCGCTGGGGTTTCGCTACGTGGGTTGAATCTTGACCTGGACGCTGACCTAGCACGCACAGATGATGGCTTGTCGCTCGCTTTCTTGGTTGCCTTCATCTGCACGTTGGGGTCGCGCTCGGTCGGCTTCTTTCCTTTCCCTTTGCTGGTTTGGGCAGGGGCAGGAAGAGGGGCAGCAGGTTGTTCTACTTCTTCGTCTCGGAATATGTCAGTCCTCGCCTTCTTTGGTCTTCCACGGCGAGGTGTCGCAGGCGCTGGCATTAAAAGAGACATCTGAGACCCATTTGGGTCGACCATCATGGCTTTGGGTGCACGCCCTGGCTTCCTTTTCGGTTCCTTGGCTTCCTTGGCTCCTGCAGTGGCTTCTGGTTCTGCCATTTGGCTCTCTTCGGGCTCGGAGCCTTGCGGTTGTTGCTCGGTGTAGTCTTCCCTTGGCATTCCCGGTTCTAGTGTGGACTCTCCGGTAGCGTGATCATCCCCATTCGGCAGAATAGCATCGTCTTCATCGTATATTATGCCGTTGGTAGTGCTTTCGCCATTCAATGCATCCGAGTCTCCATCATCGAAGTCATCCCCCATACTTAGATCAAAGGGCCGTTTGTTCTTGCTCTTGCCAGTAGCAGAGGCTAAGTTGGGCTGTTTTAGCTTAGGCACTGAAGCCTTAGCCGGCGACCTCTCTATACTCATTCGCGGCTTATCCATCGAAAAATCCAACTGCCTGTTGACCCTGTTCGGAGGCGGATGTGACGTTGCTCTGGTAGGAGTTCCATTATTTAGGTTTCGTGAGGGTGAAGACATTGGTCCCACAGATCGAGGCATGGATCTTCTAGGTGATGAGTTGAGATGAGTTTTGATGGGGGAAGTCGCACGTGGCGGGAGGCTGATCCTGCCGTTTCGAGTGCTCCTGACCAGTTCGGAAGGCTCCGGTATCGTACCTGTGAAAATAGGATGTTAATAATTGAGTATATTGACCCACATCTCATCGTGTATACGGCTTACTTTCAACAATGTCCATACTATCATCTGCAGAATCGGTAACGTCGTGGGATATGCCATTTGGATGGAACACCGACTTGGCTGGTGAGGAGAAAGAAGGTATGGGCTCCATGCCGTTCTCATCTCTAACACCGGTATCCTTGAGCTCGACACCAGTTCGCCTAGACGTTGATTGTGAGCTAGCGGTGAGAAAAATGTTTGCAAGCTTTTGCTATTGCCCACCTTCCCCTACGGCCAAGCGCTGTGTAGTCTCCAGGTCCCCTCTCTTTTCGCGGTGTTTTTCTTGGAGCCATGGCTTGGTGATGCTGTGAGGTTTGCGCAGTCTCCAATGCCAACTTAATGCAGATGAATGTCCTTCCCCACGCAGATTAGTGTTACACGGCACAAAGCTTTATATGGAAAAGTTCGGGGGTGAAGGAATGCGCGTCGAGTCCGTGATGCGGACTGGGAAGGTGTGAAGAAGAGTGCCAAGCAAAACAAGGCCTAACACGCTAAGCGCAGGAAAGGTAAATCTTCGGCAGTGGTGTCTTACTACGCGCTTTTCATCAACACGTCCCCCAGTGATTAATGGAGGAGTATACTCGAGGCGCCTTCCATTCGATCTTCTCGAAAGCTTCAATTCATTATTCACAATCATTTCATCCAACATGGAAGAAATTGAGTCTCAAGACTTGGCTTCACAGGACATTCCTCAAGAAACCCCTGCTAAAGACGTATTCATTGCGCCCTCCATTCACGGACAAGCCATTCTCGCTGGAGCATCTTACACACATCATTCCCCGATCCCCGAAGTTGTATCTCGGAATCTCTCAACAGAGTGTATCCTGGGTGTCGATGAGGCGGGCAGAGGCCCAGTACTCGGTAATTCATCTCAATGTTTCGTCAATATGGCAACACTCATCACGATCAAAAGGTCCTATGGTCTACGGTCTATTCTACCTTCCACTTATACAACACCGATCACTTCTCGCCCAGACACATCACTTTGATGACTCCAAAGTCCTCACTCCAACTTTTCGCTCCTCACTTATGAAAGCTCTTTGCACTCCTGGCACCGATCTTTATCAAAATTGTGGGTGGGCAACAAGGGTCATGTCAGCCCGCGACATAGGCTCTGGTATGCTCAAGCCCGCGGGAACCTACAATCTGAATGCTCAGGCAATGGACGCAACCATCGACCTCATAAAAGATGTTTTTGCAAAGGGAATCAATGTTCGAGAGATCTACATCGATACGATTGGAAATCCTGCGATGTACCAGAAGAAGCTGGAACGCATCTTTCCAACAACAATGATCACCGTCGCTAAGAAAGCTGATTCACTTTACCCTTGCGTTTCAGCTGCTTCCGTATGCGCCAAAGTCACCAGAGATGCTGCGCTCGAAGTCTGCTATCAGACTTACGCATCTGCCGCTGATGCACCAGAAGAACCGCAAGCAGCTGCAGAAGGCTGGGGATCCGGGTACCCGTCAGATGCAAGATGCACAACATGGCTAAAAGGGCATATGAATCCCGTGTTTGGTTGGGGCAGTGAGTGCCGATTCAGCTGGAGTACGGCCAAAGATCTGCTCGAAGCCAAGGGTACCGGTACCAAAGTCGATTGGCCGGTGGAAGATGACGAGCAAGGCATGCGGGTGACTGACTTCTTCTCGACTACAGCAGACGATGGAATAGATAAAGAATCTAATGAGCTCGCGAGTTGGTTTGGCAGGCCTGTTGCCGAAGAGGTCTTTTGAGAAAATCAAACAATCATATCTTATACACCATCATTTCATCTTCTACGCCTCTGGGTTCTTTACGCAGCTGAACCTGCATTGTACATAAACATATAACCGTGGATCCTCAAGATCGCGTTACCGAAAGCGCTGCCGGCATCAATTAGGGCTATAAACTCGCAGCTGAAGCAGCGAACCTCTGATGGGCGAGTAAAGACCTCAGGCAATTCGATATGTCAGAGAAGGCCTCCAGTCTTCCGGTCGACATGTGGAATATGCCCCACGACGACTCCCTATTCTCGGTCATGGCTGCCGAACTCAGCGTTTTCTCTCAAGTCGAACTCGAGGCAGTACGCCTCTGGTGGGCGAGGAGTGAGAAGAGCAGCGAAACAGCCAACGACTGTCAGACCAGTTAAAAGAAGTAACGAAGAGAGTGTACTGGGTGTTGGCAGAGACTTTTGCGATGCTCACTTCGAATCCGAGGTTATGCACGATCAAAGCAAAGTACGTGAGTATGCTACTTGCAGATGAGAGTATGAGCTTAGTTCAATCACGATACCAGCATCACCAGCCGTACTCTGGCTTCGAACCTCAAGGCAAGCTTTCAGTCCGCCCCAGCTTCTACAACAGCAATCACAACCTGGCTTTCAGCCGCGGAAGAGAGGCCGAGACCAGCCATTACAGCTGAAATAAAAGTCGACATTGATTGGTACGCCTTCAACAGCAACAACTCCGTCTATCGCACGGCCAGTCGCCTCTACTACAGTCTCGATTTGCCAGTCAACCCTGGTCTCAAATACCTCTTCGGCATCGCAGGACGTCGTGGCATTGACAAGCAGCTTGTCGTCGCTTCCGCAGCTCAGCTCCAGAAGACGCATTATTGGAACTCGCCCGACTTCCAACTTCCGGGGAAGTGCTTTGATGAAGGATCCTACGGCAGATTCATCAGAAACGTCCGCTTTCCCTGCTCGCACTTGCCCATTTCTTCGAATGCTACCGTGATGGACTCGCTAGCTATGTATTCGACCCCAGCCGTGCGAACTCTGTTTGGAGACCCGGCGCGAAAAGTGAATCCTCCCTTCTAACCAGAATATAAATATAGATACCGGCATCTGCAATTCCAGCAGTGGTCGACTTTGACTGCACGTCCGGGGTCGAGTTGCGACAGTGGTGTAAAGACAGCCGCCTCCCAAGCTTGCATCTTCAAGCCGTTCTCAACCAACAAGCCAAAAGTAAGCGGTAAAAGCTCGAAGACGCCACCGCAACGGACATAGGTATCACTCCATCTTTGGGAAGAAAGAGAGATGCTGAGGATGACCTGAACGAGAGCGCTGCCAATAAGAAGAGATCAAATGGCCTCCCGCTGTCGTACTCTATGCTGGCACATAGTTCAATCCCGGAAAAACTGTGCCAAACACACCTGTAACGGTCAGACCAGCCCCAAGTCGAGTTTCTTCTATCTTCGTATCGAGCTACGAAGGTGGGCCGTAGACAAAATGATGACAATCTTGAAAGGGGAGGAGAAGGAGAAGCTGCTGGCAGAGGCCAAAGCGTTGCTCCAGTCTTCGCCTATATTGTGGGAAGGACGTTTCATCGCGTTGAGAAGATTTCAGCCATTGAACTTCCGCGCGGCCGAGAAGGACGGCTTTCTTGAAGCGGGTCCCGGAGCAATATAGCGATATCAGCTTCACTTTCACATTCCATCTCAGGTACTATGGTTGGAAAGTTGCCGAAGCTCGAAATTTAACCATGCGGGAGGTTTCTTAGACAAGCTGGCTATCGGCAGGTCTTCGCGTATAGCCTCAGCGATACGGTATCTTTAGTGGAATCGGATGATCCAGACACGACTGCGAGGGTGCGATGCCCACTCCACCGTCGTGTGGACTCGACAACTCAAAGAAACCCTGAGATTGCGTCTACCTCCTCAGATCCCGAGCGGCAATGTGAGCCAATCCGGCACCCAATATCGTGACCCTTTGGTGACAACCTTAATCTTGCTTGTAGAAATTCACCGCTCACATCCTTGCTCTACTCTTGGCCATGTGAACGCTGACGACTGTCTTGGTCTGAAGCAGCAACGAGAGGAAACGGGAGGGGACGAGGACTATCCCGACGTGGTATTATGCTCTCATTGAGCATGAGAACATCATTGAGTTGTGGCAAATGATTGTAAATTAAGGAGAGAGTTGGTGGTGAGCTTCAGCACGGGAACATCATTCGAAAATGGTCAAGCAGTACGGAGACCCAAGACGTTGCGTCGGAGTTGAGCCTACAGCTCCTTGGAAGAATAGGAAGCCTTTGCGGATGCCGTATTGAGAATCATCTCATAGAATAGAACATTAGACAAGGTTAATGCTAGAGGCACGACTTTCAGACTTCCATCATCTCTATCATAACATACGTGAACTTAACATACGGCATAATGTACAACTTTCCCCCTTCCCCTCCCCTCAAACCTCCCTCGTCATATCTCCTCCATGTCACTCCCCTCAGCCTCCAGCCCCAACTCCGGGAAATCTCCCACCTCCACCCTCTCCGCTCTGACGAAGACACCCCTGTTCTTCCCGCACTGGAAATACCGCTCGCCGGAGGGGACGCTGCCATCGTTCTTGCCGACAGGCTCGTCGAGCGTGATGCCGACCCAGGGCGCGCCGGGGGGCCCTGGCAGGGTGGGGACGGGGCCGACGAAGGAGACGGTGCCCCGCTTGGTGGACGAGTCGGAGAGGCGGCAGCGCGAGGTGGGCGTGATATCTGCGTCATGCTCAGGACGGAGAAGTTTGGATCGGTGCTGGTGAAGGAGCCACGAAGAAAGAAATCAGGTTGGAGATCACGATGGGAACTCACCCCTCTCTTCGACCTCGTTCCACATCTCGCGGACCTTCCGTTCTTGGATCTCCGGCGCGGCCGGGTCGAAGCGGCCGATTTGGTGGTCCTTCTTGTAGGCGCGGACCGTGTCGGGGAGGGCCTCGTACTTGGATTCGGGCATCTCATATTTGGGCACTGAGGAGAGCGGGGGTAGTGCGGAGATGGGGTTCGGGTTGAGAGATATGACCTTGAGAGTGGACTGTTAGATGAGGTCCTGTGGTAGGAGAAGCTGATCGAAAGAGACAATTGTTGAAATTCAGAAGGCCAATCGCGAGGGCCGCCCCGTCGAGGCGAAACAGCCTCACGGCTCGATTGCTGGATATCATAATACGCATGGCGGATGCAACAGGTACCACAGTGAAGGGAGGGAATTGAAGCTGAACAGAGTCCGGGAGTCCGGCAGAATGATACATGCAGGGACGTGCATTTATGACAGCTCAATCTGCATTTCTTTCGTGCCAAAAGTAATTGGCTTTGCGTCGAGTAACGAATGACCGCAGTGATGAAGAAAGGATGCCGCTTGTACCTTTATCTCGGCATAAGGGACCAAGGGCCACCTGCCGACCTCAACACCGTCCTCATCCTCAGCTTCAATCGGAATCTCTCGCTGCTGGTCCGGCAGCCGCAGGGTAAGCTTTTGGGACGAGGGTGCAATGCCGGTTACAGGCTCTAGCTTGGTTTTGAGATGTGCAATTGTCCAAGACGGGGTGATGCGGCGCTCTGAAGAAGAGGCGCTGGATGTGATGAGGACGGGTATATCGCGTGCGGTGGCCATGGATTGAGGCATTGCGGGTCCTAGTCCGGTGGAATTGACGGAGGTAAGGTAGCTTGTTCGTACGTTAGGGCGAGCCTGACGGTTTGTTTGGACTGGTCTGGTGTTTTTCCGGTTAGATGAGGACCGACGATTTAATGCTGTCAAAGAGAGAATACCGTAGCAGGCGTAGCAAACATCCAAACGTTCACAGGGTCACAGTCTAATCATCTCGCAAGATCTGCATGCCAGATGCATATTGCATTAGCCTTTTGAACCAGTTGCATCAGGTGCATGCATTAGTGACAGTTCCTGACCGCTCCTTCGCGCGCTTTTCTTTGAAGTCTGAACCGGGATTCAATCCCACCGACTTTTCTTCTGCTGCAGAATATGCACATGCCTTTTGAGAATGAGTAACATTTTGAAGCTGGAAACTCACCTCCTTTTCCCATATATCTGACTTGGATATCCTGGTGATAACAGCTGTATCACAATTGATCCATCCCCATCTTCGGCTTCTTGCACTGCGCGCGTCGTGGATGAAATGTGCCAACCTGGACCGCCAAGAGCGGTACGGGCCAGCACATCGGACCAACCTTTCCTGCAAACAATCGCAAAGTCTGTCTTGCGACTGCTTGCCACTACTCCTACACACTACCTGACGAACCCTGTACTAACATCCATAGCCTATTGTCTCACCGCCTGAAGTCGGCCCAACATAGGGCTTGCACGCCCTGCAGAGGCAAAAGATGAGCTGAATGGCCTTGGGCAGCACTCCAACGTTTGTTGTTGTTTCGAAGGCGACATGTCAGTTGCATCGCTGCCAGTGGAGATTGCAGTGCTACGGGGTATCATATTCTCGAATTGCCTCACTTCAAGCGAGCTTGACCGAGCTTCTCCTAATCGGTCATGATGCTTGCCCTCACCGCCAATCGGCAAGATGGGAGGCAAACCCTGCAGAAACACATCAGAGTCGCGACGACCCTCTACTAGACAGAACTAGACGGTTCATTCGGGCTCCAAAGGTTTCGGACGGCGTCATTTTAAAGAATTCTAAGCCTCACTCTAACGCTGCAGATCACCGTTCGTTCTTCCCTTCGTCTGACTGGTGACATTCTTGGCTGGGCCTAAGAATGCTAAGAATGCTAAGAATGACATCTGCATGTCTTGACCGCAATTCGATTCGCTGCCCCTGTTTCATGCCTCCTCCGACCAATCACTCTCCGCTGACAGATCATTCGCCGCCTTCCTCCTTTCTCTCCTATCATCCCCCGCGCCAAAAATCCACTTGCTATTTTCTCTTCCAAACATAGGTCAGAGCCTTCGTTCTGTCGCTTTCCCTCTCATAGCGTCGAACTTTCTACAGCCCAGCTGCACTAAAGTCCGGCTGCTACCTTACTTTTCCCTTTGGGCGTTATGCGAACAGGAGGCTATGCAGCTACGATAGCCGGATGAATATCCCCGAGAGAGAGGGAGAGGGAGAGAGAGAAGGGGGGGGGGAGGGGGATAGATCTCGTAACGTGGGGCCTGGCTACCTGCTTGACGCATCCCTGCTCTCGTTTAAGTACATCGCGCACATTGCTCTTGATGCTTCTTCGGATCTCTGCATTCACTCAGATTTGAAGGCGATGAGCGATGTTTCATTGACGTCCGCCCAATGCTAGACGCGGGTCCGCCATAACCAACCCTATTGGCTCTTCCCACTCGCGTCTAAGTCCATCGTTGGGCTAGAAATGGCAAGCCGATTGCACAAATCGGACACGTTGAATGATCTGGGAATTGGTAACACTTGATGGTTAAAATGATACATCCCCCCTTGGTCGATCATCTCCGACTCTAATCTCATCGGAGGGACCATAATACTACATCGATCATTTCAAGTTTTTCCAGGCTTCACACCCTCTGCTCGATTTATAAATCCACCACAGCCTCACCATCTTGCGTCATCTTCATCCTGCAACAAGCTTCTGAGCCCATCGTCCAGATGTGCGATTGCCAAAACCCTCTCCTCAGTCCGGTCGCCAAGCTGGATATCAGAGATCTCATCGAGGAGAGTCCCTCTCCCCGACCCAGGACGACACAACCCTCTGCCTTCTCACGATCGAGCAGCTTTACCTCCCCTCATACCCAATATTCGCATACGCCGTCTTCGTCAGCTTCCTGCTCTCTGTCTCATTACTCAGCCGGTACGGCTCCACCAAATCCCTTCGGTCGACAGCCAGCCCACGGCTCTCAGCAGCTCCCGCCACAGCCGCCACCGCCGCTTTCCAACACAGCTCAAGCAGTGTTCCAGCAGAATCCAGGCCTGAATCCAGCTGCAGCATCTGCCAAGCGTCCCCCACCGAGCGGCAGCCACTCTTCAGACTCCTCCAGAAAGAACAGAGGCAAATGGACGCCAGCCGAAGATGCAAAAATCATCGTACTCCGTGGCCGTGGCATGAAATGGGACGACATCAGCGTTGAGATACCAGGCCGCAGCGGCATCAGCTGCAGACTGCACTACCAGAACTACCTCGAAAAGCGAGCCGACTGGGACGAGGAGCAACGCAACAAGCTGGCGAGAGTCTACGATCGGTATGATCCTTCTCTCTTCTCCAAACTCTACCAACGGCAAGACCAAACTCGCCGTACCCGCAACCGTGCAAACCAAGCAGCTAATCTTCCTCGCAGACTCAAGTCCGATCTCTGGAACCCCATCGCAACCGAACTCGGCGTGCCCTGGCGCGCATGTGAAGCCATGCATTGGGCCCTCGGCGAAGCCGACATGTGTCGCCGTGCCCACGTACTCCCTTTCCCCATGGCCACCAGCCGCCCCGAGCCGGCTTCCGCTCCGGCGCCCAGCGCCGGCAGAGTCGCCCAGCGCGACCGCATGCGTGGCTCCACCCGCGTCTTCGAAGGCCGCGACATCACCACCATCACCTCTCCCGCCTTCCACAGCGTCAACGGCAACGGCAACGCCCAAGGCGGCCACGGCCCCCCCTTCGCCGGCATCCCGCCCCCCATGAGCCTCCCCGCCATCGGCACCGGACACGGCTTCCCCGGCTACGAGGAGGAGGAAGAGCAAGACGACGACAACAACGACGATGACGACGAGCGCCGGCAGGAGGGTCCCCGCGTGCGCCGGCGCAGACTGGGCAGCGCGACCCGGTTGCCCGGCGTCGCGGAGCTCGACCGCACCATCGCCGCCGACCTCGCCGCTTCCTCCGAGGCGGGCAGGCGCGTCAAGCTGGAGGAGCCCGGCCGCCGCGTCAAGCACGAGCATGACCGGAGGGGGTCCGGCGGATCCGGCGGGTCGGGCGCCAGCCGTCGCAGTCGTTGATGGTTGGCCGGGTTTGGCTGGGGGATTGACGCGTCTACGGGGGCGGAGATGGATATTCTACGGAGGCATTGGCGTGGGTGGGGAATCGACACTTTTACAAAACGGGGCGGTACACAAAAAAGGAAACACACACGAAGCGTGCATTTCGGAATAATTTTTCTGTTTTGTTTTGTTTTGGTTTTGGGGAGTTTTCGCAGAGGCAACGGCATGGCATGCATTGGCATTTGTATACTAGATACCTCCCCCCCCCCCCCTTTTGGTAACACACCATACACTCTACAATAGATGGGACAATCACTTCGCACACACGGGGCCCGTTTCTTCTGCAGATAGATGTCTTTGTGACCTCCCTCTCCTTGTCCCATACGTTGATCCTCCCCATCCGCAGCATCTCCACTTTATTTTGCCAGCGACCCACACAACCCTGAGAGTGCCCTGCCTGAGCAGAAAAAAAAAAAAAAAAAAAGGGCCGCTAGGACGAATCGAGCGCTTCTAAAATTGAAGTGGAGGCGGTGTCTCATTTCTGTCCTTCACGGCAAGGGATCATTAAGATCATGTAAGATTCGAAACTTGGACCACGAGCACGGCTGGTTGTCGAAATTTTTTCACAAGGCGGCGCCACCTCGTGTACGGCAAGGGATGACGTGCATGAGAAATGGGTCGCCTGGTGCGCTGGAGCTAATGCACAGTGTGGCTTGTCGTTTCAAATTTGTCGGCATTTGGGAACTCGGGTGGTGATTATGGGGGATGCGGCTCTGGGTACGATGGGCGCCAAGAACCGCGGGTGATTGATTGGGTGAACGGCTCCGAGCTTTGGCAATCGGGATTGACGTTGATGTTGGGCGTATTTGTCAGATGCCACCCCGTTGCCCGTCAATTTGATGGGCAAGGGGCAAAGGACTTCTTGGGAAATGCAAGACATTTGAAAGCCGTTGTTTATGATCCATTTTGAAAACGGGCGGCGATGATCATGCGTGGTGTGCAATCTTGACCTCAGGGTTGTGTGCAAGGCGAGCCGTCATTGGTCGTCTTAGCGCCATCCGGTTCTCTCAGCAAGGCTGAGATCTCGGAAGTGTTCGCCTGGGTGTAGCTAATGCATGTCATCCCGTTGTTTCGGAAATGGTTGGCAGGTGATCGTGAGAGCGACAGGACGTGGACCTCTTCGGCCGTTGAGCGCGGATGGTCACTAGGTGCGTGGAAGCCTCTGGGATTGGCTCGAGTCCAGGCAGCACTCGTCAAGCATGAAGCCGCCCAGTGCTCGAAGTCAAAGGTGTGCATGCTGCAGCGGCAACCCCCGGCCGACACGAGGGATTCCGGGGGTATTCGCAGGAACTATTCTTGGATGCACAACAACCCATTGTCTCAAAGTCTTCGAGAAAGCGGCCCTGGGGTTGCGGGTCGGAGATGAGTGGTGGGGAAGGGAAATGAGCTGCGGACGGCCGCAAGACGTTGGAGCTCGGGATCACGCTAAGGCTACCTGTCACCATTCAAACGCAGCGCCACCTTGTTGCTACCACTTCGGCTGGATAGCGTGCTGGAAACCGCACCCCGTTTATCCCTGCAGTTCGGAAAGACTATACACCCGAATGGTAGGGATCTGTAGATCAATTCAAAGAACCAGGGCCAACCTCAGGAACCCTGATTTGCAGACCGAAAACATCATCCGTGGAGCACAATGTTCCGAGGCACGAGCGAAGGATGCTGCCTTATCTGGATCTGCAGTCGAAGGACAATGACGTGCATGGTACGTGATACATGATACATTGACTCCCCACAATATGCCTTATCTGGAGTTTGCAGAGGCTAACGCAAGACACTCTTTACATCCGATTTCCAAACTGAGGGACTGGATGTGGTTGGACGGGCTAAAGGTGATCAGCTGACTTGTATCGGATGTCGTGGTCCAATGGGATCAGGCGCATAGAGCAGCAGGCAAGAGTGGAGCAAGAACTCGGTTTTGTTTGCATGAACCAATGCACCACAGAAGTATTTGGAATAATGTTAGAGTATTGTCTGCACCATGCAGGGCCCCACGAATCTCGCAGAAGAGGCGAATTGAGGGGAAATCGTTATTGAACCAACAACCGGGTTGGTTCGCCTGAGGCGCAGACCATGCTGTCAAGCGAATGCAGAAGAATTCCTGCCCTGCAGGAATGAGTCGCTCAGTCGCATGAACAGTCCTTTAACCTCGAAACCCCCTCCCATCTCCGACAATGGAGGAGTGGAATTGCGGCCGATGCCGTATGCGAGATGACGACGTGCTGTAGAAAAGATGAGCCCGGGACCTTGGTACCTTGGTCGCCTGGTTCTGTATTAGCACATTCGCCCGGGATATTCGTAGGCAGACAAGCCATGCTCCAGACGTGGTTGAAGGAGGTCTTGCCACGGCAGTGGGGCGTCAAGCTCCTCAGTGTTAACTGGTTGTCATTCCCAACTCCCACACGCATGGACTCGAATGCTGTGTGAGAGTGTCTCCAATCAGCGAAAGCGTAATTTACTATCGACTGCCCATCGATTATGCATGGAAGCGGGCCGGCCGTCGAGCATTCTGCAATCGTATGCAGGTGAGTTCTGCTTCTTTGCCATTTGCCAGGCATTGTGGTGGTATACGAAGCAGGAATTTCCATTGTGGCATGCTGCATGCGGCTGCTTCTATCCTCTGATGAACGACATGCTGTTTTGAATTTGGAGGGATTTAGGCCTTACTCAAGATGAGCGTGATTGGCCGTTGGGAAATTGAAAGACCCCTTTTGGAGTCCTGCTATGCCGGAACTGATCGGATCTGCTTTTGGAATTCAGCCTAACCGCTTGCGTCGATCCCAATGCAGGTGTGATCTGCGCACTGATGGCTGCGGCAAATGACTCTTGATAACTATACAACAGTAGACAGGCACGGAGACACCAGTGCAGTTCAAAAGGATAAGAAAGAATGGTGATTTGAGCACCCAGATCGTCCGGAAGATCCATCCCGTGAAATCGACTGTGAGACCTTAAAGCTGCCTGTGCCGTTTCATGGCGGCTTGGGTGCAGCAATCGCCCACCAGTTATCCTTTTCATACCCATATTCCAAAACTACGCCTCCAGCTTCGACAATGTCATGTTCAAGCTCTCCCTGGCGGTACAGGTGATAGTAGCGATTGAAAGTCTTGCCCTCTTCGGGCCCCTGCTTCATCACCCAGGGTACCAGGACATCTTGATCATCACCTTCGTCCCAGCCTCGGCGGCTGTGCCTCTGTTCGAGTGCCCACACGTATATCAACGCTCTTCCCCCAATCTCTGCTCCTGTAGATCGTCGAAGCGATTCGAGAACAGCAGCCACTGCTTGAATCCGACGCTGAGGTGTGGACAGGTGATGGACCACGGCAATTGATATTGCGAAGTCGAAGAATCCAAGCGGATGTGGCAAAGTCAGGTTATCCGCAAGCAGATAGCTATGAGGCTGATGCTTGCTCGCAATCTTGACCAGGTTGACAGATCGATCAGAGGCCACGATGAAGACGTTTGGGTTAACAGCTAAATATTTGCCGTTCCCACAGCCAATGTCAAGACCAACTGAGCCTGGGGCAAGATCCTTGAGGAAGCGCTCGACGATTGGCCACGGCTTGTAGCGAGTTGAAGAGAAGTGTGAAGCTATTTCTTCATAGACTTGGTGAACATGGATCTCTTCGTATTGTCCGATGTTCCCTTTCGGAACATTAGAGGTCATGAGAGGCCCAGTGCACGAGTTGTCGTGCCTCGAATCTCGAGGTGTCAGAAATTGTAGGCATCCTCATCGAGAAGATCCTTAGTGGCGGGAGATCGACAGTAGTCTTGCTTGGCGGGACGCTAAGAAAATGAAGCAACATCAAAGATGAATGCCTTCTGATCCTCGTTACAATGGACTTGGATTCATAGGCTATAAATTCACTAATTGACTGACAGCTTACCTATACTCTCCTTCCAGTCTCTACCAGCCGTCTTCGCCTGATCAAAACAAGTTGAAGATCAACATGCTTCGCAGGCTTTCCCACCTCTTCCAACTCTTCCAACGTCAACATGCAATATTTTTAATATAGCTTTCCAAGCCTACTATATCACGGCCCATCCGCGCGGAGTCCTTGTCTTTCACATTCCCTTCTTCGAAATCTACATTCCACTTGATCATATATTTTGAACTCTCAAGAGGAGCTGTATATGTGAGACCCGTGCGCTTTGTGAAGTTCCCAGTGGTGGAAGCAAAATTTACAAATGGTGCTATGTTTCGCCAGTTTTGCATCAAGAATCACACCCCCAATAACCGTGCAGCTTTCTTGGACCATCCATGTACGCGCCAAGCTTTATCATCTCGACACAAGCCTGCCGATGGACGCTTACAACACTCCAAACAGCCACATATCTCTGCTCTGAATGGGCTCGGATAGCTTGCTTCCTCATCCCAAACCCGCTAATCTGAGGGACCCATTTTGATACCAATTGTCCGTCAGATATAGGCCCCTTCTTCGCCGGCTTCAAGCTCCTTCGGCGGCACATCCCTCTGCACGGCGGCTATGCACTGCGCCGCGCGCTGAGTACTTGACGACAGAGATGATGACGTCGCCGCGACGGCTTACGGGTCTTTTGGGTCTGCAATCTTGTTGCTCCAGCGTGCATATCCCATCCACTGGCCCTTGGGTTCGATAAGTCTTGGCAGGACATCAAAAATGGCTCTTTTCGCAACACAATAATTTTGGAGCAATAGCCTTTACGATAAAAGTTTCGGCTGCAAGGTTCTAGACCTTGTTAAGAAGAATAGTTGCAAAATCGAATCTTTTCTGGTGGGCGTTCCTGTTGTTGAGGTGCGATGGGTTAAAAGAAGGACTTTTTCATGTTCGGTTGGGAACTCCGGATTATTGAACCCTGCCAGTGGATGGGATAACAGGGGGTCAGAGGGGTGGACGGGGAGTATTTCGATGTGGTGGATCTGGATGCGGTTATCGCGGTCAGGTATAACAATGTGGACCAATTAACGGGATCCGTTCAAGAGCGAAGCGGTTACAGTTGCCTAGACACGTCTAAACTCAAGTACATGTTCCCAACATTCCTACAACCCCAACAATGCTCTGTCCAAGCAATTCGACCGGAACCGACCCGTCGTACCATCACAAACGAGACTCGACTTCGGCGCTTCTAGTATCCCCAGCTTCGACACCGGCGCTTCGTGCACAGTGCCCGTTGCTGACCTACAGCATGTTCTGGATACACAGGTACAATTACACGGACACGCCAAGTCGGCTGTCGAAGCACCCTCAGTCATCGAATCGTTGCCGACAGTGACATTATTCGTCGAATTCGGAACCCTGCTTGCAGCAGCTGCCACCAGCTCCCTCCCTTCCTGCCCAGAAGAAAGCAAATCAGATGACCGATACGGCACTTACACCTCCCGGTGAAAAAAGCACTCGCAACCCCCTGCCACGCACTCAGCAATGCCCAGCATCCGCCCGCCCCATCGCAAGGCGCGGCCGGGCCCCAACAATACCGCCCGCACTCCGGACCATTCGGCGCACCGTTGCCCAGCTCCGGCAGATCCCGTCGAAGAGGCCGTAACATCGACACCGGCCCATTCACTCCTGGCGCCGGGGACAATGTCGCCGTCTGCGGTTTCGAGTCCACGGATGGGCGATCTGCCGGCGGACTCTGTTGTCGAAGTCGGAGTCGCGCGCGTAGAGGACGGGCAGGAGGCGGTTGTTGTTGTCGCCGGCGCGGGAGTGGCCTCCGCTAGGGCTGAGACGCAAGCTCTTTGGATCATGTCGCCCGTGCGGGCATAATCGAGGTAGTGGCTTGGGTCGCTGGAAATTGTCCCGTAGAGGCAGTAGGGCCATTTTGCAAAAGACTTGGGGCTGGCCGCAGTAGGGGCCGTGAAGGCATCGTTGGATCAACTTAGCGTTTGATCGAAGGATCGGCAGGGCCAATCTGTTGTCCCACTGTAGACTGGTGATGTCTGGCGGTCGCCAGGTCAGAGGTCGTGCGAAGAGATGGTCTTTTCGGTCGGTACTTCCGATGCCGGTGTAGCCACTGGACAGGCCATCGCCGTGCAATAAATACTCGCAGGATGCATGGTTGGGGCTGCCGTAGAGGGTTGTGCATAATCGTAGTGCTAGAGCTCGGAGGAGAGAACAATTCAATGTTAGGTAGCGATCGTTGGCTAGCCAAGGTCTTTCTCTACGATACCGAGAAAATTGCTCCATTGCAATTGAAAGTAAACACTCGAAGAAAACTAGAAGCAATACAATATGGCTGTAGGGGTCATTGGGCCGAAGAAAGGTGCTAAAGGCGTGTTCCAAAGCCGCCATTTGCGCTACGAACAATCCCATACTATATCGGGGCGACATGCGATCCTCGTGCTGAATTCTAAATGTAGAAGCGAGAAAACCCCCTAACTTGGCTATATAGATAGGATCTGAACCGGTCTCAACGCTCTCAAACCTTGGGGAATCCCCAGTCTTTGCCGAGTTGCGAGTTTTTGCCACGGAAAAATTGCTTTCCATCAAGGGGCAGCAGCCCAAAGAAGTAGCGCGGTTGGAATCACTCCCCGGATGCTTTTCCTGCTCTTTTGAGACTTACTCTGGTCCGTCGAGGCAATTTCATCGTCCGTTGGTGATTCCGCCGCTACGTTCTCGTCCACTCTGGGCCAGAATAAGATACATGGTGTAAATGCAGCCTCATCTATCCCGCAAAATAGATTGGTCCACATCGCGGATGATGCTAATTAGCTATGGTCGTATAGCGACCAATACGCTCTGGTGCCGCGGTGCTGAACCACAGACAGTAGTCGATACTGGAGAGCAAAGTTTTCACGAGTATACGGAGACAGGTTAAGCTCCTCATTGAAAGGAATGACGGCCCTTCCCTTCATTTTTTCCCCAGATCTAGACTCGCCCCAACTGGCAAAACGAACAAGGTGCGTTACGAGGATCCTGGGTCCAGGGAATAGCTGGGCGACGTTACGCGTGCTTGAATGAACATAAAGCATACTTCGCATCCTGTATCAGCAGAAATGGAAACCAGACGGATATACAAATCTTTGAACAAGCGGTTTGGGCACCCTCACACAATCCTATTAAGCAAAGCAACGTGTCCCTTGACCTTCTGCTAGCCTTCGAAGCCATAGTCTCAACGCAGAAAGAGTCGAGGAGAGCAGAACGGTGGTACTGTTGGAGAAAATCCTTCCTGTTTGGTAGCAAATTGGGGCCACAGGCCATCTTTTCGGGAGAAGAAAGCTCCTTCACCTCCCAGCACTGTCTTTTTACTTGGGTGAAACGCCATGTTTCGACAGCGAAGGGTTCTTTCTGCTCTCTGAACTTATCTCATTCCTCGGATTTTTCCTTCCCAAACAGCGACGCTGACTCTGGAATATGCCCGGGGTACGTAGTTTCCGGAGTAATCGATTCGTTCTGTTTGGTGGCAAATTGGGGCCACGATCCAGTTTTCGAGCAGAAAGTTCCTTCACTCCTCCAGAAATTTCTTGTTCCTTAGGTGAAAAGCCATCTTTCGACAGCGAAGGGTTCTTTCTACTCTTCAAGTATGTCTCGTTGCTCTGTCTATTTCCCAAAGAGAACTACACATTTGTCAAATAGAGATTGCAGGATACTGTGGCCTATTTGCTGTAGAAAACGCTTTCACGCTTGATCAATCGCTGTCAAGTACTTACTAAGTCAGGCTTTTTCCTTCTCTCAATGTACGAGTAAGACCGACGCAGATTCAGGAACCAGCATTCTATATATTCACATCTTCGACCAACATAGTAAAGTAGCTAGGAGGCAGAGGTAAGCCAATTCCCCCGTAGGCAGATCGACAGACTGAAGAAATCCCGATGATCCGTATACACCTGTGCTCTTTCGCCCAGCGGAAAAAGGCCGACCAGAGGGTAAGAAATCTTGAGGTCACGAAGGCGTGCGACCAGCAGAGACTATAAATACCCACGAGAATCTGTCCCGCAGAGCCATAATCTTATGGCCGGAGTATGTCGGATCGGTCGACCTGGCCGGCGAGAGTCATAGATACGGTACAGCCCCAGACAGACCGATGGTAGTGCAAGATACGAACAACTACCCACAAAACAACCCTATAAAAGAGCCCCACCTGATCCACCGACCTGATCCTCGCGACAGTCCAGAAAGCCCCCTCCCCCCCGCACCGCTCGCCCACCCCGCCCCGCCCCGCCAAACCCCCGCACGCCCAATGCCACCAGCCCCCCTCCCCACCCCCCGCGCCTTCCTCACCGCCCTCCTAACCAGCCTCCCTCCCCCCGAAACCAAAGCCGACAACGACGCAGCAGACACCCCCCCCGCCATCCCCCTCCCCGCGCGCGCCGTCCCCGGCCTCCAAACCCTCCACGCCCTCTTCCCCACCACCCTCCTGCCCGCCCTCGACCTGCTCGATCGCCGCCTCGTCACCAAATTGCTCTACGCGCCATCGCACCGATCGGCGCCGGGAGATGTCGCATTGGCGGGGTCGGAGACGGGATTGAGCGAGGATGGGGGCGGGGGGAGCGTACTGTATCATGTTGGATCGTCCGGCCGGGGAGAGCGGGGTGGGGGCTTGGGAGGGGCGAGGGGCTATGAGGTTCGGGTCCGGGGGTGGAGTTGCAGCTGCGCGGCGTACGCGTTTGCGGCGTTTGGTCATCGCTACGGTCCGGATGAGGGGTGCGGTGGGGAGGGGATGGTGCTGGGGTGGGGGTGGGGCGGATCGATGCTGGGGGGGGACGTGCCGCTTTGCAAGCATCTCCTCGCGTGCGTGTTGGCGGAGCGGTGGGATGGTGCTGGGGGGTTGGTTGAGGGGAGGGAGGTTGGGAGGGAGGAGATGGCTGGGTGGGCTGCTGGGTGGGGTGGTTGAGGGGCTTGGGAGCAGTGTGGAGATACGGATCAATGATTGCTTGCGGGCACTGGGGATTGTTTATGTATGCTTGATTTTTGGTTTGCTATGGGCCTGTCTGATCCGTCTATTTCGTATCATTGAACCGCTGCAATGGCTGATGTGAGTGGAAGTGGTGTCGCTAGCTAATGTGCAGAAAAGGAGCCTTGGGACGTGAAGGGACACAGTTCCCGCGGCTTCTTCATCATCGCAATTTTGAAATGCCTGATGGGCCATAGGACGTGGGGATAACACAGTTCCTATGGCTCTATCGCCGAATCATAAAACGTATGATGGGCTTTGGGACGTGGAAAGGAAAAAGCTCTTGGGCTTCTGTTCTGAATGTCGCAATATATCACGCCGTGAGACGTGATGATCGCAATTCCCACAGCTTTCTCGCCGAATATCGATTTCGTCCGCCAATCGTTCCTTGTCGTTCTCTGTTGAATAGTCGTCTGATCATGCTTGTTGGCTGTAAAGTATGAATCATACTTCAAGGAGTCCTTGGCGAACCACCAGCACCATGGACCAGCGACGAATCACGATTCTCCTGTCTAGCCCTCCTTCGCTCAAGGATAGTAGGGCCACCAGAGTTCTCCCGACCAAAACCCTCACGACCAAAGCCCAAGATGCTGGTGCCTGTAGTAGAGCTCGACATGGCGTTGTCACGACCAGAGCGATAGAGTCCTCGGGTTGGAGTGGGGGACCCGTTGTTGATGGCTCGGATGGTATCGTTGCTGGTTTCGGACATTGCTTTCTTGGAGTTCTTGGTGGGTGTGCTGTATACTTGACCGCTCAATATGCTGCCATTGAGGTCGTGGTTAGGATTGGAGGCTATGCGGGCGTTGTACATGGTGTTGGTGATGTCGGCCAGCCCGCCTTCGTTGCTGGGTTCCTGCTTCGGGTCGCGGCTTGAACGAGAGTTGGAAACGTTGGTGATGTCTGCAAGACCCTTCAAGCCCTTGGTGTTGAAGTATGTCGCTGCTGTGATAATGTTTCAGTGCTTCGGATATGGGCATGAACCAGTGAGAGGTGACTTACCGTTCTGGACGCGACGATCTGCTTCTTGGCGAGTGCGAATGGGGAGGGTCTTCTTGGGCGTGTCAGGTCCAATTTTGATGGTGTCAATGTCAACACCGCCTGCAACGCGAGGTTGAAGGCTGTACTCGTAATCTGGGTTCATGACCTCCTTGCTTGGGCTTGAGCCGAGAACGATGTGGTCGGGCTTGACCTCCTATACACCAAGAGTCAGATCTCAGAGACTCAAGGCCTGGAGAAGGCTCAACATACCCAATTGATGATAGGATAGTTGGCAGGATTGAATGGTGGAACCTCATATCCATTCGCCTCAGCCTGAACAATAGCCAGCTCCGCTCCTTTCTTGAAGTAAGGATTATCCTGACTGTCAAGGGTGTCGATCCGACGCTGGATGGCCTCTTCCTGGATCACATGCTAAGTGAGTCATCAGCAACAACCGCAAGAGCTTGAATGAGACGAATGGAGCACTCACCTCCCTCAAACCTGCAAATCTATGCTTCAACGCCTTGACGATTGATTTGGTGCTGAACTCGCATTGTGCCTCCATGTGGCAGATGAACTCGTCCATGTTGTCGTTCCAGCACGAGGGCAGTTGACTTCCGGAAGGCATGTTCTTAGGTTGGAGGGCTGATGTGCCAGGGTGGTCTTTGATAAGATTGGTAGCTGTGTGAGTGTTGCCCTCACCAGGACGTCGGTAGCTCCCACTGGGGCGATTGTTGTTGCTTCCACGGACGGAAGTGTTGTTGATTTCGGTCGACATTGTGTTAGGTATTTGGCGAAGACGGGACTTCCGCTGACGGGCGCTTCGCTCAATCAACTCCCAAACTTCCTCGTCGATGACTAAATCTGAGACTGAGTCTAAGGATTCTGGCTCCGCCGCTATGGATATGCTGACGTGATCCAGCCAAGTGTAGATTTTCAGGAGGAGCTCTGGCTTGATGTTGTTCTGGTGTGAGTGAAGGATGACTGGAGAGGCAGTGTTGTTAGAAATTTGACGAGTCTGAAAATCCTCGGAAGGTCTTGGCGCCAGTTCCTGAAGGGCCGCAAAGGTTTGTTGCTTGGTCGTCGAATGCAAAGTAGTTCCGCTCAGTGAGGTCCGCTGCTGAACTGCAGGAGCTGAGTACAACTGTGATCGGCGGGTCTCAAAGACGGGGCCGGATCCAATATCGATACGGATTTGGACGAGCTGATCAGGGTATCTCTCGCGATACTCTTCCAAAGGGATAGTATCTTCAAGGATAAAAGGCCTGCAATTATACGTGAACAGCTTGAGGGTGCGGGGAATTGGAAGACCGATAGATTCCTTGTCAATCTTCTTCTTATCAACTGCTGTAAGAGGCACGCGCTTGCCAAGGGAGGCGGTGTTTTCTGCTACTCGCTTGTTGTGTTGAGGCGCGAAGACGTCAGCTAGCGCACCTGGCCAGGAGAACTCCTCGTTCTCTTCTACGTCAGTGGCCTCGTGGAATTTGGGCTTGGTCTTGCTGAGCTCCTCGCAGTGTTTCTCACGCTGCAAGCGAAAGGGAAGAGACCTGGTGCCAAATGTCAGCTACGGAAGTGAGGTGAGGCCTCGAGGAGGTTGTAGTATGAGGTAGCGTGCTTGGAAGTGATGTCAGGTAGGTAGATCGCAACAAGGCTTGGTAGAAAGACAGAGTTCAGCTCAGAGCTTCCCCATCAAGCTTGAGAGTGCGTAGCACGAAAGTGGAGGGTGGTGAACTTTGCCATTCTCACTCATGTGTTCAGACTTTGGATGGGAAAGCAGTATGATCGGCAGGGTCCTCGCTTACATTTTGAATTAACGCTCCCGTCGTTAGGGCTTTATAAGTAAACAACTTGCATCCCGTTTCAAACACAAAGCAGTAGCAACAATTAATGGCTGGTGTCTTGGTGTATGACTTGGTATGTGATTGTGATAATGAGATTACAAGAGGAAGTGAACCTTTGCAGACTGTGCAAAAAGCTCGGCACACTAGTCATAGTAAGCGCATATGCCAAAAGAAACGGGGATATGTTTTGTAGCACACTTAGATCTCCGGCCGGTGTCCGGACAGTGTATTCGTTACTTGTTTGAAAACTCTGTCTCCGGTTCACTTGAGGGACAGGGCGGGCTGATGTCTGTGACCGGTGACTTGGTCATAGGCTAGTGTCCCACCAGGCCCGCTTCTTTATCGCTCAAAGGGTGGCTTCAGGATTCTCTGCATTCATCATTTACATAGGTATGCAAGGTTTCAGCATAGGAGATAGAGAAGCATAAGGGTCATATCATGTCAGGTCAATGCAGTCAGGGTGGTCATTTCTTTCACAGCGAACATAAGGAGTATGAACTCGAAGCCATTGCACAAAGCCTTCGAGGAGCTGGCAAGTTTACAATGCGTATGCAGTACAAAATGGTGTACAAACCATGTCCTCCGCCCTGCAAGCTCAGGATCCTTCCAGTGGCTTCGTTGAAAAGTCCAATCAAACATGCTTTTGGTCCAGATGGCCTTCATTTGGCATGCCAAAGATCGAGGAATTTGGAGGTGAGACCTACTATTTCAGCCCAATCCTGCTAAGGAGACTGCCGGTCGTACTTGAAGATGAAGACTTGTCCCCGTCAAAGACCCCCAGTAGGCTCTTCCACACTTGCCCTGGTTCTTGGCTTGCATCGATTGGCTTCCAGATCCCCGTTTTCTTGTAGTAGGCTACCACTGGCGAGGTCTGGTCATGATAGACCCCAAGTCGCTTCTTCAGTGTATCCGCATTATCATCGGATCTCTGGATCAATGGCTCGCCGGTCACGTCATCCTTCATCGTCTCTTTTGGCGGATTGAAGATCTTGTGATATGACCGGCCGGAAGCTGGGTGAATCAGGCGCCCTGTTATCCGGGCGACCAGAAGGCCATCGTCGATTTGTAGCTCGACGGCGTGTTGAAGTTTTTGGCTCTTCGCTGTCAGCATGCCATCTAGTCGCTCAGCTTGTGCGACTGTTCGCGGGAAGCCGTCAAGTATGAAGCTGTGAAGCCGAATTAGCCAACGTGCCTCCAGAGCTTCCCGAACCCCCCCCCTACCCTTGTTTGCAATCTTGGTTGTTCTCCAGTTCACCTTTTATCATGTTGATCATGATCTCATCGCTGACCAACCCGCCCTGATCCATTATCTTCTTGGCTTCCCTCCCGAGCGAGGTCTTCTTTGCTACCTGAGATCGCAGCATGTCCCCTGTTGCCTAGAATAGATCGTTAGCATTCACGGCCGGATCGCACACAAGGCATTGTTGAGACAGCCTACCAAATGGCAGGCACAGTACTTGTCCTGGATCTTCGGTGCCTGGGTTCCCTTGCCTATACCAAACGTAAGCTCTAGCGCGAGAAGGCTTTCTGGGTGGTTGGGCCCGTACCAGCTCCAGGAGGACCCATTAAAATCATCCGGACGGATTGAAGGGGTTTCTTCGAGCTGGCCGCCGGGGGTGACCCATCACCATGCCCTAACTTGGCCTCCAACTGCTGCACCCGGGATTCCAGCTTATGGATGGTATCTCGAAGAGCTTCAACCGTGTCGTCTGTGATGGGAGCCATTGCGGATTGAAAGGACGCGGACGGGGCCTGACCAAGGCAGAGGAGGATCTGGCGAGCTGAGGAAGCGTACACGGTTCTGTATACTGCAACCTGGGTCCGATGGGCGGAGAGAAGGACCGGCTGTTGGTGGAGAGAGCTCCTAGCGCAATTTGGGTCCGCCTGGGGCGCCGTAGCTTTAGCTTAGTCATCAATTTTTTTTGGCACACAGCCAATTCACAGTTGTCCTCGCCCTCCGGAGTTCCAATCCAAGTTCCTCCAAAATACTGTGCAACGTTGATTGCTGATTTCTCCATCAGGCAGCTATGCACATGCACATAACCTCCGCCCGAGCCCAGACGATCTGTGGGGAAGCTCGGCATTCCAGCATTCTTCAGCACGTCAACAAGAAGAAGTTAAGAACAACAAGCTAATCTTCGGGAGTTACTGTCAGTGCCGCCGGTCTGGTGGGTGTCCCCAATTTCAGAGGAGGAATCCCCTCTACGAATACGGTACTCCAGGCGGCGAAAATACACTTCATTGATCCTCGTCTCTTTTGGGGACTACAGCCCGAATTGAAGAATTTCACTCCAATTCTCTCACACTCAAATGGAAGTCCTGGGCTCTTGCCATCGCTGGCACAATGAATCTACAAGAAGATTGACTGGCGATGACATGTCATTCGGTGGTTCTTTTAATTGCCTCATTTTGAGACTCTAGCCTTGCGCATATTGGCGCATGTGGTTCACGAGATGAGCATGTAACGTGTGGGTATCACCGGCGTCAATAACCATTGGTTCTGACATCCATAACCAAAAGTCTCATCCAGTTGGCCATTGTTATGTAAGAAATTCCAAACCGAAACTCGCAACGATGTTATGATGATGATTATTATTATTACCTATGATGGTTATGATTATGATTATGAATTATGATGATTATGATTATGATTATTATTGTTATGATTGCATTGCGTAGAATTAGGCGTCTCATCTCCTCTGCCCTGACGCTACTGCCCCAGGGTTCCATGGTCCAACAAATCGCAGTGTCGCATTGTCTGATGTAAGCGGAATAATATCAAATACCCCTGACACTGCCTATTACCGGATAAAGGGCGCTACCGAGTAAAGAAATGTTAATTTCCCTTTTTCAAAGCCCCTGAGCCAATCATCACGTCTCAAACGCTTGCGAAAAAGAAAGCAAAGTCCGGAAACAAAGCACACTAATCCCTAAATTTACATCTCTTTATCCCCCTCCCCCCCCCCACCCCTTTTTTCGCCAGGGTTCCTGTTTCCTTAGGTTCCCTGTTCCTTCCCCCGTTAATCTCATCCGTCTCCTCGCACTTTTCTCAAAACTTCTCTTCATTAGCATCACTCCTTTACGCTATCGACGACAGCAACGACGTCCAACTGCTTGAAGCAGTCTTGCACTTTCACTCCTTCAAGTGCACGTCCGTCTTCATTATAGATTATCAATTTATCAATCCAATTCCTCATCATCATCATCATCATCACCACATACCTAAACATTCTTTAGTCGCATCAAACACACGGTCGCAAAAATGAAATACTCGACAATCGCCCTCGCGGCCATGCCTGGCTTCTTTGCTCTCGCCTCTGGTCTTGGTACCTTCACCATCAAGAACTCTTGCGGTACAGACATTCATTATGTCCACGACGTCGACTCCTGCGAGACAGTCGTGACCATCCCCGCCGGCAGCAGCTCCGACCCTTGTACCTACCAGACCAAAGCCGATGGATCTGGCGGTCCATCCGTCAAAATCGCCCTCGAAACAACCATCTGCTCTTCCATTCCCCCACCCATCACTCAATTCGAGTACACTGTTGGCTGGGCAGAGAAGGTCTTCACCGATTTGTCCAATATCAACGGTATCCCTTATCCCTTCATGGCCGGCGGTGTCAAGTTGACCAGCTCCGACAACTCAGTCAGCGTTTCCTGCGCTGCAGGCATTGAAGACTGCGCGGCAGCGTACAACACCCCCACCGAGAACTCTGCCACCACTGCTGCTCCGGAGACTGCGGATCTGCTGGTCGAAATCTGCTGGGACAAGCCAGGTGCATATGGAAGTGAAAGTTCAAGCGGCAGCTCCTCACCAGCACCAGTGTCGCCCGTCGTAGTACCTGGCACTCCCATTGTCCACGAACAGCCGGAGGCGTCACCCTCGAGCCCTGTCCTCGCACCTTCCTCATCTTCCTCGCCATCACCGTCGCCTTCACCGTCGCCATCACCTTCTCCCTCGCCATCGCCCTCGCCTTCGCCCTCGCCATCGCCCTCGCCATCACCATCACCATCACCATCACCATCTCCATCGCCCAGCCCAGTGGTGGTGGAAGATGAGGTCGAGGTCATCGTCACCGTCACAGAAACCGCCCCGATCGTCTGGGTCACCGAGCACGTTGGCGGTTCTCAACAACGGAAGCGCGACCACGATCACCTCCACCAACATGTTCACAACAAAATCCACAAGAAGCGACACGGCGCATAGCCTCATCATATATACGCCTATGTTCACGCTTTTCCCTTACCATATTCTTCAAGCATTGGATTCGCATCATATTTCGCGACGTGGCGCGGCGCTGTACCGGGTGGGAGCAGGGCTCTCTTCTACATCTGCCATGTTGTCCAAATGCCTCAGTCGCCTTACCAGGTACAGGTGATATGGACAACGTGCGCATTCTTCTCACAGCGATGGGAAACTTGTCACGACTGGATGTCATCAAGCTATATCGATATGCCATCTAATCACCACATTCGCTTCATTTTACATAAGCCATTTGATGGGGGGAGGGATGATCGTGCGGGGGAGATACAATTACATTTCTGTAAACACCATTTACCACTTTTCATTTGTTGTGTGGGGCGCGTTTTAGGTGATGAGCAAGCGAGGAGCGAAAGGGGAAATGCTGGGTGCATCGTCAAGCAAAGCAAACCAATAAAAAAACTTTCAAAACCCATGCTGTACCCAGACTGTGTGATCTCCTCTTAGCGCTTGGTCCCCTTCCCTTCCCAAGTCCCCATCGATGAATCTCCACATAGCATCCCGCGTCGCGCAAGCACATGTACATATGCACTCATCGCAATCCGGGGCCGATCAGCCAGGGCCCAAGAACCCTATCGTCTATGCCTGTCATCCATCATGCATGCACTCGGCAAGCCTCCAATCTCAACCGCCCTTCCTCCCTTCCCCACACGCTCGCTTCCCCGGTCCAGTACGTACCTGAGATCCATGACCTGTTCCTCAACATACATCACTTGACCCCTGCCCGGACCTTTTCATCCCATGTTGCTTCCTTCCCAGTGCCCCCCCCCCGCCCCCCCACAAGTCCAACGTCTGCACCAAACCCCAAGTCCAACATCGAGACCTCTGTACCTTGGCTCATGGCGCTGTCGCCGAAGCTGAAACTCTCCGGTCCGTCTCGAACGTCAGACCTCAGGTTTGCGCGCGATGGGTTCGGCCATGTCGGCTACGGCGAGTGCGATTGCGGCGGGGGACTTGAGGCGAGGCTGTCAGATTGGACTTGCGTATCTGTCAGATGAGAGCGAGCCGCTATTTCTGTGGGTATGCAGCATGCGGGCTACGGAGTATCTACCTACCTACGTTGGCTACTACACATCGGTCATTCGATGACGACTTCGTCACAGGGCGTTTCAATCGTTGACCTTGGTCGCTTGAGCAGTACACGACTTTGCTTTACTTTATGAGGACTCGGTTCAGCCACCGATTCTTTCTCAAGTTATCCAGCACAGCTGCTTCGGCGACACCTTCGCGAGCCCGGGACTAATTGGCGGCCTTGAATGGACTTTCTGAAGCCTGCAGACTTGCAACGATCTAATTATGCTTTGCCATCGTCGTACCTCAAGACGGTAATTTGCTAGATGAGAATCTACCCATGGGAGTATGTAACGGGCTTTCTGTGAGATCAGGATACATCCAAGGGAGACGGAGCGAGACGGAGGGAGGAAGTCTCATGCCCAAATCCGCTCCGGCAACGGTGAAGGACCTCCTCTGTGATCAACAGATATGAGATTTGCACAGTCACAGATTCTGGTATCCTTTGACAGGGTATCTGCCATTAGATCTGTATATGCCCGAAATGCCTGACAGAAGGCTTTTACTTTACGATCATTGGCTTCCCCCTCATGGATGCAACCTTGATTTCAGGCAGGCATGGAAGACATTGTCTTGAATGGGAAGACTTGTCGGCAGGGTTTCACTGAAGGTTTGGCGCGAGGTACCTTACCTACATTACTGAGCTTGAAGGCCAGCACCAGAAGCAGAGGTGTTTCAAGCAACCCCAAGAATCTAAAGTAAACCCTTGCGAGAATACTAGCGTTGTTCCTAGCAAATCGCTGGTCACAACCCACCTTGACCCTGCGAGGAACCTCCTAGTCACCATACTTGCTGTCACGCTGACCTTGAGATCTATCAGGGATCCAGCGATATGTGTGAGTTCATCGTGTATTGCAGCTTGATAAGAACACTATTGAATAGAACACTATCTATGTCATAGCTAGAATGGGTTCCACTGTGAAGAAGCACTGGTGGCATGTATTAGCAGACAGCCAGCCCATTGTGGTGCATACAATGGGTCGCTCTTCTCCTATGTCGGACGAGCATTCGGGCTTCGTATCCGCTCCGCTTCGCCGTATCAATCATCGCTATAAGCATCACCCATGCTCTACTCCTTTCATACGTGGCTCATCACTAAATCGTCGCCTGCCACTGCTGCAAAACCACACTGAATGCAGTCTCTTGAGAGCTGTTTTTTTTGACTGCTCCGACCACAATCCTAATATTGCATGACGCCCTGGAATATCCTAATGTCTTTCACAACCGGATACGTCGATTTCTTCATCTTCTTCACAGTCGCTCACAGACTAGCCCCTCTATCTCCAGATCCAGCTATCAATTTTTCCAATCCGGCCTTCGACGCCTTCAAGCGCTCTCGCGATCCTCAATACGCTCAGCGCAATTCCTCATGTACAATTCATTATTCACCAACGCTACCAACGACGCTTGTCCTTCGCGATGGCCGCATCTACGGGTCCGGCTTGAACAAGGAAAGCCGTCTAAACGCTTGGAAGAGCATCCCGACCGATTCCGAATCCATCACCTACGGTAGTCGGATGAAAGGCTGAAAGCCACCTGTGAGGGCCCGCTTTCCACATCGGTTCCTGCGCGGCAAGGCCAGCGCTCCAGTTCTCGGTGTTACGGTGCGGGAGTTCTGATTACCGACGTTTCGACGCCATCGGCATCGAAGTTGCCGCACGCGCTGTTGGCGATGCGGCAAAGGACGCTGTATCCTCGACGGATGTCGAACACGTCTGAGACGAATGCGTGTTGCGCGGCGAGAGCACGCGGCTACGGCCGGTCGGTGGCTTGATTGGAGGGATGGGTGGGTGGGTGGGTAGGACGGGGGTTTTCGCCCCATGGATGAGGCCGTGGACTGCTTTGACGTATATATCCTCCGTTGTCGATTTGCTGGTCTGTCATTCAGGTCCAGTCTTACCGGCCGGATGTATCGTGCATTCCTATAAGTCATCACGAAGGCGATCGCACCGAGCTGTCAGGCACAACTGCCACTCGCCCATTCACGCATTTTGCTTCGTTCGGCAATATCCCCCATCTCGTCGGACATCCGTGCAGGTTCCACGAGGCGGAAAGGGGGGGGGGTTATGATAGGGCAGTCCTGCATTTGTCTGTCTGTCTGTCTGTCTACCAAATATCTTCGAGTGTCCGCGCCATCAAACCTTCGGAACAACAGCTGAGACGATTCGAAACGGCTCCGTACACCTGCACGGCAACGGTGGACCGAGAGTTCGACATGGCATCTTGGCTCGGGGTCTGGGCGGCCGCTGTCGCGGTCAACGAGATGGGCACTCGGAGATGCCTGGCCGGCGTTTCGTCCGGAGTTGGTGGGATGGCTTCCCCCCCACCTTCCCTTCCCTTCCCTACTCCAACCTGTTAATATATCGTACTACCTACCCTATCTCTCTCTCCTCATTGACAAAGACCGAGAATCTCGCCGCAGCCTCGACGTTTGTTTGTTCTTCCCTCTTCTTGAATCCCGTCATCTTCCTCTTCCTCTTCCTCTTCCTCTCTTCTTCTCTTCCTTCTTCTTCTTCTTCTTCTTCTTCTTCTTCTTCCTCTTCCTCTTCTTCTTCTTCTTCTTCTTCTTCTTCTTCTTCCTCTTCTTCCTCTTCTTCCTCTTCTTCCTCTTCTTCCTCTTCTTCCTCTTCTTCCTCTTCTTCCTCTTCTTCTCTTCTTCTCCTCTTCTTCTTCTTCTTCTTCTTCTTCTTCTCTCTTCTCTTCTTCTTCTTCTTCTTCTTCTCTCTCTTCTTCTTCTTCTTCTTCTTCTTCTTCTTCTTCTTCTTCTTCTTCTTCTTCTTCTTCTTCTCTTCTTCTTCTTCTTCTTCTTCTTCTTCTTCTTCTTCTTCTTCTCCTCCCTCTTCTTCTCCTCCTTCTTCTTCTTCTTCTCTCCTACTCTACCCTACCCCATCGCCAACGCAAATAAAACGGCCAAAACGCTCATCCATCCATCCATCCTCTCTCCTCTCTCATCCATTCCTCATTCCCTCACTCACTCACTCACTACACCACAAACTCCATCTCTACCACCGATCCGTGGTGGCTGTCGCATCGGGTGCGAGATCTGGCCGCGCGAGCGCGGTTCATGAGGTACTTCTCGATCTATGGATTGCGTGCACGCGCTCGGAACGGGAAATGTGGTCACTGCGCGCGCGGTTTTTTGCGTACGGCGATCGCTCTACCGGACGGTGGGTGCAGGGATTTGAATCTGGCGGTACGGGTGCGATGATGTGTTGGTTGAGGATGAGTTTTTGGACGGCTCGCGTAGATTCGCATTGGAGGGATTGGTTGGGCGGTGGGGGTTTGGATTGTTTGAGATGATGGCCGAAAGAAACATCGCAAAGAAGGTCTTCCATTACTCTAGTTAAGATTTCTGGAGCAGCTATGAAGCCGAGATCTATATACCTTCCTTAGGCTCCGTCTACACCCAGTCCCTCGGCTCCCTGAGCACTTTCGCCAACCTCTCCTCTCTGCTGCCTTTGTCCGCGTCATGCATGTACATCCACCTCGCCGTCAACGGCAGACTCATCAGGATACTCTCAACCCTCGCGCCAGGCGTGTTCAGGCCGAAACTCGTGCCTCTGTCGTGGACGAGGTTGAACTCGACGTATCGTCCCCTTCTCAGCTGCTGCCATTCCTTTTCTCTTTCTGTAAAGGGCATGTCTTTTCGCTTTTCGATGAGGGGAAGGTAGGAGGGCAGGAAAGCGGTCAAGCAATCCTTGACGAATGAGAAGAGTTGTTCCTGCTCCTTTTCTTCTTCGTCCAAGTCGTCAAAGAATATACCTCCGATCCCGCGAGATTCGCCTCGGTGGGGAATGTAAAAGTATTTATCGCACCATTGCTTGAAGCGCGGATAGTAGCCTCGATCGTGCTTATCGCATGCCTCTTTGATCGTGCGGTGGAAGTGTATAGCGTCTTCGTCGAACAGGTATGAAGGTGTAAGATCCGTGCCGCCACCAAACCACCAGGCGTTGCAGTTGCCTTCCGCGTCCATGGTTTCGAAGTAGCGGTAGTTGAAGTGCACGGTTGGCGCATTGGGGTTCTGAGGGTGCAAGACACAGCTGAGACCTGCTGCGAAGAATTCGAGACTTTCGACGTCTGGGTCTAAGGCTTTGTGGTTCACGCGCATCTTCTCGATGGCTGGGCGAGGAAGGGTGCCGTAGACTATGCTTGTATTGACGCCCGCTTTTTCAAAGACGGTACCATCTTGAAGCACGCACGAGGTTCCACCACCACCATTCGGCCGCGTCCAGGTATCTGTGCGGAACTTCTTCTTCGAAGGGTCCAGAGTTTCGAGAGTTGAGACGATCTCCTTCTGCTGAGCTTTGATGAACTCTTCCATGCGGAGACGCATGGGCGAGGAGGGCGTTACGCCTGATTCGCGCTTCACGAGGGTGTCTCGGTCTGCGATGGAGGGGGGTTCGAGTTGTAGGGGGGAGGAGAACTGGCATGCATGTAGGTGAGCTTTCGAAATGAGTTGGGAGGAAGCAAGGGTACCATGGAGTAGATTAGGGAGCCGCAGACGACGACGCCGAGCGATATACGCCAGTAGGGAGCAGCAACTCCTCCCGATTTGGGGTTCGCGTTGGGTGAATTGCTAGGTATGGAGGATGGGTTTGCTGGTGTTGCCTTGGATCTCGTTCCCACCAGCGGTTTGCGCTTAGGTGGATCGATATATGGTCGTGGTTTCGCTGATTGATTGCTCGAAGAGTATGGGCGAATTGGGCGAGAGTAATAACGCCTTAGTGGCTTTCGGCAGAAAAATGCATCTTGCAAGAATGGATTGCCTGCCCATCGCATGCAAGTCTTTGTGGGAGCCATTGGGGAAAGGCTCTGTCAAACAAAAAGCTGTGAGAGAAATGACTGAACGATTTCGTTTCAGATGGCACGGAGTTTATCTGTTCAAGATCGAGGTTGGTACATTGGCTTGTAGACGCTTCGTCTTGATGGAGAGCTATTCCTAATTTGACCATAAGGCTGAGAACTTCGCCCCGCCTTGCCTGCCAAGACTAGGATCATGAAATGCTGACAAGGAAGACAAGGAAGACAAGGAAGATACACTGCCTGAATGACAGAAGCTTCTGAGACTATCTTTTAACACATCCTCTTGTCAGTCACTGACAGAGAAGAGTGACCTTTGCATGTGATTTACAAAGAGTAAATAAGTGTTGACCCTTTCCCCCTGTCACTGTCACAGGCCAAGGATAACGCTAGTTACCGCCTTACGACTTACTCATCGCGGGGGCCTAATCGTCGACACAGCACTCCGAGCCTCCGTCACCAATCTACACACCTACAAATCCCTTTCACAACTTCATCAACTTCCGTACTCATACAACTACACTCATCACACAAATCCATATCTACCGTCAATATGCGTTCCAAGTTTAAGGACGAGCACCCTTTCGAGAAGCGCAAGGCTGAAGCTGAGCGTATCCGACAGAAATATGCAGATCGTATTCCTGTAAGTCATTAGACATCTCTCCAAGGCTCCTCTTCTTGACAAGACAGTATTCTGACATAGCTGTCTGCGTCTAGGTAATCTGTGAGAAAGTGGAGAAATCGGACATCGCTACCATCGACAAGAAGAAATACCTTGTCCCCGCCGACCTCACCGTTGGTCAATTCGTCTATGTCATCCGCAAGCGCATCAAGCTCTCGCCTGAGAAAGCCATATTCATCTTCGTCGATGAGGTCCTGCCACCCACTGCTGCGCTCATGAGCTCCATCTACGAGGAGCACAAAGTATGTACCGCCTATGGTCCTGAAAGTGTTGAGGGCAAGTCGGATGGCTAACATGCTTCTAGGATGAGGATGGCTTCTTGTACATCACCTACTCTGGCGAGAACACGTTCGGTTCAGACGCCTAGACGATGGACCTTCAAAGATGCGCTTGCAACGGCGGATGAGGAGCCACAGGCGTTTGGGATAGTCGGTCGGATGGACATGTGATTCAATGCGAATTGTGCGTGCTTGATGAAAGGAGGATAGATATTGGACTTCTGCTAAAAGAAGATCACTACTGCTCTGGAAAGTGATGGACAAGGAACAGGCGAAGTGCTACCAATATTGCTGTCAAGACTGTCCTTGAAAGTTGGACGGACAGCTGTCATACTTGTTGGCTAGGACTCAACTGCTCTTGCAATAACTTTTCCAACCATGCGTCTCTGATATTAGCCCAAAACGAAGGCTGCATTGCAGATCATGCGTGACTGTTCCAACGCTGCTATTCTCCATAAATCATCTTCTCCCTTCGATATGCAAAAGTAGATGCTTCCATAGAACGCTCCAACCCAGCTTGCGGGAATTATAAATCACAATGAAAATAATGGCTTTCGAGTAGTTGAATTTAAGCAGTTGAGCTACGCCTGGAATTCCTGCTCGTATGTGCACTTTGCAACTTTTACCTTCTCCAACGACCATTGTCCCCCACTCGAGACAGAAACTTGACCACTTCAACCTCTTCGAAGCCATCCCTTCACCTGTCCATCTCCAGCAATGGCTACTACCTTCCCCCGTTACAATTACATCATCTCGAGGTACGTTCTTTGAAATTATAGTTCTCTTCCTTCCCAAGGCCATGAGTTACCAGCATTAGCATCTCTCACAGCCATCGTGCCCTCTTGAGACGCCGCTTCTATACTTCTTATCTAAATCTATTGACCCTCTTGCGCTTTTCCTCACATTTCTCTCTCCTCTGCGTTTCCTTTCCCTGATAATACTCACCGGAGCTTACGAACATCGTTTCAGGACACTCGACCCTCTCTTCGCCCTATTCATAGGCTTTTCGGCTGCTGGCATGCGTATTCGCAGGGAAGAAAACGAGAAGCGGCTGGGCATGGCTACTACATCTATCGCCGGTTCGACAGTCCAAATGCCCAACCAGAAGCCAGAGACTGGAAGTCAAAATGGACCTGGAGGAGAGGTCGGCTATGCTGAAATAGCCAGTACAGGATGGGGGAGGATCAAGAGGAGCATCTCGGAAGCGGTGCAGTGGTGAAAATGGGGAGTAACGTTGAGAGCTACGAGAGACAGGGCTGGGATCACGCAGTCAAGAACGAGGAATATCATTCACTGTTATCTGAGGTGGCAGTAAAGGAAGCTGAGAGTACGCCGAGAAGCAACAAGTGCCTTCCCTTCAGCCCTCGCAACATACTGTATAGGTTGCAAGATCCCTCCAGTGGGCTTCTGCGGTAACGAACGACGGCGGCTTCGGGAGCTCTCGCGGACCCTAAAACCCAGAGCGTCCTTCTTATGTCCAAGAGACGTTGAAAGGAAAATGAACGAGAGATCTCAGCACGAAACAATTTTCCCGCAATCTGGATTCAACATGTGGTTGAAAGCGAGGAGAAAGCGCGACATCCATGAGAAACCTTCAGATCCAGAGGTGAAAGTCGCGAAGTTTTTGAAAGAATCTGTAATACGAGGCTCTCATGAATACTATAAGGGAATATTCATAACACTTTGTCAGCTATCTCATCAAAAGGTGAGAGCGACCAAATTGGTCATCCCGACACCTATAGATGCCGACATTGTCCGAACTCCGGCATCGATTTCCCGACCTGATTATCACTTCCTGTAACACCAGTCTACCAACCCCTCATCTTCAACATCCAAGCTCTTCCCCGTCTCTAGCAGGTTTTGCATTTTAATAAACATCCTGCAACTTCGTTAGCTGTGCAAGACTCCTTGAGATTCGCTGAGATTTTTTTGTCTGACCCATCCTGGGACCGCCGGTCTCTGGATTTACCATGGGTGGAACGGTACACATGGATCCATCAATATGGTCGAAGACCCCGGAAGATATCATATTCCTCATCATCGAAGCATCGGATCGTGCGACCCAGATCAGTTGGTCACCTACTCGTCGAGTGTTCTACAAGTACTAGTGCCCCAGGGTATGGTCTCACTTGGACATTTCTCCTTTTGACATTGATGGATATGCAGGCAACCCCGAGCTGTCGTGGTGGCCCGGTCTGACAGAACATGATGGGTAGTTCCACTTCATGGCAAAGCACGCTGCCAGGGAGAACAAGCTTGAACGCATGGCCTCATACATCGAGTTTCTCCTTGTCGATGTTAGAGGCGATCTTACGTACGCCTTGCGCAACTAGCCATCAGCATCACAGTTTTCTTTGGGGATTGCAATACCAAGATTGCTTCCTCTCTTGCCGAATCCTAACAGCTGTGTCTTTGATGAAGCTTTGTACCGGGAAACGCTGAGCTAGCTTGTTCAAATATATACTTTGAAACGCTTAGAACTTCGTGCTGATGACTGGTATATTCAGCAAGGATGTTCTTACTTTGACGAGTCTCGCAGCTGGGTTTGGCGTGGTTGGTCTGACTTGGCCTTGGATTTCAAAGTCCTGGCGAAGCTCAAAAGCCTCCAGAGCCTCAAAACAGGACGCTTACAACACCACGAAGCGCGAGGTCTGGTGGAGGGAGTCTTCAGACTACGACTAAATCAATCTCGAAATCCCCTCCCGTCCTTGGGTGAACGATGAAGATCCTCGGCACTATCTCGCTGGCGGTGAAACGTACGATTCGCCACTGATGTCCTCCTTCTATCCTTTGAATCGTCGTCACGGTCCAAGCCGCTTGCGTAGGGGTTTGCCGTCCACCTTCGAGACGCTCATCCTACGAGACCGTTTCCATCTCTTTGGAAAGCCTACAAAGCAGATACATCTTCGCGCCGCGTGCAGGAACTGCCGGTCGTTACGTCGAACCGAGTTAACACATCCAACGCATGAACAAGCATGCGAGTTCTTCTTAACGTTTGAATAGCAACCGGGCGAAGAGCGTTTCGGGAAGACCAAGCTGGCTAGTCTTAAGGTCCCTGACCAGTCCCTCGGGAAAATATGCGACGGGATCACAGACTTTCGACACATGCCTTCGCCCGGTATATGGAAGTTCGCCTTCGTCAGAGATCCTGAGGACGTTCTAGAAAGCGCGAAAGGTTACGAACGAAGAAGATCGGAGAATTCCGCTCAATTTAGGGCCACGGTCAGTGACGGCAACGGGAAGCTCAATCAGGAGTTCCGGACCATCAAGTCAGAGAAGCTGACATGAAGTTGGGAGGAGTACGGTAGATACGGGTGATCTACAGACATGTGGAGTGACAGATGCCGATTTGTGCAACAAACAGCAAGATAACAGAAACTTCCGAATCCTCCAGTAATGAATCCTCGCATCAATTATTCTAGGACGCAAGCGCTATGCACCGCCTTCGTCGAAACGAGTCTCCGTTTGGCATGACAGTTTTCGACCCATCGCCAACACTATAGACATAAAACCTACAGACCACACTCCAGAATTGAAGATTGCCAGATACTCTTACACGTCATACCCTCTAGATGCTTTGTTATGGGAACAGTTATTTGGGCCCCGCGGATCTTGCTCTTACACAGTATGTGCCCGAAACCTCAAGTAGCTTGGCAAGGCATGTAGCTTCAATTCTCTACGCACTGTAGCTACGGCAATTGAATCCTGACTTACCTATGAAAAGAGACTGGAGTATCTACTCGTGTTGAAGCCATTTTTAAAGGTAATCCAGCTCATTGGGAAGAAGCATGCTCCAAAGAGAGAAATGGTCGCTCGAAGGACCCCAACTATTCGACTTGGCTTTACTTTGAGTCATAAAAGGCTTTTCTGCTCCTTTTCCGTGCCTGCCTGAAGCCTTGACTTTAGTTACTCATTGCGTATTTTTCTACTTAAGAGCACAACATGATACCCAAATCTTATCATTTCTCGGACACCGGTTTCCAATACTTCCCTCCTGACCTCGTCGTCTCTTTGTCCATCCTCTTACAGCAGCTTGCCAACCTCTATCATTCGATCCCTTCACTAGGCTATCGTCTGACCACTACTCTTTCAAACACAACTCTATCGATCCTTTCACTAAGCCATCAATCGTCCGCACTCATGACTGCAAGGCTTTCCTTGTAACTACTGCCCACCGAGTTGATCTTCGCTATAAAACTTTGAGCGGCAAACATGGCATTCCCGCTCCAGTCAACGCCTTTTGCGAGACATTGCGGCGACCCTTATCCAAACATTACGTTCCACAACACGGAAGATAGCTTAACGCAAGCCTGCCTGATCCTGTCACCGGCGGGGCAAGACTCGCTGCACTTGACGCTGACCTTTCCAGAATATCCACTCCGGGCGTCTACAGTGACCATACAGTCAGACACCCACCATCCGAACGTTTTCGGAACCTACATCTGCGCCTCCATCGTCAACACGATCGGAGGTTACACACCGGCGTACACATTGAAGAGTATCGCCATCCAGTTGCTAAGGTTTTTCAGCAGTGAGACTTTGGAGCAGGACTATGGTGGGGATACCGGATTGGGTTGGGGGATTTTGAGGGCTCGGGCTTTGTGTCAGAGACGAAGGATACTGTAAGCCCCCCCGTTCCAGGCATGCATCATTCGGGCTGAGAGGCGTTGGAATGGCGGAACAGTGTCCCATACCTCTTTTCATGAGCGGGGGCGGTTTAGATGGGGACGGCCCGGAATTAGATGGATTGTTTGAGGATTTTTAGTGAGGGATGAGTACTTTTGAGGTCATGTTTGTGCACTTCTTTTGGGTTGGATAAATCTTGATATGGTCAGGCGACTTTGGCTCAGGTTTGTATTTTCACGTTGTAGACCTTGTCATGCGTGCTTGCGTTTTTTGGGTGGAGTTCACGGCATGAGCTATCGATGGCATATTGCAGCGTGTCTATCTTTGATTGATTTACACAGTATCTGCCCCGTCAGCCGTTTACCGGCTGGAAATGATACCTGCCATCTGTGAAGACGTTATCACACTTGAAATACCAAGGCTGTGAAGACCTGGGGAGAAGTGTGGATGAGTAGCACCGCTTCTCGAATATGATATTTGCCTGCCGGGTGGTGCGTGTCGGCGAATCATTTCAGCTTGTCTCGCTTTGTGGCGCTCCTGCTGCGGCTCTTCTCAATGCTCAGCTTTTCTCGCCGTTCCATGCGCTTGGCGCCGAGCTCGACGGGCTGCTTTTCCCGCTTGTCTCGCTCTTTTCTTTTTTGGTTGGACCTCCTTCGCTTCCAATTCTGCTGCGAAGACCTGGCGTCCATTGGGGTCAAGGAGCTTACTTCGAAGATTCTTTGCTACTTCTCGTTTCTTATCCATTGTCCACCTGAGTCGCGGGGAATACGGATCTCTGAAGTCATCACCGATCACAACCGTCACGTGCTGTAAAGGCAGTATTTGCATGCTGGACAAAGGTCCCAGGACGTTTAGCTGGGAATCGGCCACGGTAGGAGAAGGGCTCAAGAGATCCTTGTTATACTGGTCAAATGTGGCATGAATTATCGAAGTTCGTTCCTCCGCGTCGAATGAAGGCCCTCAATAAATCTTGTCATCGGCGTGACATGATTGAACGAAAAGGTGTTGGTGGTCCAAAGTAGTATGTTTCCTTCTTCATACGTCTGTCGACATGCCCCGAGGATCGATAGATTGAGCATCCGTTTATGTCGCTCTCCCGTAGTCTTGAGTTTGTACAAGCATATCTGCTCTTCGTCAAAATATCGTTCGTCCTCCATGACCCGGGACTGGCAGTGGAAGTGACGCGCTCCAAGTGTAACGCTAGGGAGTTCGGCAGAGTCATTGGAAGGGATGCGAGTCTGGGCGATCATGAATCCCTCGTAGGCTTCATTCTCAGAGGTGGTGGCCGTGCAGACGGTGTGACGGAATCTTCCACTTGCAGGGAGGTACCACTCTTTCCGTTGTTCATAGTACCGAAGATGTATCAATTTATGCCCGACAGTGAGGGAGAAGATCTTCTCTCTGATTTCACCCGGGAGCTTCAGAAGTGGGGATGTCGAACAGTTGAAGAGATGAGAGCATGAGAAGCAAGGTGTAGCGGAGAAATAGCCTGGCGCCAGGCCGGCCCGAGTCCGTCCCGCGATGAAGCCCGGAAGATGAGCAGCGGCATATCGGTGCTGGCCGCCTGCCGTACCGTAAATCATGCGATTCGATCACTTTACACCTCACTCACCTTCGCCATCATTTTGCCACGACTCATCTACTTTAGATGCTTGCCGCGAGGAAGTCCCTGATACTACGGAGTCTGGTGGGAGGCATTGCTCCACTTTCTAAGAAAATCAGATACTAGAATGGTCGCATTTTGCAAGGTGAGTTGCCGGTGCATCTTCCAGGCTTGTGTCCCTCTTCGACAGTCATACTTGTATACCCCGCAGTTGACTTCGCACACCGGTAGACGAGAAGCATGTCTCTACTTTAGATCACCTCCTACTAGAGGTCTCTCAAGCTATCAGAATTATCGCTTTTGTTGCGCGCGACTTGTCTCCTCCTAAGCCCCTCAAATTCTGGTTACGACAGACATTCCTTCGTCTTTATGCGTCTCCCGCTTTGTCTCACTCATCGGTGGAGCAAGTGCGAGGATAATTCATGCTGCAGTACTAGACTTTCTATCTGATGGATGGAGACCAGACCTTGGAGGCGTCCCTCGCCTGGCCAACGAGTGTGCTAAGGAAATAGACTAGGCAGTGCCATGTTTGACTCCGTCACTACCAACACTGACTTGCGGCGGCAGCAGCCTTCGAGGATCGCAATTACCTAACACGAGCCATCTGCGTTACAGAAGTGCCTTGTAGAAGTGTCAGTCAGCAAAATCGAATATCAACATGCCACGAGGCCTTACCAGCAGATATTGAATTCCCCTGGAGGATCAAGGCTGCCACCTGTCAAGGCCTGAAAAGCTCCCTCGCTCAAGTCTAGCAGTAGGAAATATAAGCACATTCCTGACTGTTAGAGAGAGAATACGAATACCGAGATGATTTTCGTCACATGAGGGGCAAGTATCTTGGACCGTAGCCACGACCACTTTTCCCTGTCCATTGTTGTCGTCACCGCCTCCCTGGTTCGTAATTTGGATTTTACGGCCACAGTATGGTCCTGGCGACTCGTCGTCTTGCCAGTAATTGGACAAAGCGATGATATAGGCACTATCCTAAGAACAGGAAGCGCACATCAGCAAGATCCTTTTGCGAGTAGTATGAGGATGGCAGACACACCGGATTGGTTTGGCCACAGGATCCCGCGTTTCCTCCCTGGGTATAGTATGTGGCATCGCCACAGTGACTGTACAAACAATGTGTCAGAATGCTGAGATGGAATATTTTGACTCAACTCACGTCACACGGCGCTCTAGAGATGCATCCTCGCCGCTCGCAGCAGGTACAGCAAAGCTCTGAGCCGCCAGGTACAAGCCGACGAAGGTGTAACTGAGCAACATTGTGGAAGATTTGTCCTGCCAATTGACTTGTGGGTATCTCTGAACTAGATAGGGTTCTCCGTTGAATTGTTGAGGAAGAAGGTTTGGGTGCGTAAACCTCGCCCTTATATGTCTGACTAGCCAGACTCAGCACAATGATTCCATGTGGTCATCCACGATGGTCACAGCCTTGATTACTGCAAGCGGTGAGGGATTTATGCAGAGGTCTTCAAAGAGCCATCGACACGTCTCCGATGTTGGCCGACCAAGAGCCTGCAGCGATCATAACAGCGTATGAGATGGCGATCATACGCCTCGTTAGGAAAGAAAACGAAAAAAAGCCTGACCCATAGCAGTGGACGCGAAATTTGCGCACCACATTTTTTTTGGAAGAATGCACGTGGTTGACACGCCATAAAATCGCCGTATGTACAGGGCGCTGACTATTGCATGATGCATACCCCTTCTCCCTTCTAAACGGTAAGATTTACCATGCGCGAACTTCTCCGAGCGATTCCGAGCACATCATCAACAAGTCTAGAACATTGGTCCCGTCAGCAATATCCGGAAATATCACCCCAAGCCAGCGTCTCGCTCAAGTTGTGTATTCCGTTTCTCGACTGAAGCCCGTCTCGCTTCTCCTCCGCAGCCTGCTCTCCTCTGCGTCGTCATCTTTTAGCTCCGGCTTCCAGCCTCAAGCCCAAAAGTACAAGCTGCGCACCAAGGATCAGGAACGTGTCTTGGTTCCATGCGATGGAGGTCGTTCTCTCTCTGAACACCTCCCTAATTATCCTCCTCGCAGAAACGATCCTTGCCTTCTCCACCGCTTCTTTACCTGTCGGAGCCTGATGAATGCCTGTGAGGCGTTAGACTAGTCGCGATGCTGGGGTTCAGAACAGTCCAGACGTCTGCAAGCCTTGCACGTCCCACCGTCTCACCCGGTAGCCCCTGAGACTTGGAAGGGGGATGGGTGTCGTGTTGAGGGCAGTTGTCAACCAAAGTCTGCCCCGAACGCAGAACTCCACCAAATCAAATACGGCCTTTGAAGGGCAAGCAAGCAAGCAAGCAAGCAACGCTCGAATTTGATCACGGAAAACGATTTGAAAACTCGCTGGGCACATGCCTATTTCTTTCGTTTCCAAAGCTATACCGTGACGACGATTGATACTTTTCCGGGGGAAGCAGCCATTCGGATTATCCCATCTGATTGATGAAGCAATTCGGATAAAGACGGTTGATGCATAGCGCGAAACGAACGAGACAGGCTCCGCCTTTGCTTTGCCGTATATCATCTTTAGCAAAAGGGGCCGAGTGAGTGAATTGCATAGCAAGGGAAGATTGGTCAGATGGTCAAGTGGCACGGGACGAGCTTATTGTTCTGCATACTCCAGGTTTCAAGACGTGCGCTAGGTGGAGTGACTGTTAAAGTACCTTAGCTAGGGAGTTCTTTCATGATAGGAGTGTAAGGATTGGAATGAGCTTGCTTTCGGATGGATGTTTGTGCAAGGATGATTCATTCATTCAGGCAGGTACTGTTAGTTTTATAGAATTATGAGCGTGTGAACTGCCTGCCGTATTGCGGAAGAAGCTGCTTGGGAAGGCACTGAGTGAGATACGGTCAAGAATCATGCATGCACGATATATGGGAGAAGAAGTATGAAATATCCAGGACCCCAAACATGAAAACATGAATCTAAATGGGTATAATGCCGCTCTGCCAAGAACGCCAAACATCTCTCATATCCCAATAGAGAGCGACAGAACTCCACCGCTATGCAAAACAGTACTCCACCTCCAAGCCCCGCCACTCCCCGCTGGACGAGACTACCTTACAAGACCCCCAACCCCCTCCATCGCCTTCCTCTGCCTACCCAGCCAGCTCTTCGGAGCTTCTGTTCTCCGTTGCAAGATGACGTTGTTCATCTGCAACCGGCCTGCGAGATCGTGATACGCGGACGCAATGAGCTTGATCTCACGCTCGAGGTTTTGCGTATATGAGCGTTCAGCGGACGTGGGAACATTCTGAGAGGGGGTACTATGATCAGTATAGTGTGATATTCCGCCGACGAGAAGAGGACTGAATATGGAGAAGCTCGTGATGAATACCCGATGACTGACCTTCGTTGCTGGTAGTTTATTGGCGTCTTCCACGTTGTTTTGCGCTGAGGCGTTGGTCTGCTCGAGACGGGCCTCAAGGTCTTTGACAAGGGCATCTTGTTTTTCGATGTGCTGTTGCCAAGTTTTGTCAGCATCAGCCGCCGCGGAAATTCAACATCGAGAGTCCTCTGGAGAAGCGGGACGAGGAGGTTGAGGAAAGGCGTGAGGAGGTGAGCGAAGATAATCGCGATGAGGAGGAGTGAGAGTGCGGTGATGACGGTTGCTGGGGATGAGAAACAGGCTGGAAAGCGACGTCTGAGAGAGCGGCCTCTTTGCATACCTTCTGGGCCTTTGCCAGCCGTTCTCTGCTTTCCTCGATCTTGCTTGCGTATATTTTGATGCCCTTACTTTCGTCAATGGAATCGAGTGTCCCAGCCTGCCGCAGGAGGTCGGTCGATTCTTGGAGGGTTTGGCTGTCGGCGTCGGCCTTCATGTCACTTTCAGCCTTCGCCATGACAGCTTCATGAGAGTCGTGCCAGGCGGCGTTGCGCTCCTCCGTTAGGTCAACGAACATCTCATGTAGTCGATTGTGTCGATTTCGTAAAGCATCATGCTCGCTCTGGAGTTGCGTCATTGCTAGCGAGTTTTGCATCCTTACCTCTTCGATAACTTGAAGTTTCGGTTTGTCCACGAGTTCTCCTTCAAAGAGTTCGATGGTCAGATCTGTCAACATGCAATGATTCTCGAAGGACGACATACGATCACTCTCTGCTGCCTCGAGGACCTTTTGTGCTGCTGACAGCTTTTCTTCGAGATGGGCGCACTGCTTCTGCTGAGCCTTGATTTGTTCGCGCATCCTTTTGAATGTCTCCGTGCTTTTAACATCGTAAGCCACAAGATCAACAAGTGGGACGGCGGATACAGACCCCTCGATCGAATGGCCCTGCCTGACTTCTGTGAGAGAAGACTGGAGGACAGACATCTCTTGGCGAACTTCGAAACCTTGTTTGTATTGGTCGGCTGAGTCTTCTCGGGCACTGTCAAGCTGCCCTTGAAGCATGGCGAGCTTAGTATCTCTGTCACTCGCATCACTCTTCAACTGCCGGACCAGCTTTTCGAGCTCGGTAATCCGGATTTTCCTGCTACTCATCAGTACTCGTGTCCACAGTAGAACAGTACTGGCAACTTGCATTTGCTGTTCGTGGTTCAAGGCTTCGGCGAGTTCGGAATCGAGCGTATGATCCACTGACGAATGGCGTTCCGGGCCTCCAAATCTCTCCTCCAAGTCTGTTATCCTGTCTTGCGACTGCGCCAGAGCGTCCCGCAGCGACTTCGAGTCGTGATGGAGCCTATTTATTTCGCCAAGATATGCCTGTTTTGTCTCCCTTAGTTCAGTATTGTCCCTCTCACTCCGAGAGAGCGTCTGGCTGATCTCGCGATTCTCTTGTTGAAGCTTCACGTTGCCCCTGCGGAGATCCCCAGCCTCTTCAAGCCTAGAACGAGCTTCATTGAGCTCTTTGCGCAGAGAGTCGCGCTCTTTCTCAAGATTTTGACTGGCTTGGACCTTCTGTTTGTACTTTTCACCTGCATTTGCTTTCCTTGTCTGATGCTCCAATTCCACTTTTTGCACGTCGAAGTCATCTCGAAGATTTTGTAGTCTGTCGTCGGCCGCATCAAGCTTCTTTATTCTTCGTTGCATTTCTGCCTCTTTTGATCGATATTCATTGATCTGGGTTTCTTGGCGACCAATGACTTCTTCTTGTTGTGAGATCTTGGTCTCCAATTCCTTCACTGACCGCTGCTCCCTCTCGTTGTGCGTTGCGGTGAACTTCTTCAGCTGCTTATCGATCTCGGTATTTTCCTTCCGGACAGCGTCGTAACTCTCTGAAAGCCGATTGTATGCATCATCTGTTTGTTCCTTTGCTTCCTTCAAGTCCTTGACCTCAGCTTCGCAGCGATCCAGCTGTGATTTGAGCTCGGCGAGATGTTGCTCGAGCCGCAATTCCCGATCAATAACTCGAGCTGATGAGAGATTAGAGCCGCTGTTCGAACTTCTTCGGCCGGAACCCATGTCGCTATTTTCGTCCACTTCTTCGTCCTCAGCTTGGTCCATCGTCTCTTGCCAAAGTCTCAGAATGACTTGCGGAGTGGGGTCTGGCAAAATTCGGAGTTTTTGGAAGATGGCTTCATTTGGAGGAGTGATGACCACCTGGAGGACTAGCTGCAGGAACTGTACCCAGAGGTTAGTCATTGTGGCTGTTGTCCACGACCGTGGTAAACGCACTTTGGCAATAGAAGTGCTTGACTCATCGACAGCCATGTCCCTCAACTCATCGTCGGTAAAGATAGTGAAAGTTGCGTCATGTTCGTCTAGGTGTGACGCTATCTTCCCGTATACGTGCTGCACTGCTTCATCTCAGCCTTCACGCTTCGAGTGGCTTCACATTCAGAGTGACTTACAATTCTGCTGCCGTGCATAGGCGGATTGTTTCTTACTTGGCAATTCTCCTGTAAATGCCTCCGCATGTATTTCGCCTAAAACAGCCTTGATCAGCATGCATTTCGTTTACTGCATGGGGTAGTACTTACGGAGCATCTCCCAAAGAGCCTGTCCATCATTCATCTCGCTTAGCGAATTCACATGATTGGTGAGGGGGAAAGAGTTGACCTAGACATGTATGTCAACATTGAGGCTGCCTTGGCAGGTTGGGGAAAGCGCGACTTACCCAGACGACCAGCGCCGCCTCGGTTCCGTGGGGAAGAGTTCCATTCGTTGCCATGGCGTAGTCTGTGTGGTCTCGTTTTCAGGTAGGTATGAGAAAAGTAGAAAGGAAAGCTATGGAGCATTTTGGCGGGGCGCTGTGAGCATAGGGCATGAACGAGGATTGCGGAGTGGCCTGGGGAGACGCGATGTTCAACAAAGCACCAAAGGCACCCTTGTCTGTCGGGCTTTGAAAGCTCCGTTAGCGTGCCAGATACTAGTACTTCACAAAGCCACTTTCTTCATGAGCTTTTAGGGCCGATTGTTCTTGAATACAACACATTGTTTGGCTTTGAAGATACTGTTGTTCTACTGTGAAAGGAGCGTAAGACGGTGATTCAAGTTCTCCTTAAATTCTGCCAGAATGCAGTACTATACTACGAGACTCGCCAGCCACTATCGACAGCACCAAAAGGACCAAGGTTGGCTTAAAAAGGACTCTGTATAGGGTATCAAATCTCTGTTTTTTACGAAGCGTGCTGATGGTTTCTAGCTGTCAAAACCCCCCAAGCCTTCAGTGACTATTCTGGGACCAAGCGCACCCTTTTCGCTCTGTGAGAAATGCTCGGACAGCTCCCGTATTCCAGTCTGACTGTATTGATACATAGATGCTTATGACATGCCGTAAGATGTTATCCGCGTCCTAAAACATCCTCTATACGAGTAGCTCCAGGACTAACGATGGGACACCGGACATCCTGTCTATCCGCTCCATAGAAGCCAAACCCTCAGACAGCCTCATAAGCCTTGGTCTTGTATCGTCACAGTCTTGTCTTCTTCAATAGTCGGGGCATACTTCTGGGACAACGTATGAATGGTATCGAGAGCTGGTGCAGAAGCCTTGACAACGAAACCTCTGCAGACGCAGTCAGCATGCATGTTCCTTTATCTCTCAAGGCAGGTGTTCTTACTTGATGAGCTCGTATTCGTGTAGGATTTGACCCCCAGCAGCCATTATGGTATGCTTGTAGTCGTCGATGTCGGACTGTGGAGCATCTTTTGGATATGTGATTAGGTACTGCTGCTGTGGTGCCAGTCCGTTAACGCCCAGGGCCAAGAGCGCAAGAAGAACTTGAACCTTCATAATTGAAAGCTGGACCCCGGAGTCAAAAGGACAGGACTGAGAATTAGATTTGAGAGTGATAGATGATGTAGTGAAGCAAGAACAAAGACAAATGTCGCCTGCCTGATCATGAGGGGTGCCAAGAACATTTTGCGCTAAGCCTTACTCGATTTGTGACTAAGCGGCTATTTTCGTTCTTGAATGGACACCTCACTTGGCTTGTCAGACTTCTGTCACTTATTTACCACCACCATCACCACGATCCTTTCTACTTGAATCATCCAATACAACACCTCCCAGATAGGTCGCTCACTACCAGCTTACCATCACACCATATAACCCATATCTTCAAAGGTTCGTTCTTGCTTAAGGCTTCAATCTTGGAGAAGGGGGAAGGACAGGCGGGTGTTGGAGACTGAGGAAAAATACTGGCGGTGGAACGCAATTTGTGTTTGCGGATACCAGGCATTCATGCTTGGTATTGAACATAGCTAGCAGTGACTTCAAAAACATCAGTGCCTCTGTCTTTTCAAGAGCATCGTATTGAGGTTGTGGTCTGCCTATTGTCGCAAGGGAAAAGCAATCATCAATAGCGCTTCGTGCAACGACCATTCCCTAAAAAACCACTCTTATCCAGCCAGCAGACATCCGTTTCCTTTCTGCGTCTTCCTCTAACCATACCAGCTCCTGTACCTTTGCAAACGTCAAAGCCCATCATGTCTGTTGGACTTCCTTCCGATGAAGTCGCTGAAGACTACAAAAACTCCCTCGAAGATCTGACTATCAACTCGAGATATGAGATCAGCAATCTAACTGTTATTGCAAAAGAGAACACAGAGCATGCTATGGCAATATCAAGGGTTTTGGAGAATCACATCAAGAGTGTAAGTATTTATACCTCTTCCGAAGAGTATTGTGATGGCAAGGAGTCGGGAATATCTTATCGATGACCATGCGAAGATGTTAGTAAGAAGAACCTAACGTCTCTGTAGACTCCTCCAGACCGCAAGCTACCAGCACTTTACGTCCTAGATTCTGTGGTTAAAAATGTTGGAACGCCCTACACGCTATTCCTTGGTCGTAATCTGTACACGATCTTCATGAATGCCTACAGCTTGGTCAACAATCAGGTACGCCGCAAGCTTGATGAGATGCTCAAGACATGGAAAGAGCCAGTGCCTGGATCACTGGATCCAAGGCCTGTATTTCCAGCTGAAACTATCCGACCTATTGAGAATGCATTGATTAAAGCTCGCACTGCCGCCGTCCAGGCGCAACAACAGCAACAGTCTAGGGCCCAACAGGAGATGATGGCTCGCGGTCGACCAATGGCAACACCGAATCCACAGTGGCGCAATACCCCTACACCACCTCAAGCCCGCAGTCCTTACTACCCTCCGCCACAGCAAATGTACGGTCAGCAGAATATACCTAACGGTAACTATCAGGTAAATTAGATCTTTACTCGCTTTACTCTGCACGCGTACCTACTGACTCGGGAAGGCACGTTCGCAGTATCCTCAGACTGCCATTTACCCTGCCCCACAGCCAACTACGACCAATTATCAGCAACCTTACCCACAGCCACCAGCGTACCCCCAGTACCAACATCCTCCAAACCACTCAGATCCCATACATCAAGACGTCGAAAAACTCATCAGTGCCGCACGATCTGAATTCTCGAGCAACGTCAACGATGACTCGCTGCGAATACGTCTGCAGGCTTTGCTAGCTCTGCAGGGTGCTTTGAAGTCGCAGACCCTTACACCCCAAGAATTTCAAGCCGCTCGGAACGAGGTCGCCCGGCTCTTCGCTGAGGTCTATGGAGCCTCTGGACCAGCGGCTTCGGCGCCTCCGCGTGCTTCGGTGTCGACTCCCTACGTACCTCCACAACAAATTTCCCCGCAGCAACGACCCGCACAGGTACCGGCACCGCAAAATCCGGACATTCAGTCCTTGCTATCGTCGAAGAACTTGGCCGATATCATTGCGAAGGCTCAGCAAGCGCCAGCGACTCCGCCAATCTCCCAGGCACCGTTCTCCCAAGCGCAACCAGCTCCACACAACTCGTCCACACCGTCTTCGTCGGCCAATCTAGGTGATATGCTGGCATCTCTCAAAGCCAAAGGTATCTTCTCTGGTACCTCAAGCACACCAGTCAATGGCTCCCATGGATATGCACCTCCGCCATCTGTCACGCAAACCCCACCAATTATACCTGGAGGCTTCCCACGTCCGGCATTGATCAACGATGTTGAGGTTATATCGACATCGTTGAAGCGGTAGGTTTGATCATCTTCCGTCCACCCATTTCTACTAACATTTGTAAGACCCCGGATCCACCACGTCTCAACGTTATACGAAGCTCGACCGAATCAATGCTCAACATGCGGTAGACGATTCCTCGCTACAGCAGAGGGTAAAGAGAAGAAGGCCCGTCATTTGGATTGGCATTTTCGAACGAACCAACGCCTAGCCGACTCTGCCAAGCGGGGCCAGAATCGAAGCTGGTACGTTGATGAGTTGGTAAGTCATTCCACTGTCTATTTCTCCATACTCTCCCACTAAAAAAGTCTAGGAATGGATTAAATCTCGTGACAATCCTGAGGATGCTCCACTTACAGATGCCTCCTCCGATGCCGCAAGAGCTGCACTTGCTGCATCTCTCGCTGCAGCCGATCCTAAAAACAAGCACATCCCTGTACCATCCGACCCAGCTCTTGCCAATCAGCCATGTCCTATTTGCCAAGAGAAGTTCGATATGGTATGGAATGACGAAGTCCAGGACTTTGTATGGATGGATGCGATGAAAATTGGGACTAGAATTTATCATGCCAGCTGCCATTCTGAGGTGAAGAAAGAAGGCGGCACTACACCTGTGAGAACGAGCACGCCGGATAGTGTATTGGGGAAGAGGAAGGCGGTTAGTACTGAAACATGGTTGACTTTAGAAGATCAAGAATTGACCAGTCTCTAGGTCGGTGATTATAACGCAGGCAATGCAAAAGCGGTCAAGGCATGATGTTCGTAAGCGGTATTTGTGCATTTTGTGTTCTCACGTCTCCTCTTCTTCGGCATACTCGAGCGATCTTTTCTGCGCACCTCTTTCAACCATGCCTCTTGCATGCATAGAGGTTTTTGAAGTATCTTCCATTCTATCTTCGGCATCATTACACGCTCTTCTCCCATTAGGTTGTTGGGCTTTAGATCGGTGCTTGCCGAATCCCATGCTGCAGAACACAATGAACATTTGATCTGAACAAATCCACTCTCCCGCGCGACTTTTCTGTGCCTCAAATTCCTATACACCACGGACCTGCAGGATATTCGATACTCGTACACCCGAGTGCCGAAGATCAATGTCGCGTGTTTCTCGCATTTAGCCTAATATGCCTGCAGCCAGTGACGTACGACCCCGCATGGGCTTTCCCCACGAAGTGACAATGTCGTTCATTAAACCTTGAGGCCTCTGTACGAACTTCATCTCAACAATTGTCCTTCATATATACTCATAAAACCTACCAAATTCGCCAGCACGGTCAATCATCATGTCGTCGCCTCACACTATCCGTTGGGGAATCCTAGGTATGTTCCACTCCCTACAGCTTCACCATGCAATGGTCCTGCTGCGTAACCTTCGACACCAGAGCTGACTTGAGACGCAGCAACCGGAGGCATCGCCGAGAGTGAGCTCATTTCACCTTCATCCCCCCTCAATGGCCCACGTCTAACCAACACTCACGGTCTTAGATTTCGCCAAAGATCTAATGATTGACCCCTCCACCCGCTCCGTCTCCGATATAAAACACACCGTCACTGCCGCCGCCTCCTCATCGTCCTCTTCCCGCGCCAAACAGTTCCTCGAATCCTGCAAATGCCCCGCCTCCGCCTCTGCTTACGGCTCCTACCAAGAACTCGTCAAGGATCCAAACGTCGACATAATCTACGTCGCCACCCCGCATTCACATCATTACCAGAACACCATGCTGTGCCTCCTAGCAGGCAAACACGTACTGTGCGAGAAGGCGTTCACTGTCAATGCGGCGCAGGCGAAGAAATTGGTTGAGACGGCTAAGAAGAAGAAGCTGTTCTTGATGGAAGCGGTTTGGACGAGGTTTTTCCCACTAAGCATTCAGATCAGGAAAATGATTGAGGATGGAGAGTTGGGGGCTGTGCATAGGGTCATTGCGGATTTGAGCTTCGGTCAGGACGTGGAGAATACGTGGGGCGCGGATGGCGCGAAGCATAGGATGGTGAACCCAGATTTGGCGGGTGGTGCTATGCTTGATCGTAAGTCGCTACCTCTAGCCATCGGTTCCTGCCCCCACCACCAAGGATGGTCTTGGGTAAACTAACACCATGGGCTGACTAGTGGGCGTCTACCCGCTAACGTGGTGCTTCCAAACCCTCTACCACACCGTCCCCGCCTCCGACCGCAAAGCCCCCTCCGTCCTCGCAGCCGTCGAAAAGTACAGCACCGGCGCCGACGAAAAAACCTCCATCCTGCTTACCTTCCCCTCTGCCCCCGGCGGCAAACATACCGCTCACGGCATCGCCCTTACAAACTTCCGCGTCGCGACATTGCCTGATGGATTCAATACGGCCAAACCTGCTATTCGGATCCAAGGGACGAAGGGAGAGATTCAGGTCGATGGGCCGGCGTTCAGACCCACGCACTATAGGTTCATTCCCGCGGAGGATGATCTGGATCCGCAGGTTGTCAAGAAGGGGAGTAATGAGAAGGTGAGGGAGGTGGAGTGCGAGATTCCGGGACAGGGCATGTTTTGGGAGGCGGATGAGTGTGGTAGATGTATTAGGGATGTGAGTGAAACTTTTCCCCCCTTTTCGTGCCACGGTTTGGTCGGGAGACATGTTTTGCGGGCAGGGCATCTGTGCACGGCGAGAGACGCTGACATCGACTTTTCTTTTTCGTAGGGGAAGTTGGAAAGTGCGGGAATGGGATGGGAGGAGAGTATTGTGATCATGGAGACGATGGATCAGGTCAGGAAACAGGGAGGGGTCACGTACCCGGAGAAGATCGAGACGACGGAGTATCCAGTCTCCTTGTGAGTGGGAAGAGCGCAGGATGTGGACACGAAAAGCTCGAGCGACGACTGCTCGCTTGTACATAGATTTCCGGATGAATCATATTGTACATCAAAAGCCTCCCACCGCGAAGAGCGTGGTCTTTCCTCTATGCCGCGCTATTTTTTAAATGATCATGAATCCCTAGCCACTCGGACCCGAACTACCGCTTCTTATCACCCTTCCCCTTCCCATCCTTCTCCTGCTCCTTCAACTCCCCATCAACCCCATTGACCCCGTTAACCTCATCGCCCGCTTTCTTCCCATCCTTGTCCTTGTCCTTCCCCTCCTCTTCTTTCTTCGCATCCTTCTCTTCCTGCTGCTGCCGGTTCTGGATCTTATTCTCTATCAGGTCGTGGAACGCCGTGATCGCTCGTATCAGGCTGGACAGGTATATCGCCATCAGCTGATCATTCGTCTTCACAGACATGGCGCGCGCCAGTTCCGTATCGCCCTCTTTCCCCGCCCCTCCTTCCTGGCCTCCACTTATCGTCTCCGAGGGCGTGGCGGTCGGATTCGACAGGTTCGGGAGCAGGTTGAAGACGTCTTGGAGATTCCCCAGTATGGCGTGGTTGACGGGCAGTTCCTTGTCGATCACCTTCTGCAGGTACTGGCCGATGTCGCGGAGCCGGAGGTGCAGGCCTTGCAGGGATTGCAGTTGCGACGTTATGCGGGTGGAGAGGGTGCCGACGGCCACGTCGCGGATGTCGCGGAGGAGGTGCTCGACGCCGATTTCTTCGGCTTCTTCGGCTTCGATTATTGACGGGGTATGCATGAAGGTCTTGCTCGTTGTCGTGCCGTCCTGTTAGCACCCCTTCCTGTCAGCGGCGGCTTTCAAACCCAAGAGGAGAGGTGGGAGAGAGGAGATTTACGTCTTTGATCTCCTCGACGGCGAAGTAGGCGTCTGTGGGCACACCGACTTCCTTCGGTTGCACATCTATGATGACGAGCAGTGGATTGGGCGTGTAGCGTTTAAACAGCTCGTTGATCTCGAGATCCGACGCTCGTAGTTTTGGGCCAGAATGGTACCATCCTATCAGCTTTTCCCGCGCGTTGACTTTCTTGAACATGTCGTTCATGCCCTCCACGTAGTTGTGGTCCAGGAACCATACCGAGGGATCTTTTTCGTCTTCTTCAAAGGGTACTGCGTTTCCTCACATCAGCACATGCCTTGTAGGTACGACAGAGGCGTAAGGGAGAATCACCGGCAAAGCTGTTTGATACTCTCACGTTCTTGCCATCGTTCTGCCCCAGTAGCACGCCTACCACTCGCTTTCGTAGACCTTTGCCTGAGCGGCCGAAATGATCTGCGGCTGAGAGGAGGACGAGGGGGGCGACGGATACGGTTCGTGAGACGAGAGAGAGCGTTTCGGCTGTGGTGGCAGGCATCACGGAGGCGAGAGGTGGTGTGAGGTGTAGGTGGTGTTTGTTGAAGAAATGAGCTTCAAGCTCTCGGAGCACGCTAGGTTGAGATATCACGCTAGTCTTGTTTAGGACCGAATTATGAGTTGCAAAACCAACGAGATTACTTAGCAAAATTAATTACGCGCCATCTCTATTTTTTTCCCCACCAAAATTTGTAGAGATCGTACGGAGTACTTCTCAACAATTACATTAGTCTCTACCTCTTAATTCGTCTTACTTCCTAATCGGATAATTTTAAGACATAGACTAGTAAGTATACACTCTTTTTTTTAATATTTTTAACTAACCTAGATGTCTATAGCTACCCTCCCTCCCTCCCTCCCTCCACTAATACGCGATGCGGGCCACCCAAAGAAATACACATTCGCCAGCGAGTTTTAGACTACTCCTTAAGTCTTATTAGCGACCTAATATAGTAGCTAAAGACGCCCATTCGAGTCGCGTAACGGGGTACCAATAAGAGCGTAATATTAAGATCTACGGCGATATAGTAATTCCTCGTAATCTATATGTATCTGGGCGACCTCGTAGCCTCTTATCGGCTACTCTGAAGGCCCTACTTAAGTACCAGCGTCAAAAACCGTAACTCTATTAGGAGGAATTAGCACGTTTTCTGAAAGAGAAGTGAGATATCGCGGTCCATAAGTCGACCATTTCGAGGGCCCTAAGTAAAGCTGGAACAACTCGTAGGTTCTCATCAAATTTTGGTGGGGCTGGCTACCAAAAAAATAGAGATGGCGCGCAATCAATTTTGCCAAGCAATCTCGTTGGTTTTGCAACTCATAAAAAGGCACGTGATAAGGCAGGGCCGCTTCTAAATCGATGACACTCTTGACTGTTGGTATGACCGCAATTCGTGCAGATCCTCTGCATTAGTTTGGAGAATGGAAAGGTCTACTACCTGTAACCTGGGCTAAGGGAATCTACAACGAAGACTGCTTGATTGTCATCCAGAGACTCTTGCCTCAATCTCCGAGGTCACATGAAGGGCAGTCCGCCATCAAATTATACAGCAAGAGGATTTGCCCTGAATCTTCGCAACCCTAACAATTATATAGCAACACTCATAAGACTTACAAGGTAACCGTACCGCCATTTTAGGTGAGGAAACTATACCTCCCCCAAAAGCTCTGCTGCCTAATATACTTAAGACCGCAGAAGCTTTGCACCCAATTGCCGCGTCCTACACCGACGTCCCTTCAGCTGTCGTAGCAGCTTAGAAATTCTAAGCCTGGCGGTTCTCCTTGACGAGCGTCTCTGCTCAAGAAGAACAACGTACCGAGCCACATCGCTCGGCGTACAAAACCTTTTCGAAGTTGCTATTGTTGCATCCTCCCTACCAAAGGGATTGGGATCTGTATTAGCGTCGGCACCAACCATTACATCTATGAGTTCAGCCCAGTCACCACTCCCACCCTTTGACTCCGGTTCAACGAGCTGGATAACATAGAGGAGTTTGCTCCACGGCGTGGTACCGGTTTGTTCTTGGTTCGGAGATGCACTGTAGTGTAAGAGCAATCGTACCATGTCTGGACTGGGGAAATTGTCATGCACTTCCAGATGTAGAGGCGGTTGTCCATAGGCATTCTTGATGTGACTAGGATCGCTCTCGAGCTTTTCCTTAACGTTCACGGTAAGGCCGGCAAAATGGCTTTCCCCAACATCCGCCCTCGTTGATCTAAGCAGTCAAGTCTGAAACGCCTTATGGTATCCAATCTCAAGTCCAGTTGGCGGGCTGTTGGGACGAAATTTGTTTCTGGTGAGAATGACACCTTCAATTTCATCCAGGATGGAAGATTCTGTACTGCCACGAGATATCTCAATCTCGTTTATTAATATGTCCAAGGTCCTTGTAAGGTCAGGGAGTAGATGAGATCGGTGATCGACCATGTCAAGGGCTCTCATGCCACGATTTGGCATCAGGCTCGCAATGAGCTTGATCTGAGCCAAGAGAACTCTGCATAGATAAGCTCTGAAATCGAACGGACGTTGCATCCTGCAAGCCAGCAGGTCTTGCACCTTCTGTCCGAGCAGAAAGTCCCTCACCGTTCTGTGCATGAAGTCGACTCTGTTTTTGAAGATCGTGTTTATGTGGTTCTCGCAAAAAGCCTCGATCGGGCCTGCGGATCTAGCATTTAGCCGCCTCCCCGTTAGGTTGCATCGATCAACAATTCATGGTCCACTCCAAGGCTGTATCTCCAGGTTCTCGGCGTAGGCTTCATCTGCCTCGTCCATGTCAAAATATAGCAGCACGGGGGAGGGTCGTCCAGACAACGCTACGGCGGTATGAAGGGTCTGGGCCATCTGCTCGTGATAGACGTCCTCGATGTTTCCCAGCATTTGGAGGTAAAATTTGTTCCCCTGCAAGGAGCGTTACCCATCTAGATCCGCATCCGGGAGGTCAGTCGGGAATTGGCGGAGCCTGTTTTGGAGAACAAGAAGGGTGTCTGCATTAGTCAAACCTCGGCGAAGAGAACGCACAACCAAAAATACCCAGACAAACACTCCTTGCGCTTCGTTGACAATTTCCTTTGCCAATTCTTCGTATCGATTATCTTGAACATTGAGCTGAGGGTATTCATTATCGCCGTCAAGCATATCCTTCACGTAAATTTTGTTATCTGGAGCGTTCCAAGTCTTGAAGTAACAGCTTCCGATCCGCACTCTTCCCCAAGGCATTCTCGAAAACGTTCCAAGGACGGCTTGACAGACAAATTTTGATAGCTTCTGACGTGGCCAGCCTAGACAAGACACTGATGATATCCGCATGCTCGCCATGACCAGAGAGGGAGAACCGCGAACGGGAAGGGAGAGAAACTCGGATTGTGACGGCAAATCTGATCCGTGCTAAGATGAGAGCCGGGGACGCGGTCGTTGTGAGTGGTGTTGAGGAATTGTATGAGTGGGAGAAGTGTAACCAGCTGGGCCAAGATATCTGGTCTCCGGAAACGTGGAGTGCCAGATCAATATCGAAGAAGAGATGGTGAAAATGCGGGGGAATTAATAGGATAAACCCTCGATGAAGGGGATCAACTTTTACATACACTACTCGTGGGAGTCGGATTTTGCAGGCCTCACGTCGCCGTCATCGCAGCATGTGGAGTTGAGAGACATCCATTCTCGATGAGCAGGGGCTCTCGCATCGCTCAATGAATGCATATCACGCACTCTTGCTCTAAATCCTCGCTTCCGCAAGGTTTGATAACATGCGATCGATGATGACGGGCAGATCCTCAAGGTGGACGGAGCCTTGGCTCTAAGGCTTTGATGAGTCTGCGAGTCTCCAGGGTGCCGAATCTGTGACACTTGGACACTTCAAGGCCGTGTGTTTGTTTTCGAAATCATACGATGGGAGGGGTGATTGGAGCACTAAGGGATTGATGTATGGTATGACTGGCTTGAAAGTACGCTTTCTCATGGATTATCTGGCGAACAACATTTACGCAGAGAAAAGCCGACATCGGCTCCCTTCCAATCATCGAACAAACAGCTTCCGCGGATTGTCCATCAGCCACTGGCCCATCAAATTGGTCACCAATGTCACGGACATGTTTGAGGACATCTAACAAGAACGGAGTAATTTCCGGAATTTTGGAACGAAGATGACATAGCACTTTGACATTCTCATCTCCTCACAGCAGTCAATCTGACCCCACCGACACTACCCCCTTCAAATACCTCGGCAATGGTATCATAAAAATTCTGTAGGTCCGCGTTGGGCTTTTCAGAGCCCCTGTAGTTCTCCGTGCGCGCGCGCACCAATCCTGTCCACTTCTCCGAGACATCTTCGAACGCGACCCCATCAAAGCCCGCGGCTGCTACATCGGCAACATATCTCGAGGCAGAGGGAAGGTAAGGACATGCCACGATCTCTCGCAACTGATGCAACTCCCTTTCAGTGAGATGCGATACTGCATCTCTCTGGCAGGACTTGTCGTACAAATCCTCAATGTACATCTTCCCCCCAGCTTTCAGAAACCGCGCGGCTTGTCGGAACACAGCCGATCGAGCCGATTCGGGTATGTGCATTATGCACATCAAAGACACTACATGGTCAAACCGTGCAGACGATGGTTTTCCATCACTGCCGACCACAACGAGACTCTCCGGCGTAAGGCGCAGGAAGTCCGCATTCACACTCCGTACCCTCTCCACGACGCGTGGGTCGACATTCCGCACGGTGATGCGTTGAGCGAGCTCGTGGTTCTCGCGCTGCAGTTCGATCCCAGTCACATGTGCGCCGTACTTGGACGCGAGGAAGCGGCCCGTGGCGCTGAAGCCTGATCCGATGTCTAGGACGTGCTGGTTCGGCTGTAGATCGAGCTGAGAGGCGCAGTGTTCGAGGGCGGTGTCGCCGTCATAGTGCATGCAGTCGACGGAGGAGGTGTCGGCGTTGGTCCATTTGGGCTTGGCGGCGAGGGAGGCGAGGAGAGTATGCGCTCGGGAAAGGTTGTACAGGGCTATGCTGGAGATGTACGGGTTGGTTTCATTGTCTTTTATTTCTCGGGGACTTTCTTCTTCGCTGGGTCCGACTGGCATTGTCGATGCTGTGCCGTGGATCTGGAATCGTCCTCTCGTTCTCTGAAGTCGATGCGATTGTGGGGGGTTTCTTTTGGTTTTCCGGACCTTCTCAGCCAGTCGACGGAATGTGTTATCTTCGCAATCCGCGGGAAGACGATAGGGTGCAGGACAGGTAGAGTAGAAGCTCGGGTATCAAAGTAATACCTATTTCATCCTGTGGTAATGGGTTGTACCATCACATGCGGAGAAGAGGGGGGAATATTGGGAAAGAATCGGCGCATCCTGCAGCTTGCATATGCAACTAGAGAATGGAAGAATTTTCGGACCGGGCAACGGGCGCACTTTACGCTCTATCCTTTTGCGGTTTGGCTGCTCGGTAGCTGATGCCACCACCTTCGACTTTCGTATAGGCATTCCCTCGCCCTGTTGCTGGCCGTTTCACGTCATCGTGGAAAATACGTATATACTAATGTATCTGGCGACTCCGTATCGTGACCTACCATCGTTGTTCTTCGCCGCTTCGTGTTTGCTTCTCAAATCGACAGCATAACATATCATACCAGACCGTCTCACCGCCGCAGGGAACCCTCGCGTTTCTTTGTCTGTCGGCCTGTTGAACTGGGCGAAAGCGGTGTCGAAACTCGTTGTCCACGTTATAGACTAAAGCACATTGCCCACCAACCCCTCGAGGTTCTAAAAGTACCTTTTTCATTGTCCATTGGGAGTCCTCCTCGTAACTCCTAGGTGGCATATACACCCTCGGTATATCGGCCCAATACAATTTGCGTTTCTCATCCCACCTGGAAAAGCTATTCAACCTGGGTGGGTCCCTCAGATCCGGGTCGTTTGGATTGCTAAAACCGCGAAGGAGGCTACGATAGAATCCAGCACCTTGCAATCCCGTCGTTAGCACCTAGCTATGCATACACTAGACGAGACCGCATTATCAAAGTTAGGGACCTGTGACAAACAGAGAGAGAGCGAATCGATGTTATTCAAGCCCATGTGGGGCTTTCCAAATCGGACGGACCTAGGTAGGCAAGGCGAAGCAAAGATCGATGATGCTCGAATGGGAGTTGGTGTGTATTTCTCCGGTAATGAGGCTATCGGCACATGTGCGGCTTGTATTCAGGGTCAGTACTGGGCCTTTGAGTGAATTGAGACATGAGTTGAGGCCCTAAATAATAGAATGTTTGACCCCGTCCTTGCTTGAAAGCTCCTTTACTACCGAAGACAGTAACTAATAGGCGTCCAGTCATCCTCGTCGAGACTGTTGGACCCCGAACAACTCTTCGCCACCGCTCCGAGGACAGGTTGACAAAAGATGTTCTCATCTCCATCTGACGGAACTAATGTCCCAGTAACTATATTGGGCGCCTCGTAGTACCCATCGTTCAATCCCAGATACTTCATCCCTTTGTACACAAGCGTATCGATCCCCGTCATGGTGATTGTGTAATTGCTGTTGTCGTTCTGCATATTTTGAGCGAAATCGAATTGTACGTGTACTTGCTGTTCGTGCAGGGATCGATGATCTAACCCGCTGGCACCGCGCCAGCGTTTGGCACTGTAATTGGGGCTGCTGGCATCGATGTTGGGCTTGCAGACGCTGGTACGGCGATAGAGCCAGTCATGAAGTCGTAGGCTACGTCGACCCAGGTATCGATAACAAGATTGCAGAGTGTGGTTGGTTCGGTACCTGAAAGTGTGAGAACGGTTGCGTTCGAGCAGCACCCACCGGACATGGTGTTGGTACATGAAGCGGAGGATACGGCGCTGGACATTCGTAAGGCACTGGATGTCATGGAAGAAGGCCGTGAATATGTCTGTATTGGTTGGTTCATCATCATCTGGGTCATTGGGATCTTCCGGGTCGGCTGGCGGTCCATTTGGAGACGGCGAGTAGGGCGGTGGTGCTTCGTAAGGCGGTGGTGGGGATGAATCTCCGTCTCCTATGGTCGGCGTGTATGGTGGAGCGCCAATGATTCTGACACCATCAGGCTCCAGGCCCCCGCTGAGTGTGCTGGACCCGGTTTAGTCGTGATGGTGGGAAATAAGCCCGCGCTGCTTGAGGGTGCCTGTCCCGTCGCGACTCCATTGGTGGCGTTCCCTAAGAAAAGGAGTATACCGCCACCACTCAGGCTCGAGGGGGAAGCAGAGAAGGCGGTGGGGAGCGCTACTGCCGATGCGTTTCCCGGCGACCCCCCCAGAAGTGGGATTGAGTTGTGAGATTGGAGTTACTTGCGGAGTGGGAGCTGCAACGAGTCCGTTCCCAGACGAAGGCCAAGCAAGCGAAGACGCTCCTTGCTGACCTATAGATGCGGACGATGCTGTCACTGCATTCGGGGGAGGAACTGGGAAAGCTGCAGCTGATGCTCCGGATATCTGATAGGCCACGGACGCTGAGGATTCCGATGGAGCAAGTTGCTGGGCGATCGATGCCACTAACGCCGCAGCGAAAAATGTTGTGGCACTGGGACTGTTATTGCCAGATGTTGCGGAGTTCTGCTCGGCCGCGCCTATCTCGGAGGCCAAATATACAAACCCAGAGTTCAATTCTTGGAAGGTGTACACACAGTAAGATACTGGGGCGGCTTGCGGGGCACCATGAGCCAGGTGGACGATGGACAGCGTGAACAGAAGCGGAAGTGTACACTGAAAGAAAGGGAAACGATTGCTCGAGATCATCTTTAGGGAAAGAACGCTGGAATCATGAAACCAAGAATAAGAATCAAGGCTTAGAAAGTTGCAATGATCAAGCTTTGACCTTGTAGCAGCTGCCATACTTACGACGTAGATGTTTGGAGTAGAAAACGACTCTGAGGCGGAGTTAGAGGCTCATTCTAGGATTATTGCTCGCTAGACCATGCTATCATTTCTTTACACTAACAGATAATGTTTACACTGACAGGAACTGATAGGCCAATTAATATTGTAATTTAATTCCAACAGTGGGATAAAGACGAATGATTCTTCCCTCCCTCAATATTTCCACGAAATTGTGACATTGGAGACACATTCGGCGCACTCTCGTTCGTAGTTCATGAAATTACAAGGTACAAACTCTCGAGCCGATGCCAAGCATTCCAGAGAATTTTGAAGACGCTAAAAATCTTGGCGACGACAACCACACCTCGTACCCTCGATCCCTACTAAGGGTATACCTGAACACAGCGCAGGCGTCACGTCCCCGGCATCCAAAGACGGTACTATCTCACATTAGTATCCCCACCCAAATCGACTTCATCCCACCTCGGGATCGTCCCGCCACCAGCAACCATGCCCCGCGCCCTCTCCACCGCCCTGCGCGCCCGCATCAAAGCCGACCTCGCCGCCGGTCACGACATCAAAACCATCATGGCCACGCACGCCATCTCGGACAAGAAAGCCCGCGCGATGAAAAAGCTCTACGACAACTGCGGCGAGGTATGGCTGCCGAAAAAAAAAGGCGCCCGCACCGGCCGCCCCCCCAAAATCACCCCGGACCACGAAGAGCGCCTCCGCTCGTACCTGGCCGACCGCCCCGACGCCTACATCAAAGACATGTGCAAGTTCCTCGAGGGCGCCTGCGGCATGCTGGTCGACGAGAGCACGATGTGGCGGACGGTCCGGCGACTGGGGTGGCAAGCGCAGCGGGTCGTGAAGCCGAGGGACGCCCGGGGGTTCTGGGTGCAGACGCTGCCGCGGGACGAGTCGGGCAACGTGGTGACGAACGCGCAGAGGAGGAAGCCGACGAAGCGGCGGGAGCCGAGCGTGGACCCGAGCCGGGCCATGGTGAAGCAGCTGATGGCGAAGACGCGGGGGTTCGTCCGGGACTGCATGGCGCGGGCGCCCTTGGACGTCGCGCACGACTACGCGCACGTGCGGCGCGTGCTGGCGCTGAGCGTGGAGATACAGCGCGTGGAGCAGAAGAAGTACAGGCACATCACGTTTGACGCGACGGTCACGGAGCTCGTGGCGCTGATGCACGACATCGACGATCACAAGTTCCGGCAACCGCCCCCCACGCAGAACCCCACCTCTCTCCCATCCCCACCCTCGAATCTGGACCCGCAGTATCCGAACCCCTCCCCCATCGACCCGAACCTCCCCCTCCCTCCCCCGCCGCCGCTCCAACCCCCCATCCCGCCGACCCCGGCCGTAGAATCCCACCTCATCACCCTCGGCTGGCCCCCCCACATCGCCATCACCGTCTCCATCATCTGCGCCTCCATATCCTACACGACCGAAACCCAGCACCCGGACATCCACCTCTCCGCCCTGCGGCGCTTCCCCGAACTGGCCATCGTGCAGGACGCGGACCGGCTCGACGCCCTCGGGGCCGTCGGCATCGGGCGGGCGTTCGCCCACGGCGGGGCCCGGGGCAGGGATCTGGGGGACACGATGCGGCATTTCGAGGAGAAGTTGGTCAAGTTGGAGGGCATGATGAAGACGGGGGAGGGGAAGCGGATGGCGCGGGCGAAGAGCGAGAGGATCTCCGTGTTCAAGGAGTGGTGGGGGGAGGAGATGGGGATGGTGGGGATCGGTGTGCCGGGAGATGGGGTCGGGGTGGGAGACGATGGGATCGCTTTTAGCGGTGCCGAAATGGGAGACGGTGGCATGGGTGGCGAGACGGCGCGCAGGGCAAGCGATGAAGATCCGGGGAGGCAGCTGATGGAGGCGAATGACGGCTCGGATGACGACGGTGAAAGCAGCGGGGAAGGCAGTTCCAGTGATTCAGCTTGAAAAGGGGGGGGGGGTCCCTAGCGGTTCGAGAATATGTATGACCTGCTGTTGCATATGCTCATCTATGATACAACCTGCAGCTCAGGAGCCAACATCAGACAAGCCAAACTCTATCTACACCCCGCTCACCCTATGTTCATGTGCAATTGTTTCAAGCTCACTCAACCGTTCGTGTATGCCTTATGTTCAATTTGTTCAGGCCAGATGATCGCTCCATGTACACCATAACGAACGCCACGCTCAATTGCAACAGCAAAGCCTAGCCACTTCGAGCCTCGCATCGCTTCGTCAAAGATACTGTACTATCCAGCATGTCTGTGTCCTAGGGGAGGAAGGAAGAGGAAATGAAAGAGATTCGTGTCTACCGTTCTCCCAGGTTCATGACGACGGAGTAAGTAGTATCGATGTTCCGGATCGCATGAGATTAAGATCCTAGGAGAGCTGTCCGAGGGTCGAGAAAGGCTAGTTCCAATCGAGGACAAATCCGCGGGTTGGCCCAATCTCGCTGATAGAGTTGTGCTCAAAAGACGTCATCGTCCCACTCAAATTCGTTGGTCTTAATGTCAGGTAAAGGCTTATTCACACTCGCTCGTGCAGCTTCTGGGACTTCCGAAATCGTATCTATGGGGGGCTTCGCAGCAGAAGGATCCGCTTCTTCATCCGCGTGAGGCGATGTTTGACTGGCAGGAATAGGTAATTTCTCCATAATAAGGTCTCTATGGAACTTTTTCGCAGAAGATAGACTTGGCGGTGGAGGAGAAATACCACGCTTTGACGCTCGGGCTCGGGTCTTCATGGGTGAGACGGAACCAGGACGACCAAGGAATGGTGACGATGGACGATCTCCATGCGAGACTGAAGTAACATCTGTGACCTTTTTCGATACGGTCTGGCTGCTCATATATGCCATCAATTCGACTTCCGTGGCCTCGGGATACTCCTTTTGAAGGTTCTTCATGTCGTCCCAGGCTTTCCCGAACGGAGCGTGGCTATCAGGAATGGCACGCATGGCCATGATTCCGGCTTGATTGACGCTTGTTGGATCGAAGACTGTGCCCTTCGCAGGGACAGGTGGCACTTCATCCTTGTTTGTCATCGGCGAATTGCGGGGAGTGCTTGCATAGACCTTGGGCGGGCGGTTGTGTACCGCAGAGGGATCGTGAATGCCGGAAATTTTGATTTCCTGGGATTTCCTAGGTCTTCCGCCTTTTTTCTTCGAGGAAGAACCTTTCGCTGCCTCGGACTCCAGAACGTCATCGATCTCGGTGTCGGCCCCCAAGGCCTTAGACTGACGTGCTGCTGCATTTCGTGCCGCAATGTCACTGGCCCTCTTGTTCCACAGCGCTTGTTTCGCGGCCTCCGCACTCTCATTCGGGGCCTTGGGATTCTGCTTTCCCTTTTCTTCGCCTTTGTCGCTTGTGCTTGTAGTAGCACTGTATACATCGACAGAGTTAGCGGCTTTTCCATTGCCTCGATTCGCGGCACTATCATTTCTACGGGTTTGCGGCGTCAGCAATCGTTCAGAAGGTAGAGAGGCAAGAGCTCCTGGCACAAATCGTTTTCGTCCAATTGGCGCGGGAAGATCCGGAATGGCTGGGGCCTCTTGAATTGACAGCTCCAATTGTCGACGAGCGATCTCAAGCTTGTTTTCGAGGTCGCTCACTTTCTTACTGAGCTTGTATTGATTTGCGATGTCCTTCTTTGACGCTTCGCTGCGTAGCCCCCGCCCTGCTACATCAGCTGTCTCAATTGATGGCACAGATGGGACATCCTCAGCGTATTTTTTGATGGACGGTAGATGAATCTGGGACTTGACTCTCTTCAGACCCTCCAACGAGGGTTTGTGAAAACGAATAGATGATCGGCGTCCAGAACTAGCATCGGAGAAAGGACTTGCAGAACGACGACCTGCCGTTACAGCTGGAGGAGGCATGAGGTTTTCAATAGAGACAATGAACTGATCGCTGTCCTTTCGATCAAGTGACGGGCGATATCCGTCGACGTCTACGCCAGAGTCACGAAAGGAACTCCGTCGAAAGTCATCGGTATCCTCATATTTAATTGCTGGGACCTCCTGAGTCGCTGGCCGAGCTGGAGCATTCTGAGTGCCCTTGTAGCCGCTCTTCTTCAACTCGGCATATTTCAGCTCTGCTTTAGCCTTCAGGGAGTCCTTCTCTGGCTTCGCTCGATTCTCCTTTTCTTTCTCCTTCCAAATGCCGTTGAAGCCTTGCCAGACATTGGAAGAGTTGAAAGCATTAGCGATGGCTTTGCCAAATCGGAACATACCCGAGGGCTTGTTCGATTCGATTGCCGCATCGTAGTCCATATCCACATCTTCCATGTCCGCACCTGCATAATGTTCCATTGCCTCTTCTTCACGGATGTAGAGACTCGGAGGCCGCTGACTAACTTTGTCGTTCATGCTGCCTTCCACAAACCTTGACGGTCGTATGCTCGACATACTATTCCGTTTTTGACAGGACGAGGGCAATTTTCGGTGTGCCGGCCGTAAGGAATTGTCAGACTCAGCTGCATCATCCGAGTTCTTGAGAGGCCACTCTTCTGCCCGCATCCGCTTTGGTGAATGCAGGTCACGGGCCTTGCCAGCATGCCGTAGGATATCCTCATCAATCGTAGTCTCCAGCTGTGCTGCTGGGTCATAGCTGTGGGGTCGCTTTCGGGGGTTGGTCCAGGAATTCGAGGCTCGTGTGATCGACGATGTAGAGCCGTTGGCCTTCTCATTTTCCTGCTGAGCGTCAAGTTCCATCTGAAAGTTCCATTAGTACCTCATGCATGTAGGCGGGCCGTTGCAGCAGAAGTGCATGAGTGACAGCGTGGGTGGAGTGAGGCTTGGACCTACCGCTCCTGATAATCTTGTTGCACTCATTTGGCACGCCGCTTATCTATGGAGTAAATATGTACAACGATGGACACGGCACAGCGTATTGCGGACTTGTTCGGTACTCTAATCATGTACGTTTTGGTAAAGCGGTTTTTGTGTACGGGTGGTGCGGGAAAAGTAAACAGACACCGAGAGACCCGCGCCGTTGCCAAGACTTCTGCAAGGAAAGTATGCCGAGACATCCGAAGTTTCACCAGCGGGAAAGCCTTCTTTCGTTCGAACCTTGTCTAATTCACCCTTACCTAATTGAGCTTGGTACAGTTTACATCATCGAGCTTCTCACCTTTTCTCACTAAGGTAAAGAAGGCACTACTGTGCTGAGATTTGGGAATCTGGAAAGCTGCTTTTACGCAGTGCCCGCTCTCTTTTTGAGGCGTTGGGAGTCACCAATACCTAATATTACAATAGGTTGAATAACGAATTTTAGATAGAGATCATCGATTCGAAAAACATCTTCTATTAACAAATCTTCGCCGCCGATATTTTAAAGGTTTATTTTTTTTTGAGCTTTTATATAAAAAATCACTAATTCAAATTTTTTAAATTTTAAAGCGCTATTATTTAGCTTACTGAAAATTAAATCTATAGATAGATAATTAAGAATTTGACTAGATAAATTAAAAAAAAAAAAAAAAAAAAAAAATTAGCTAGTTCATGATTCGAATAAAAAAATTATTCGAGAATTTTAAAACTTTACTTTTTTTCGATTTTTTCGTAATTTTTTTTAGATATAATTTTCTAAAATAAATAATAATAGTAATAATAATAATTAATAATAATATATATATAGAAATAATAAAAAATTTAATAGAAATATATTATTATAAAAATATTAAAATAATTTATAAATAATTTAATTATAAAAAATAAAAAAAAAATTATAATTATATTATATATAAATAAAGATTTTATAAATTAAATTTTATAAAGCTTTTATAAAATGATTTTATTAATTTAAATAAATAAAGATCTATAAATTAAATTTATAAAGTTAAATTTTTTTAAGTTAAATTAAATTTTAACTTTAATTCTAAATTAAAATAAACTCTAATTACTTATTATATATTTTTAATTTATTTAATATAAATATATATATATAAAAAAAGATATATTAAAATCTAATTAGAAAGATATATTAAATATAAAAAATTAATTTATAATAATTATTTATAAAAAATAGAGAAAGGCTATATTCTTATAATAAGAAGTATTAAAATATTAAAAAGAAATAAAGATAATATATTAATTAATAATATAAATTCTATATTATCTCTTATTATAATAAAATTTTTAAATAATAAAATAGCTATTAGAGTAAGATATCGAATAATTTTAATTTATTTAAATATATATTATCTAATATTTCTTTTATAAAGATTTAATTAATTATAATTATTATAATAGATTTTTATAAATTATTATAATATTTTTATATATTATTAAATAATAATTTAATTAATAAAATTATAGAGAGTATATAATATAGATTTTAGAGAGCTAAGTTATATTTTTAATAATAATAATAATTTTATTATTATTTAATTTTTTATATAATATTTTAATATATTTTTATATTATAAATAATATATAATATAAAATTTTAATAGAGTTAAGATATTAAATTATAATAATATTCTTTATTTATTAAATAATAATTTAATATAAAATTATAAAAAATAATATAAAAAATTTTAAAGAGTTAAGTTATATTTTTAATATTAAAATTTTTATTATTATTTAATTTTTTTATAATATTCTTTATATTTATTTATTATAATTTCTTCTCTTACTTTTTAATATAATAAAAATAATAAATTAAATTATAATAATATTCTTTATTTATTAAATAATAATTTAATATAAAATTATAAAAAATATATAATATAGAATTTTAAAGAGCTAAGTTATATTTTTAATATTAAAATTACTTTATTATTATTTTAATTTCTTTATAATATTCTTTATATTTATTTATTATAATTTTTTTTTTACTTTTTAATATAATAAAAATAATAAATTAAATTATAAAAATATTTTTTCGTTTATTAAATAATAATTTAATATAAAATTATAAAGAATATATAATAGAGTAAATAGTATTAATTAAAATAATTAATTAAATAAATAATATATAAAAAAAAAAAATTATAAATTTATTTAAACTTTTTTTAAAAGTTTTTTAATATATTTATAAATAATAAATAAAGATTTATAAATTAAATTTATAAAGTTAAATTTTTTATTTTTTTAAATTAAATAAAGTTAGATTTTTCTAAGTTAAATCGAATTTTAATCTTAGCTCTAAATTAAATCGAACTCTAATTACTTATTATATATTTTTAATTTATTTTTATTATTATAAAATTAATTTAATTTATATAATATATAAATATATATATATAAAAAGAGATATATTAAGATTTAATTAAAAAGATATATTAAATATAAAAAATTAATTTATAATAATTATTTATAAAAAATAAAGAAAAATTATATTCTTATAATAAGAAGTATTAAAATATTAGAAAGAAATAGAGATAATATATTAATTAATAATATAAATTCTATAATATCTTTTATTATAATAAAATCTTTTAAATAATAAAATAGCTATAAATATCGAATAATTTTAATTTATTTAAATATATATTATTTAATATTTTTTTTTATAAAGATCTAATTAGCTATAATTATTATAGTAAATTCTTTTTTTATAATATTATTAATATATTATATAAATATAATAAAGATAATAAATTAAGTTATAATAGAAATAATAGATTAAATTATAATAATATTTTTTATTTATTAAATAATAATTTAATATAAAATTATAAAAAAATATATAATATAAAATTTTAAAGAGTTAAGTTATATTTTTAATATTAAAATTTTTATTATTATTTAATTTCTTTATAATATTCTTTATATTTATTTATTATTATAATTTCTTTTATTCTAATTAAGTAAATTAATATAAGATTATAAAGAGTAGATTTATTATATTATTACTACTAATAATTATCTTTATAATATTCTTTATAATATTTTTTATATTTATTTATTATTATAATTTTTTTTATTTTAATTAAATAGATTAATATAGAATTTTAAAGAGTTAAATTATATTTTTAATAATAATAATTTTATTATTATTTAATTTCTTTATAATATTTTTTATATTTATTTATTAAAGTTTATTTATTAATATTTATTTATTTATTTATTTAATAATTTTAATTAAAAAATAAGTATAAATTTTATTAAAATAATAATTATTTAAATATTTAAATTTATATAAAAAAGTATTTTTAATAAAATAAATAAATTTTTAATAAATAGTATTTAAGTTCTTTATCTTTAAATATTTATATAATTATATTTAATAATTTAAATAATTTATCGAAGATTTCGAGCTAAAAGATATATTCTTCGAAGATTTCGAGCTAAAATATATATTCTTTAAATATTTCGAGGTTTTCTCTATTATCTAAGAATCTCGAATTTTTCGAAACTATTATTACAGCTGATAAATTTTATTTATAAATTTTAATTTTATATTAGTCTTAAAGAAGTAAGCTTTTAAAAAAGCGAAATCTTAATTAAAAATCTCTAAAATATCGTAATTTCTCATACTTCTTCTTTTACTCTTTAATATTCTTAAGAATTTTATATATTTTAAATCTCTTATAATTTTTATCTATAATATCTTCTAAGCGATAAATACTTCTATAATCTTATTTATATTAAAAATATATTATTAATATTTAAATTTTTTATAGACTTAGATTAACTACTACGAAGAATTTAATTTTAGAAGATTCTAAATTAAAAGTATTAAAATTAATTTTAAATTCTATTAACTCTTCAAAAGTCTCGAAAATTTCGAATTTATTAGAAGTCTTAAAAAACTCGAACTTATTAATTTCGAATTCTAAGAATATTATAAATATTTTAATCTCGAAAGAATATTTTTTAAAAGCTTAAGAAAATAAAACTTTAATAAAATTAGATATCGAAATATTAAAGTTTTTAAATAAAACTACTTTAAAAGATATATTTTTAAAATCTTTAAAAGATTTAAAAAATAAGAATCTAGTTATATTCTTTAAATTAAAAGCTAATTTTAAAAATAACGAAAAATATAAAATTAAATATAAAAGTTTTGAAGAATATAAATAAGTCTTTAAAAGTTTTAAAGAATTTAGATAATTTTTTAAAGATTTTAAAAGATATAAATAATTCTTTGAAAGCTTCAGAAGAATATAAATAAGTCTTCGAAAGTTTTAGAGAATTTAGATAACTCTTCGAAAGTTTCGAAGAATATAAATAATTCTTCAAAAGTTTCGAAGAATATAAATAAGTCTTCGAAAGTTTCGAAGAACTTAAGTAACTTTTCGAAAGTTTTAAAAGATATAGGCGATTCTTCGAAAGTTTCGAAGAACGCGGATAAGGTTTTAAAAGTTTCGAAGGACTTAGATAATTTTTCGAAAGTTTCGAAGAATATAGATAATTCTTCGAAAGTTTTAAAGAATATAAATAAGACTTCGAAAGCTTCGAAGAACTTAAATAACTCTTCGAAAATTTCGAAGGAAACGAGCGTTACTTCGAAAGTTTCGAAGAATATAAATAAAGCTTCGAAAGTTTCAAAGAACTTAAATAACTCTTCGAAAGTTTCGAAGAATATAGATAATTCTTCGAAAGTTTTAAAGAATATAAATAAGTCTTCGAAAGCTTCGAAGGACTTAAGTAACTCTTCGAAAGTTTCGAAGAATATAGGCGATTCTTCGAAAGTTTTAAAGAATATAAATAAGTCTTCGAAAGTTTCGAAGAACTTAAATAACTCTTTAAAACTTTCGAAGGAA